CTATATTTAGATTTGATAGATAAAAGAAGATGTGGTATGAGTGCCAATGAGACAACTCTCCATCCAAGTCACAATTTATAAAAGTAAACCATTATAGGTCAAAGTACGGCCTTCAAAACGGAGCCTTGGCTCACACCGAACAGAGCTCACACCGAACAGCAAGCTATAAAGGGCCCCAAAAATTACTAGTGTAAAACCATTCAAACAGGAAAACCAACAGTCTAATCTATATAAAAAACGAGAAACGAGAAACACTTATGAACCACATCAACAAACGACAACCACTGAAAATCAGGTTCCTGACTTAGGACAGGTGCAAACAAATGCAGCAGGTTTGAACGTTTTATCTGGCGCCAACCTTCACCCTAACCTGAGACAGTGGTGTAACAATATGACATAAAAGGTCACACTATAAAACATTAATTGAAAAAAGGCTCAACTCATCAAAGTATGAATACTAACAGATTTTAGAAAAAAGTTAGACCATGAAAACCAAATTACCAAATAGTTAAATTATAAACCACAAAAAAATATATCAAAGCCAAAACCAGTATGAAGATATAGAGCTGACTCTTTATAAGTAATTATGTAATGAGTAATTGTAAGATTTTAATGGTTTGGTTTGATAAGGGAAACCCCCTCATTAAAATCTTTCTTTAATAACTGATATGAAAGCCAACAGATATCAGTAGATGTTTATTCATAGCATGTACAGTTTTTCAATTAGCAAAACAAAAAAGAACATGTAGTGATCAACTTTTTATTCAAAATTAAAGTTAATTACAAGACATAAAATTAAAGTTAAATACAAGACATAAAATTAAAGTTAATTATAAGACATAAAATTAAAGTTAATTACAAGACATAAAATAAAAGTTAATTACAAGACATAAAATTAATTAAATTTTTATCTTATACTTTATAGTAAAAGCTAAATAAACATGTAAGAAGTGAACATTGGGGTCTTTTATAGCTTACTACAAGTATATGATATGTGGTTTGTATAGTTGCTAACGTATATGTCATTTGGTCTCTGGAAGTCAGCTATATATAGTTGTCTCATTGACAATCATACCACATCTTTGTATTTTCATACGACCGCAAAAAATTTTGCGGTCGTATATTGGTATCACGTCATTGTCGTCGTCAGCATCGTCCGAAGACAGTTGGTTTCCGGACAATAACTTTAGTATAATTGAATAGAAATCTATAAAATTAAAACACAAGGTTTATAACCACAAAAGGAAGGTTGGGATTGATTTTGGGGGTTATGGTCCTAACAGTTTAGGAATTAGGGGCCAAAAAGGGGCCCAAATAAGCATTTTTGTCAAGCCTTCGACTTTTGTCGAAAAAGCGAGACATAGCAATCCTACATACCATCGGTGGCGTCGTCGGCGGCGGACACAAATATTCACTCTGTGGTTAAAGTTTTTGACATTTTAATAACTTTCTTAAACTATCCTGGATTTCTACCAAACTTGGAAAGATGCTTGTTTATGATCATAAGATAGTATCCAGAAGTAAATTTTGTAAAAAAAAAATTCCATTTTTTCCGTAATTTACCTCTAAATGGACTTAGTTTTTTCTGCCAGGAAACATTACATTCACTTTGTGGTTAAAGTTTTTTAAATTTTGATAACTTTCTTAAACTATCCTGGATTTCTACCAAACTTGGACGGAAGCTTGTTTATGGTCATAAGATAGTATCCAGAAGTAAATTTTGTAAAAAAAAAATTCCCATTTTTTCCGTATTTTACTTCTAAACGGACTTAGTTTTTCTGCCAGGAAACATTACATTCACTCTGTTGTTAAAGTTTTTAAAATTTAAATAACTTTCTTAAACTATCCTGGATTTCTACCAAACTTGGACAGAAGCTTGTTTATGATCAAAAGCTAGTATCTAGAAGGAAATTTGTTCCTGTTTTTCTGTATTTTACTTATAAATGGACTTAGTTTTTCTTCCAGTTAACATTACATACAGTCTGCATTTAAAGTTTTTTAAACATTAGTTAGATTCATAAACTAACCTGGATTTTTACTAAACTTGGACAGAAGCTTCTTACAATCAAAAGATAGTATCGAGAGGAATATTTTTTTATTTTTTTTCCTCATATTTGTTGATCCTGCGATTAATAGCAAAAATAGGCGAGACACTGGGTTCCGCGGAACTGTTACGAATTTTTCTAGTTTCCTGACAATAACTTGTGGAACGGTGTATGGATCTCTCTGAAATTGTACCACAAGTTTCCATACCACAAAGGGATGGTTAGGATTTGCTTTTGGGGGTTATGGCTCAAACCGTTTAGGAATTAGGGGCATAAAGGGGGGAAAAAAAGGGTTTCCTGGTTAATGGACAATTACTTAAGACAATTTAAAAGCAGTGTAAGGGAGGTAACCCAAACACAACGCAACAGCATAGTGTATGTGTATTAAACAAAAGCAAAGAAAAGGGGGGGTAAACTTTTTAATTTTTTTTGTAGGGGGAGGGGGGGGTCAATTCGCAACAGCAAAGTGTATTGCACAAAAACATAAAATTGAATATAAATTCAAATCATATAACCAATTCTAAGTTCTTTGACTACAGTTATTCTGTGTCAGAAACCTATTATGTTTCAAATATTTAATTACAATCCAAATTCAGACCTGTATCAAGCGTGAATATTGGGTCCATTTTTGCCCCAACTGTTCAGGGTTGGACCTCTGTGGTCGTATCTAGCTGTGCTCGGCGAAGCAATTTATTATATGTACTCTACTGTTCATTTACTTTTGGTTTTATCAGTTGAGTTAAGGGATTTAGTCATGAATTGATACAACATATTCCTAGTCTGTACAATTAATTGATCGTCAGTATGTTTAATATTGAATATTTTTAATTGATTCCTTTTATCATGCTAAGTGTTTTCCCAGACATTGATTTGTAAAAGTACATTACATAATGCCATAGTAACTACATTGTACATATAACTGGCTGCATTGACATATTAACAACGTGCCATTCATTTAATACACTTTTAATTACACTTCCATAATAGAATTAATAGCAATCTTTAAGGCAGGCAAATATCTATATTTATATATGTGTTATTTGTATATAATATAGTCTTAAAAATATCTGAACTTGTCATTTTCATTGTTCAGGAGGGAATTGGAGCTTAACAGAGCACAGATGTCTGAAAGAAATCACTAACATTCTGTAATAAATCATTAATTTGAATCCCAGTTGATAAAAGTTTACTTAAAGGTCAACATTACAGTTACTTCAGTGGTAAAGTTATTTGTGCAGTTAAAAAGGACACATTCACTGTTTTTGATATCATGAATGAGTAGCTATAATAGGTATAACTGACCCGCTAGATATATTTATAGCATTTTAGTAGGGATTCCCATGGGTGATTATCCTATTTTGCCATCCACCAGATCACACAAGGAAACCTAATATATTTTAATGTCTATGTAAGAACTGAGGTGTCTTTATCTTTACGTAAGGTTCATGATTCAGTGATTCATTCTTTTTATGATTGATAACATTTTAATATACAGATATTGATGATAACATTATACTTAAATGGTCAATGCCATCTGCTGTCATTTTAATAGACACAGGTTACTCTACAAGACACAGCCCAGTCACGAAAAAAAGGGGGGGGATTCCAACCCCAAAACCCCATTCCCCATGGATCCACCAATGCAGCCCTCATTTTTGACAGTGATAATATACTGGGAAGAGTGACCTTTCTGCATGTTCGCACATGATAAAAGTTTTAATTCTATAGATAGGCAAGACATTTCTGCAAGTTAACTCTTGTCATAGTTAAATACTGTTGATGATAACAATGCTGAAGATAAAATAAGTATTGTGATAAAATGTTTTAAATAAGTTAGATTGACCCACTTTTGTTTGATTCAGAGTCAGATGATACAAAAAAGTTCAGTGCACTGGTGACAGCTTGATTGTGGGGAAATTGCTCCCTGATAGAATGATAAAAAATGATTATTAACATAAGTTTGTTGTTTATCACATGCACAGGATGAAGTTTTATTGATTAAAAGTTTAAAGTTCAATTGAAAAATATTTATTTTTAAAGAGGCATTAGCTGCTAAATTCATTACTTCCAAATTGACTCAAACTCTTTAAATTGATTTATAACATACCTGTGACTAACATATTTCAAGAATTACAAAAGTTACATATGATTTGATTTGATTTTTAGTGTTTTAACGCCACCTTTAAGCACCCCTTTTGGGCTATTTCGTGGCGGCCAGTTTTTATTGGTGGAGGAAGCCGGAGTGCCCCGAGAAAACCACCAACCTTCGATAGGAAAACTGACAATCCTAGTCAATTAAGATTGGATTCGAGTGCACCAGCACGAGCGGGGTGCGAACTCACAACCTCAGTGTTGACTGACTAGTGATTACAGTAGCCACCGAGGCCCCCAAAAGATACATAGGAAACAATAAACCATACATGAAAATGTAATAAAGCTTCCACATTTTTAGCTGCGGAACCGTAGACTATGGTCCGCAAATAGTCAAAAAATATCGTAAGGACCTATGAGCTACGGTTCCACAGCTACCCCATTTTATGCATATTCAAGGACTAGAACTAGAAGATTGCTTAATAAGAAATGAGCAATTTGTAACAAGGCATTTCATTTTGATATTTATCTGTTTATATTGGATTTTGTATTAAAATTGAATATTAAAATAGATTAGGTAAATTATTAGTTTTGAAAATGATAAGGGTGCCCTCTACAAAATTTCAATAACAAACGTGTTGGAACAAACCTCGCAAAATTTAGTTTTACTTTTATTTCTTGCTTATCATCTCTATTAACAGCACCCCTGCCTGGCAATTTTAATTTTGGAGTAAAAAACCATGGACTATACAAGCCAGAATTCGGTAATAATATGAAAAATTTAAAAAGGAAAAAAGTACTATTTATTAGAAAAGCCAACAGGCAGTTATGCTTATGAATTATAACAAGTTTTTATTTTTTCAGTTTGTTTTGTTATTTGAAGTATGCATTCCTTTAGTACTGTTTTTAATCCTCCTGCTGATCAGAGAACGACAACCACCAGTTCCAGTCAGAACAGGTAAGTTTAAATTGATGGTTCATTTAACATTTTATAAAGGAAAACGCTTTGTCCTGTCCTGTCAAATATATCAATATTTGAAACTCATATCTATGTCAGTTTGAGACCAATGTTTTTGTCAAATCTAAATAATGAAAAAATAAGAAGTTGCAATATGATTGCCAATGAGACAACCATTTACCAGAGACCAAAGGAAGTGGATATAAGCAACTATAGGTCACCTTACAGCCTTCAACAATGAGAAAAACCAGTACCATATAGTGCATAACAAAATGTTAGAAAATTCAAACAAGAAAATCAATGGCCTGATTAAATAGAAAAAAACACTTAAAGAATGTGGCAGGGTTAAAAATGTTTGTGGGCACTCAAATTCTCCCCCTAACCTGAGTCAGGTGGAAAGGGCTTAACTCATCAGATCAGCATGAAGCACAAATAACAACTTATAAAAAAGGCAAGAGACATAACATACCAATCTAAGAGTTGTCAAAGTTACTGAAAGCTAGTTTGAAACTTCAGTTTAACACCATATTTTTTATCAAAAATGCATCCTAATATTCCCCCTTCAATTTGATGGGCTTTAAGAGTCCCGTTTTAGTCTTTGGTTTTTATACGACCGCAAAAAAATTTTGCAGTCGTATATTGGTATGACGTTGGCGTCGTCATCGTCGTCGTCCGAAGACACATTGGTTTTCACACTCTAACTTTAGTTTAAGTGAATGGATCTCTATGAAATTTTAACAGAAGGTTCAATACCACAAAAAGAAGGTTGGGAGTGATTTTGGGGGTTATGGTACCAACAGTTAAGGAACTAGGGGCCAAAAATAAGCATTTTTGTAACATCCAGACAATAACTTGTGTGTTAGTGTATTGATCTCTCTGACATTGTACTGCAAGATTCCATATCACAAAGGGAATGCTGGGATGGATTGATTTTGGGGGTAATTGCCTCAAAATTTTAGGAATTAGGGGCCAAAAAAGGGGCAAAAAACATGCATTTTTCTAGTTTCATGACAATAACTTGTGTGTAAGTGTATGGATCTTTCTGAAATTGTACTACAAGGTTCTATATCACAAAGGGAAAGCTGGAATTTAGTTTGGGGGTAATTGCCCAAAACGTTTAGGATAAGGGGCCAAAAATAAGCATTTTTCTAGTTTCCAGACAATAACTTGTGTTCAAGTGTATGGATCTCTCTGAAATTGTACTGCAAGGTACCATACCACAAAGGGAAGGCTGGGATTGATTTTGGGGATAATTGCCTCAAAAGTTTAGGAATTAGGGGCCAAGAAGGGGCAAAAAACAAGCATTTTTCTAGTTTCAGGACAATTACTTGTGTGTAAGTGTATGGATCTTTATGAAATAGTACTACAAGGTCACAAAGGGAAAGCTGGGTTTGAGTTTGGGGGTAATCGCCCTAAACGTTTAGGAATTTGGGGCCAAAAAGGGGCCTAAAAACAAGCATTTTTCTAGTTTCCAGACAATAACTTGTGTCCAAGTGTATGGATCTCTCTGAAATTGTACTGCAAGGTACCATACCACAAAGGGAAGGCTGGGATTGAGTTTGGGGGTGATGAATCAGAAGGGGGTTCAAAAAATTTGGGGGAGAGGGATTTTTTTCCCTTTTTTTCCTTTTTTTTCTTTAAAATTTTCCATTTTAAATTGGTTATTTCTGATATATATATAAAAGCAAATAATAATGATATGGTTTGAATAGGTAAACTAAAAAAATTTAAGTTCTTAGACCACATTCATTCTGTGTCAGAAACCTATGCTGTGTCAAATATTTAATCACAATCCAAGTTCAGTGCTGTATCAAGCTTGAATGTTGTGTCCATACTTGCCCCAACTGTTCAGGGTTCGACCTCTGCGGTCGTATCAAGCTGCGCCCAGCGGAGCATTTTTTTGTATATTGCGATCTTTAAATAAATTATTTTGGTTTCCCTTGCATTCAAAAACCTTGTATTCAATTTTAACTTCTAATTGCACTTCTATTGCATGAATTAATAGCACATTCATGACATTATTTGAGACTAAATTTATAAAGTAAGTTTTTGCAGACAGATTTTTGAACATTGATTGCAAATGACTTTCCATACACCTTAATCTCTATTACATTGCTTATGCGTTGTTGTGTGTCCTTTGTCTGATTGCAAAGGTACAATTAATTTTTATGCCCCCTCCGTAGCAGTGGGGGCATTAAGTTTTACCCTTGTCCGTCTGTACGTATGTACGTACATACGTCTCAAAATTGGTTTCCGTTCTCTAACTTGGGTTTGCCTCAACCAAATGTTATGAAACTTATACACAATGCTTATTACCACAAAACACAGATCAAGTTTGAATTTTGGTGGCGTCACTTTAACTGTTCTATAGTTATGCCCCTTTATAAATGGAAAAATTGCAAAATGTTTAGTTTCCGTTCTCTAACTTAAGTTTGCCTCAACCAAATGTTATGAAACTTATACACAATGCTTATTACCACAAAACACAGATAAAGTTTGAATTTTGGTGGCGTCACTTTAACTGTTCTATAGTTATGCCCCTTTATAAATGGAAAAATTGCAAAATTTTTAGTTTCCGTTCTCTAACTTAAGTTTGCCTCAACCAAATGTTATGAAACTTATACACAATGCTTATTACCACAAAACACAGATCAAGTTTGAATTTTGGTGGCGTTACTTTAACTGTTCTAGAGTCGTGCCCCATTATAAATGGAAAAATTGCAAAACGTCACTTTAACCGTTCTAGAGTTATGCCCCTTTATAAATGGAAAAATTGCAAAATGTTTAGTTTACGTTATCTTAAGTTTGCCTCAACCAAATGTTATGAAACTTATACACAATGCTTATTACCACAAAACACAGATCAAGTTTGAATTTTGGTGGCGTTACTTTAACCGTTCTAGAGTCATGCCCCATTTTAAATTGGAAAAATTGCAAAACGTCACTTTAACCGTTCTAGAGTTATGCCCCTTTATAAATGGAAAAATTGCAAAATGTTTAGTTTTCGTTTCTCTAACTCAAGTTTGCCTCAACCAAATGTTATGAAACTTATACACAATGCTTATTACTACAAAACACAGATAAAGTTTGAATTTTGGTGGCGTCACTTTAACCGTTCTATAGAAATGCCCCTTTATAAATGGAAAAATTGCAAAATTTTTATTTTTTCTTCTAAATATCAAGTAATTTTTAAAATTGGAGTTATCTTCCTTTGTCCATGATTATAGTTAAATCAACTACAATCAATGCTTTATACAATGCAATGTTTAATTTTGACTTCCACTGATAAAACACAGATCAAGTTGAATTTAGGTAGTGTCACTTTAACCATTATTGAGTTATGCCCTTTATAAATCGAAAGATTGCAAAATTTTTACTTTCCATTCTGTAACTTAAGTTTGCCCCAACCAAACATTGAAACCTATACGCAATATTCATTACCGCAAAACTAAGATCAAGTACAAATTTTTTGTTTCCGTTTTCTAACTTTAGTTTGCCTCAACCAAATATTATGAAACTTATACACAACCGTTCTAGAGTTATGCAAGTTTACAAATAGAAAAACTGTTGAAGTTTTAGTTTCTGTTCTCTACTTAAGTTAGCCTCAACCAAATGTTATGAGACTTACACACAATGCTTATTACTACAAAACTCAGATCAAGTTCAAATTTGGGTAGCGACACTTTTACCGTTCTTCAGTTATGTCCCTTTATAACTATATGATATGCAAGCGGGGGCATCATCTGTGTCCACATGTGGACACTATCCACATTTATTTCTTACTTGATCTGAAGAATGAAGTTATTTTGGTCATTGCAAATGGTTCAAAAGATCATAGAACTAAAAAATAAAAATTAGATGCAATGTTATTCTTTCATACAAAATAAAATTTGTATTGACCCCTTGGATATTGTCCATTTTATTCCAGGGATTACTTTTTTCTCACCTTTAATGTAATTATGATATAAGACCCTTAATTGTACTCAAATTCATCACCAATCATGCAACTTACAAACAAGAAACTATGCCATTCTATAATAAGTACATGCTCAACTTCACTCCAAGTTACCTAAAACCTTACTTTAAACCTAAGGGTATCAGTTTAGCTGCTCAGAAAAATGCTTCTACACTTTTTTCAGGAATGCTGAAGGCCAAATGTATAAAAAAACTAAGGAAGGTAAGAAGCATTTGATTGCCTCAAAATTTTAGGAATTACGGGCCAAAAAAGGGGCAAAAAACATGCATTTTTCTAGTTTCCAGACAATAACTTGTGTTCAAGTATATGGATCTCTCTGAAATTGTACTGCAAGGTACAATACCACAAAGGAAAGGCTGGGATTGATTTTTGGGGTAATTGCCTCAAAATATTTCGAATTAGGGGCAAAAAAGGGGCAAAAAACAAGCATTTTTCTAGTTTCAGGACAATAACTTGTGTGTAAGTGTATGGATCTTTATGAAATTGTACTACAAGGTCACAAAGGGAAAGCTGGGTTTGAGTTTTGGGGTAATTGCCCTAAACGTTTAGGAATTTGGGGCCAAAAAGGGGCAAAAAAACAAGCATTTTTCTAGTTTCCAGACAATAACTTGTGTCCAAGTGTATGGATCTCTCTGAAATTGTACTGCAAGGTACCATACCACAAAGGGAAGGCTGGGATTGAGTTTAGATGGTGATGAATCATAAGGGGTTCAAAAAATTTGGGGGGGGGGGTCTTTTTTTCCTTTTTTTTTTCTCTAAATTTTTCCATTTTAAGTTGGTTATTTCTGATTTATATTTATGCTTAATCTAACCATGTATTTAAATTTTTGGATTTTGGGCCTCTTTTTAAATTTATCCAAATTGAGGTCCAAAGGGTACAAAATTAAACTTTTTGATTTCATTAAAAATTGAATATTGGGGGTTCTTTGACAATTACTTAAGTACAAAACATAATTTAAAAGCAGTGTAAAGTTGGTAATTCAAACTCATTTGAATATCTCACCTGCACTGCTTTTAAATTATGTATATTGGAAATTTGCCAATAACTTTATTGTTAATAAATTCCATTGGAAATTTGCCAATAACTTTAGTATAATAAACTTCATTGGAAATTTGCCAACATAAAATGTTGCTGATGAAGGTTTTTTGTTTATTTTTAGCCATTACTATGATGTCATTTATTATTTGAATAGCCTTATGATGTATTTAAATTTTTTAATACTTTTATGATGTATTTAAATAGGCTTTTATGGTTGCAAATTTATTTGGGTTGTAATTCAAACTCATTTGAATATCTCAGCTACACTGGTTTTAAATTATGTATATTGGAAATTTGCCAATTACTTTAGTATCAATTAATTCCATTGGAAATTTGCCAATAACTTTAGTATAATAAACTCCATTGGAAATTTGCCAATAAAAAATGTTGCTGATGAAGGTTTTTTGTTTATTTTTAGCCATGACTATGATGTCATTTTCTATTTTAATACCTTTATGATGTATTTAAATGGGCTTTTATGGTTACAAAGGAATTTTATTTTTAGATATTACTGTAAAATGTTGCTGATTAAGGTTTTTTGTTTATTTTTAGCCATGACTATGATGTCATTTTCTATTTTAATACCCTTATGATGTATTTAAATGGGCTGTTATGGTTGCAAAGGAATTGAGTTTGATAGTTAATGCTCCAAGAGAGATTCAAAAAGTTTGAAAGGGGGGTTTTCCAATATTTCTTAAACAGTTCATATTTTTTTTTAAAAACATTTTTCAAATTTCAAATATTGAAAAATTTCAAGAAGTAATCTTGAATTGCACAGTATGGCGCATTAGATTTGTAAAATCTTTGACCACATTTATTTCTTTGATATGCCCAATCTAACAGTGTATTTAGATGTTTAATTTTGGGTCCAGTTTTCAAATTGGTCTACATTAAGGTCCAAAGGGTCCAAAATTAAACTTAGTTTGATTTTAACAAAAATTGAATTCTTGGGGTTCTTTGGTATGCTGAATCTATACATGTATTTATATTTTTGATTTTGGGCCCAGATTTCAAGTTGGTCCAACTTGGGGTCCAAAATTAAACTTTGTTTTATTTCAACAAAAATTGAATATATGGGGTTCTTTGATATGCTGAATCAAACCATGTATTTAGATTTTTTATTTGTGGGCCCCGCTATCAAATTGGTTCATATTGAGGTCAAAAGGGTCCAAAATTAAACTTTGTTTGATTTCAACAAAAATTGAATATATGTGTTTCTTTGATATGCTGAATCTAACCATGTATTTTGATTTTTGGGCCCTGTTATCAAATTGGTCCACATTGAGGTCAAAAGGGTTCAAAATTAAACTTTGTTTGATTTCATCAAAAATTGAATTCTTTGGATTCTTTGATATGCTTAATCTAACCATGTATTTAGATTTTGGATGTTGGACCATAATAGGTAAATTAAATTTTTTTAAGTTCTTAGACCACATTCATTCTGTGTCAGAAACCTATGCTGTGTCAAATATTTAATCACAATCCAACTTCAGAGCTGTATCAAGCTTGAATGTTGTGTCCATACTTGCCCCAACTGTTCAGGGTTCGACCTCTGCGGTCGTATCAAGCTGCGCCCAGCAGAGCATTTTATTTAATTTTGAATTTCATAATTATTTCATGACAGTTTATATTATTAAACATAAAAGTTTTTTTTTTTATAACTCTAGGTCACCAGTCAGCGTTTCCTTTACCATCAGCTGGAATTATTCCAATTATGGAAATGTTTTGTGATGGAGCTCAGAGAGATGAATTTGGTTTCCTTACTTTTCCACATGCTAAGTATGTTGAAAATGATAGAATAAAACTTCACCAACAGCTGATATGTCCTGTCAATCAAGTTACCAGGATCTATAGTTTTACCCTTCCATCATTCTAAAACTCACGATAGAGTAATACACACTCATTTTGTTTATGCTGCAGATATTGAGCTGATATTTAATGTGTAGTCATAGAGCAAGTTTACACTTGTTCTAGTTTCAGCATCTTGTACATGAATTGCTACCAAAGGAACAGGGTCATGTAATTGAGCTTTAATGTTAAATGTATTTTAAACAAATTCTCTAATTGTAAAGTTTAATGTTGAATCTTATATTATTCAACAACTTTTTGCTATCTTTATCCAAAACTCTTTATATTTACGGGTATATGGACTTTCAGTAATAGTTAATATTATAAAAAAGGAATATAATAAAAAATTCTGATTGTGTAGCTCACACATGACGAGAACCTTTTAAAAAAAATATATAAAAGTTGATATCTAACTCAATTGCTAAGTTGGAAGTATATGCATATTTTTTTATTTGGGGTAGTAGGTCAATAATATTTGGTATGCAGTTGTATTGGCATTGGCATTGGAGATTATATGACATAGACCCCCTCAGTCATGGTTCATTGATTTTGGAATTTTTGCATAGTTAACATGTCATAGTTTATGATTAGGTCAAATATTTTAAATGGGAACCATGTATGATAAGTCAATGATATTTGATATGCAGTTGTATAAGCATTGGTGCATCTCATTTCCATGGAGATTATTTCGTCTCGGTTCAATGCCACAATTGACTTGACATTAAATACCGGGTATTTGAAACTATCCTTAAAAAAGGCACATACTAGATTAAGATTATGATTTTTATTAACTCAACTTATTTTATTTACATGGTGTAATTTCAGAACTACAGAATTTTTAAACAGATTGCAGACAGTAGCAGAAAACCATCATTTCTTCCAGGAAGGTTACTCTCCATCAGAAATGGATGATCTTCCAGATACCTTCAGAAGTATTATAGACAATACTGCAGATATGCATGATACATTTCATAGTACTAAAAGTGAGTAACTAGCATACAGTACAGTATTTTATATGTAGTTACTTGTACTGGTTACACATATATCTGACTTTAAAACAATCCAGAAAATCTGTCCACAATTATGAAGACAGATTTTTTGTATGGAGCCATTTATGTTTTGTATTATAGAGGAAAAGAGTTGACAAAGGACATATATGAAGTAAACATCAATGAGACAGCAACCCATTAACATAGTTTAATCAAAATAAACAAATTTAGGTCTCCATAAGAGGAAGAAAAAGAGTTCATACCTTGTGGCAAGATCTAAATTTACTGTAGTATAAAGATAACTTAATATTTAACATCAACATCAAATTTACAAAAGGCATACAGTCACTACCATATCTTAGTAACTACAATCCATATCATTAATCAATACCTAAATTTTAATCATTAATTCTTACTTATTTCCATGTTAAGCTCCACACCTAAGCAAAACTACAAGCCTTGGAGGATTAATAATCTAATGGCAAATGTCTTGAATAGTGACTGATGTCTGAAAATGTTTTAAATTGTGTCTTATGTCCTTTAAATAATGTATCATGTTGATATATACAGATTCTTACATGGATACCAGTGGATTTATCCAATCTCGATAGTTAAATTATCAATTTTAAAGGTCGAGCCTCGGCGAGGACTTTAAAATTTATAATTTAACTATCGAGATTGGATAAATCCGATAATCCACGAGTAACTATGTAAGAATCTGTTTCTCTAATGATTTAAAAATAAATTTTCCTTTTTTGCTAAACTAAAATCCCCTTCGAGTGCCTTCCACTTTCCATAAGGTTGTCAATTTCATTAACACCTGTTAGCATATTTTGATGCTTCCAGTGAGCTGAGAAAGGTTATGACCCTTAAACTCATCCAATCATCTTCTGAGATCACTGGCAACCACACGTTGATTAAATTTTTTTATACAATGGGTTCGGAAAGGGATAATTTCCATAGAATTAGAGAAACTAGATATATACTTGAATGACTAAGTTTGGTTAAATTTTATGCTAAGTTGCAGAATAATCTTAACAGTTATTATCCATACATAGTTGGTTTTTGTCGAGCCTGCGACTTTTGTCGCAGAAAGCTCGACATAGGAATAGTGATCCGGCGGCGTCGGCATTAACTAACTTCTTAAAAGCTTTATATTTTAGAAGCTGGAAGACCTGGATGCTTCATACTTTGTATATAGATGCCTTATGTTATGAAGTTTCTGTCTGTTATATGTCCATGGTCCTTGACCTCATTTTCATGGTTCAGTGACTACTTGAAAAAAAGTTCAGATTTTTTGTAATGTTTATTTCTCTCTTATTATGAGTAATAGGATAACTATATTTAGTATATGCGTGCCTTGCAAGGTCCTCATGCCTGTCAGACAGTTTTCATCTGACCTCGACCTCATTTCATGGATCAGTGAACAAGGTTTAGTTTTGGTGGTCAAGTCCATATATTAGATACTATAAGCAATAGGTCTACTATATTTGGTGTATGGAATGATTGTAAGGTGTACATGTCCAACTGGCAGGTGTCATCTGTCCTTGACCTCATTTTCATGGTTCAGTGGTTTAAGTTAAGTTTTTGTGTTTTGGTCTGTTTTTCTAATACTATATGCAATAGGTCAACTATATTTGGTGTATGGAAATATTTTACGATGTACATGTCAGTCTGGCAGATTTGCTCAGTGTTTAGTTTTTGTGTTTTGGTCTGTTTTTCTTAAACTATAAGCAATAGGTCAACTATGTTTGGTGTATGGAATGATTGTATGGTGTATATGTCTGTCTGGCAGGTATTATCTGACCTTGACCTCATTTTCATGGTTCATTGGTCAATGTTTAGTTTACTTGGTTAAGTTTGTTTCTTAGATACTTTAAGCAATAGGTCAACTATATTTAGTGTATGGAATGATTGTAAGGTGTATATGTCTGTCTGGCAGGTATCATCTGACCTTGACCTCATTTTCATGGTTCATTGGTCAATGTTAAGTTTTCATGGTTTAGTTTGTTTCTTAGATACTATAAACAATAGGTCAACTATATTTAATGCAAAGATTGATTGTAAGGTGTACATGTCTGTCTGGCATGGTTCATCTGATCTTGACCTCATTTTCATGGTTCATCGGTCATGATTAAGTTTCCAGATTAAGTTTGTTTCTTAAAAACTATAAGCAATAGGTGAACTAAATTTGGTGTATGGAATGATTGTAGGGTGTACATATATTTCTGGTTTAGTTTATCTGACCTTGACCTAATTTTCTGGATAATGTTAAGTTTATGTGATACTTATAGTAAAGCTTTATATTTAGGACTATCAACATAAAATTAATGGTCAGAAAAGCAGGCGAGACATTTCAGCGTGTGCACTCTTGTTTTCACTGCACAAGCATTGCAGTAGTAACAGTTGCCTGTACTGAAATGTTGTTACCTTGATTACATTTTTATGCATGAATGGTTCTCACTCAGCTTTGCATTAAAGTCTTGATATAAACTACAAGATATAGATAATTTATTATTTTGTGATGTACAATTATTAGACAGTAATGGAAGTTTCCTACTTCTAGAAATTATAGTCACCTTAATCTACTTGTTATTCATGGTTAGCCTTGCTTCAGTTTGCATTAAGGTCCAGATTGTAGCAACTACAAGCAATGCATGAGTGATAATTTATCAAGGCAGATACAATGTATTTCAGATAGTAACAATTTGAGCTTAATGCCAAAAAATGATATCTCTTAATAAAACTACATTTAATAAATGCCTCCTCAAATTGTAATTGTAGATTTAACAGTATATTCTGTGTTAACTGACAAGGATGAGTTTGCAGACTTTCTTCATAAAAACATGTCTATTCCAATAGATGACATCAATTCATTGTTAAATTCTACAGTAAATATACGCAAAGTGAGTAAATCTACACACAAAATAAGTTGAAAGCATCTGTAAAGTTTGATATTATAAACATAAAAGTTAATCTTTCATCATGTTGCTTTATAAATTTCAGAATTGAAAGTATATAAGTATGTGAAAAAGAAAAAGAAGGTCATGAACAACATTTAACTCTAAAAAAATTTTTAAATATTGACAAGTTTTCCTTGATTTCCTACTCATTCATAAGCGAATGTGTTAAAAGAATGCAATATTATATACAGTTTACAATTGATGCTTTTAAAATGACCATCCAGCTTTACCTCTGTAAGGAATACCATAAAACATAAGTGTAAATAGAAATGATTATTACATTGGTAGCATTGAATTACATTGATTTCCCAGTCAAATAAAAGCCTATAATTTCACTTGTGAAATAAACGTGGTTATTTCACTCTCTGACGTCATACAACAATAGGCGTTGTCAAGACGTCGATAACGTCGGATCAAAAAAAATTGTGGAATGCGTAGAAAAAAGATATAGTTCCTTACATTTTCTACATTAATTTCATTAAAAAAAGCCATTTGCCAATGTAATAAATAGAATAACTAATCAAAAGTTATTCTATAATTATATTGTGACCTTTAGGTGATCCTTGACATAGATTTTAACATTTTTTGTGAAATAGTTCACTTCAAAAAATGATTTCTTTTGATTGAAAAAGGCACAAAAATTCAGAACATATACTCTATCTGACCATTTTAGCCATCATATTATGTCTCCATTAGATTATGAAATTGACGTATCTAATTTTATGCAGATTTACAGACTTCTTTTCGGATCAGACATACTCTATACAGAAAATGGATATAAAGTGAGAGTAAGACGTGAAGTAGAAAAAGGGTTCATACATGATCTCAGACCATTTACCATACTTCATCATTTGACCAAATATTTACCTACGCATCAGGATTCAAGTATGGAAGATACTTTACACAATAGTGCCATTCAAAAGTTGATAAATCATATGATGGATCCTGATCTTCTTTTGAATGAAACATTTAACTTGCCAGCCAATGAACTTGCTCAAATTCTTAAGGTATTTTATTTATGCAGATGAAATTATTGTATTAAATCTCTTTTACAATATTATACTTCGATTAGTTTGTTAGGCATTTAAGACGTTCTTGCCTTACAATTATTAATGACATATTTATCATGTCAATTGTCTAATGAAATCTCTGTATTCAATATTAAAAGACTGAAAATCTGCATGTGTGATTGTCTGCTAGTGTGAATTTCTGTAGAAATCCAAAAAAATGTAGAAGCAACCCACTCCAACATGCTATTGTGAAATAACTCTTATTGAGAAATTTGAATCTGGAAAAAAACAGTGTAATATTGTGAACATTGGACAGAACATCAATAAAACTGTATGGGAAAAAACACTGTAAACTTTGTTATTAATAGGTTTTAAGTTATTCTGTATCATATAAAGACTGCACTAATTCATCAATTACAGTATTTTGTTTATGAATCCACAGAGATTGTTTATGTGAAAATTACAACAAATTTATCATGCAGTTTATAATAATGTTACTTAAATATTTCAAATTCATTTGTGATAAAAAATGATTTTAAATGTTTTTTTTCACTCATTTTCAAAATTTTAGAGATAAAATTGTATGGAAGAGGATTAATTACTTGAAGTAAGATGAATATTTTTAACTATTTCAGGGGATCCTATTGTCTCCTTCTAATTTACATAAAATTAGCTGTGATAATAAAGAATTTTTACAGATATTCATCCAAGATTCATCTTCAGACACAATTCTTATGGTAGGTATATTTTTTTTAAGCATTGCTACTGAGTATTTTATTGTTATCATCAGAATAAAGTTGTGATCGTACCAAAATAATGCTGTATCAAAGAGTTAAGCTCTCTAAGTGCCTGTTTACACTGTTTTAAATCTATTACAACATGTGTGTATTATATCAATTTAACTTGAAAAGGTACTGAAATTTGGAATTGAACAGGAAAGTAAGTTGACTCCCGTTTTAACCTTGTCCTGTTGCTAATTGGTCAGATTATATTTTTTTTATTTTAGGAGGAACTACAGAAACGTTTATGTAACCTTAGTATAGATGAGTTGAAAAGTTTATCATCAGAACTTCAGAGACAAATAAATGAGACAGAAATGATAGAAATTGTAAGTTTGTATGGTGACTTTAAAGTCAGCAGAGAATAAAGTGATTAAAATAGTAATATGATGTGATATTTTATAGTTTCAAGATGATTTATTAAAGTTTTGCCAGCTTATGGAGATAAATAACAATATATTATGTTTTCACACATAGGAAAAATTGTATTACCATATTTAGTCTGATATTTATGTCAAATCATATATTTTTAATATAAATTTAAATTAATTTTTTTTCAGTTTCATTTGAACAGTTTTAATATAACTAGAGAAATACATGACATCCAGAAATTTATGACAAAGGTAAGATATCATCTTCTTTTTGGACTACAAGTCACAAACCAAATAAAGGATGAGGTATGATAAGAGCCATTATTTGGCCCCTGAAATTGCACAAATAAGTAAACTTATTCACATCTTTCTAGTTATGTCAATTATATTGATAAATGAACTAGTTGGTTTTTAATCTGAAAATTTTAGTACAGAAAGATCACATGTGATGTCACTATGATGTCATAAACATGTAAAAATTTATGTTTTTGACCTAAAAGGGCCATATCACACTCAGTTTTGCGGCATAATATATATATTAGCAAGAGCTTTACCCTAAAAGATATTTTATACACATTAACATCTTTGTAAAATACATTTTGTAGCAAAATGTCTTTTGTTTTGGTAAAGCTCTTACTCATTTCTTAAGCTAATTTGGCAGTTTTTGCTGTTTTGCACTAAATTAAAAGAAATTGCAATCCCTAATTCCAATATGTGAGACAAAATTCAAAATATAAATGCTGATGTCCAACAGGGCATAGGACGTTTGCGCTTTTTTATCTGTAACAATATAGGACATTTGCGCTTTAAATTTTGATACACCTGTAGTAAATTGACTGGACATTTGCGTTTTTTATACGCCCGTCAAATTTTTGACGGGACGTATTATGGTATACAAATGTCCGGTGTCCGCCCGTCTGTCTGTCCGGCATAAACATGTCGCACCGTAACTTGAGAATGACTTATCCAAATTTCTTGAAACTTAATATAGTTGTTTCTTATGATGGTCAAACGATCTGTATACTTTTTGGTGAAAATAAGATTAAAACTTTTTGAGTTACGGGACTTAGTAACTAAAACAGGTGTGTTTTTTTTTTTCGCATGTCGCGCCGTATCTCAAAAACAATTTATGATTATTGCTTAAAACTTTACACACTTCTTAGTTATATTAATCTTAAGATCTGTATACTTTTTGGTTTTGATTCAAAATTTTATTTTAGAGATATTGAGTATTTTGTTAAAAAAGGGGAAGGGGTTTTTCACATGTCGCGCCGTATCTCAAAAACAGTTTATGATTATTGCTTAAAACTTTACACACTTCTTAGTTATATTAACCTTAAGATCTGTATACTTTTTGGTGATGATTCAAAATTTTATTTTTGAGTTATTGAGTATTTTGTTAAAAAAAGGGGGAGGGGTTTTTCACATGTCGCGCCGTATCTCAAAAGCGATTTATGATTATTGCTTAAAATTTTACACACTTCTTAGTTATATTAATCTAAAGATCTGTATACTTTTTGGTTTTGATTCAATATTTTATTTTAGAGATATTGAGTTTTTTGTAAAAAAAAAAAGGGGGGTTTTCGCATGTCACGCCGTATGTCAGAAACTATTTATGCTTATTGCATAAAAATTCACACACAAGACGACGGGCGTATCATGTCGTTAGTTAGTTCACATTGACACAGTCTTAAACATAGAGTTTTGTCATTTTGCCTATGAAAAAGCGCAAACGTCCCTCGCCGGTCCAACAGACATCTTTTAAACATCTGAAGGTTGTTATTTGGTAATTATATAATACCTTATTGATTTTTGGACTCAAGGGGCCAAAAAAGTGGCCTTATCATACCATCTCCTTTATTGTTTCGAAATGGAGTCCACGAACAAATTTATGATCAATTGATTTATGATATATCAAATACTTTATTTAGATTTATTTGTAAATTAAAAATGCAATTTTTGCCAATATTTTTGTTAGTCTTCCTTTATAGGTATACCTAAAAGGTAGAGCTTTTCAAAATAAGTTAAAAATATTGAGTCTTGACAGATTTTCCATTGTATACTTTCTCCTTTAGTTTAGTATGCACTAGAGAGGTTCTGAGTAAAACGATATTTGCATGAAGCAAACGAGAGATATACAAATTGCAAGAATTTTTTAACATGCTGAGAGCTGGACCCTTATTCAACATTTGCCAGGTGTTTTAACATGTCCATTCCAACAGGACATCTGTTGATTTATAAGACTTGTGGTACAATATTTCCATACATGACATGTTTTTCTGTAATTAAACTTTTTTATTCCTTTTGTTTTTCCATAAATCTTTAGATCTGTCTACACAACTATTTGTGGATAAGGTTGTATTTTATCCTAATGGTTACACAACCTATCAATATAATGAAAAATGTAAACTTCTTCCAAGATTATGCCTCCATGACCACTGTGGTCTTTAAAAGTATTATTGGGCAAATGATTCCTAGACTAAGACATGTAGGGTTCACAATATGGAACTTCTTATCAATGCTATAGGATACTAGGTATAGCCCCTCAAAGCTCTAGTTATTTATGAAATAATAATGATAAAGCTTATATTTCAGCTACAAAAGTTTTATGAATTTGAAGTGACCTTGACTGAAATGGCATTCTTAGCTGATTATCTTCCACAAGATGCTTGTATAGATGGTAACAGTACTTCAGCTACAACCCCCGCTATGAATACATCAACAACAGGGAGGCCACCTATTAGTGGGGATAGTGAAAAGGACGATTCACATAAGGATGGCAAAGGAGGTCATAAAGGCAATAATGATCCGGTAAATACTGATTGAATTACTCAAAATGTCAGACTAATTATTCCTCAAATTGTGAATTTACAGAGCTGTCTTCTGTTCGAAGACCACCGAAAGTTTCTTTGTTGAAGAAGTGTATGCTCTTACTTTTTTATACGCCCGTCAAAATTTTGACGGGACGTATTATGGTATACAAATGTTGTCTGTCTGTCCGGCGTAGACATGTCGCACCATAACTTGAGAACGACCTATCCAAATTTCATGAAACTTAAAATAGTTGTTTCTTATGATGGTCAAACGATCTGTATACTTTTTGGTGAAAATAAGATTAAAACTTTTTGAGTTACGGGACTTAGTAACTAAAACAGGTGTGTGTTTTTTTTCACATGTCGCGCCGTATCTCAAAAACAATTTATGATTATTGCTTAAAACTTTACTCACTTCTTAGTTATATTAATCTTAAGATCTGTATACTTTTTGGTGATGATTCAAAATTTTTTTTGTTGAATTATTGAGTATTTTGTAAAAAAAGGGGAGGGGTTTTTCACATGTCGCGCCGTAACTTATAAACGATTTATGATTATTGCTTAAAATTTTACACACTTCTTAGTTATATTTATCTAAAGATCTGTATACTTTTTGGTTTTGATTCAAAATTTTATTTTAGAGATATTGATTTTTTTTTTTAAAAAGGGGGGTTTTCACATGTCGCTCTGTATCTCAAAAACGATTTATGATTATTGCTTAAAATTTTACACACTTCTTAGTTATATGAATCTAAAGATCTGAATACTTTTTGGTTTTGATTCAAAATTTTATTTTAGAGATATTGAGTTTTTTTTTAAAAAAGGGGGGTTTTCACAATGTTGAGCCGTATGTCAGAATCTATTTTATGATTATTGCATAAAAATTCACACACAAGATGACCGGCGTATGATGCGCTCATGGCGCAGCTGTTTATTTACACTAATGGCATATATGTTCTTATGATAACTTTAAATGTCAATGAAATCACACATTGTAGCCTTTAAATTAGACAGAGCTAAGCAAAAATCTCACCCAAGAACATTGATATTGTAATGAGCAATAGTAAAAAATTATGCAGGTAAGATTTTCCTCAATTTGCATAAACACTTATGACAGGGATGTTACAATATAAATGAGAATGAGAATACAAAGATAAGTAAGGATGGTGACATTGCATAGGTTGTATAATGTTAACATAAATACTTATGACAGGGATGTTACAATATAAATGTGAATGAGAATACAAAGATAAGTAAGGATGGTGACATTGCATAGGTTGTATAATGTTAACATAAATACTTATGACAGGGATGTTACAATATAAATGTGAATGAGAATACAAAGATAAGTAAGGATGGTGACATTGCATAGGTTGTATAATGTTAACATAAATACTTATGACAGGGATGTTACAATATAAATGTGAATGAGAATACAAAGATAAGTAAGGATGGTGACATTGCATAGGTTGTATAATGTTAACATAAATACTTATGACAGGGATGTTACAATATAAATGTGAATGAGAATACAAAGATAAGTAAGGATGGTGACATTACATAGGTTGTATAATGTTAACATAAATACTTATGACAGGGATGTAACAATATAAATGTGAATGAGAATACAAAGATAAGTAAGGATGGTGACATTGCATAGGTTGTATAATGTTAACATAAATACTTATGACAGGGATGTTACAATATAAATGTGAATGAGAATACAAAGATAAGTAAGGATGGTGACATTGCATAGGTTGTATAATGTTAACATAAATACTTATGACAGGGATGTTACAATATAAATGTGAATGAGAATACAAAGATAAGTAAGGATGGTGACATTGCATAGGTTGTATAATGTTAACATAAATACTTATGACAGGGATGTTACAATATAAATGTAAATGAGAATACAAAGATAAGTAAGGATGGTGACATTACATAGGTTGTATAATGTTAACATAAATACTTATGACAGGGATGTTACAATATAAATGTGAATGAGAATACAAAGATAAGTAAGGATGGTGACATTGCATAGGTTGTATAATGTTAACAAATGACAGAAAACAATGAACAATAATCCATCACAATTGAAGTATATAACTTTGTAATAAAATGAAGGTACATGGGAAATAATTATTTTATAGACAAAAACTAAGATGTATGGAATGTTGCACTTATGGAATGTAGTGCAGAAAACAATATGTGGAAAAGAAACACATGCTCACATAAATCCTGCCAAAAAATCAACAAAAGGTGGTGGAATTCAACATCTGGATCTCAGTAAGTATTGTACTTTAACCTTATTTTAATGCAAACCTTTAACAAAGAATGATAGTGTTTTGATGGGGTGGGGCATTCCTGTTGTCTTGACACATTTGATTTGATTTGACAGCATTGTTAGGTTGCTTTCCCATTACTGTATTCTCTGTAATTGATTTTTTGAGAGAAAAAACTGTGACATTGTTGTGCTATGATGTTTTGTTTTTATTTCTTTTCTAATTGACTGCCAAATGTTATTTCAACTTGAAAAAACAAAAATGTCTGCATATTTGTATGTCTAAGAGATGTACTTTCTCAGGTTCATGTAAAAATTTATTGTTTAATGGTAGTATCCTTCCCATTTTTGTTGCCATTAGAATGGTTTCTTTTCTAAATTTATCCATTGATATTTATCAAAAAAATCATGAAATGCTCCAAAACTTTTGATATTCCCTCTTTGTTAAGCAATGAATCTCTGAAGTGATTGAATAATTATAATTTTCTACATATAGGTGATCTAGACGTGTCTGCAGCACAACAGAATCATTTGAAGATCCTAGTACATGTACTGTTCAGTAATCCTAAAGTACTGTATGCTCCAAACAATACAGCTGCAGATACCATTATTATAAAGGTAAGAATCTTAGCTGTTCACTTACCATCACAGGTATATATTCAAGAAATCTAAACTAATCTTTGCTAAAATCATCTATTTCATCTAGGAATCTTTACTTATCATACTGAAAGATTTCTGTTATCGTCACTTTTATCTAGTTATTTAATCTCCCCTGACTAAAAGGTAGCTCTTATCATCAGTTGGTACCTGAGAATCTGTTATAGAATTACTGAAAAGAAGATATTACCTTTATTTGGCATCTCAGCATTTTCTGAAGAAACTAATACCAGCACTTGCCATTAGGCATAATCAGTGTTGTATAAACCTTTCATATTTATTGGGGTAAAGATTGCATTCATGCAATCAAAACCCTTATGGGTTTAATCAACAGTTTCTCCATTTAGGCATGATACATGCACATTTCAGATAATCAAAACTGTATGAATTTCATAGATTTTAACCTGGTTTTTTAAAAAAAAAGTCTCCCTTCAGGGTACATTTTCTTTCCCCAGAAAGAGCTACAGTAGCTACAAATAAGTTTTCAATTTTCACTACAAAAAAGGGAGAAGTTTACAGTGTTGTCTCCCCTGAACAAGTATAGATATTCTATTTTTTGTCTCGCCTTTGAAGGAGTCAAAAAGCGAGACATAGGTATGCTGTTTCCGGTGGCAGCGGCGCCAACAATGTATTAGTTTTTGATTAGGTCTAGTTCATAGTGAACCACTAGGGGTAGGTCAGTGATATTTAGTATGCAGTTGTATTAGCATTGGCACATCTCATTACCAGGATTATTTGGCCCCGCCCCCTCAGTCAAGGTCTATTGACTTTGAAACTTTGCTTAGTTTACATGTATTAGTTTGTGATTAGGTCAGTTTATGGGGAACCACTAGTGGTAGGTCAATGATATTTCATGTGCAGTTGTATAAGCATTGGCATATCTCATTTCCATGGAGTTTGTTTGGCCCCGCCCCCTCATTCATGGTCTATTGACTTTGAAACTTTTGCTTAGTTTTCATGTATTAGTTTGTGATTAGGTGAGTTTAAGGGGACCTGTTAGTGGTAGGTCAATGATAATTGGTATGCAGTTGTATAAGCATTAGCACATCTCATTTCCATGGAGAATATTTGGTCCTTACCCCTCAGTCATGGTCTATTGACTTTGAAACTTTTGCTTAGTTTACATGTATTAGTTTGTGATCAGGTCAGTTTAAGATGAACCACTAATGTTAAGTCAATGATATACAGTGTGCAAATGTATTGGCATTTGCAAGTTTCATTTCCATGGAGATTATATAACCCCACCCCCTAATTATGGTTCATTGACTTTGAAACTTTTACATAGTTTACAGGTTAATGTTTGTGTTTAGGTTTGTTTTAAGGGAATGACTTATGAAAAGTCAATGGTATTTGGTTTGCAGTTGTATTAGCATTGGCACATCTCATTTCCATGGAGATTGTTTAGCCCTGTATCTTCAGTCATGGTTCATTGACTTTGAATATTTGCATAACTTACATGTTAAAGTATTGCTATTTTAATTTCAACATTTGCATTAACAAAATAACAAATAGGCGAGACATATCTCTGTGTTAACAGTTTATTTAAATCAATTTGATCATTCAACCTGTTTTAATTGCAACTAACTAACTTTCAAATTCTTACCAGCAAATGCAAAAAACTTTTTTTACCAATTATGTGAATAAAAAAGGATTTCCCCCAGGGATTCCAAAATTTTTTTGAGCCAGCCGGACATTTCATATCTTATCCCGATTTTAAATCCCTTTAGACTTAGTAAATTAGGCAACTATGATAATCAGTTGGCCATCATATATGATATAACCAATGATTGACATTAAAACGATATTAAACTTTACTTTGATATAAATTCGATGTTCTGACGTAAAGTGTTAAATTGAAAGTGCAGCATTCGAAGTGTGCAACATCAGCGTACTAATTCCACTTTAGACTCTTTATTTGTGCAAAATAATGTTGTCAAAAACTTTACTTTCGTTTTAAAATTAACTTTTACTAATGCCGGATGTTGACTAGACAATGGTAAATCATGGATCAGAGACGGATACATAATATCCGTGTAAGTTTACGATTGAGTTAAGTAGCCTTTTCAAGTTATTTCTTCAAGAAAATACTCGAAATGAACGTTAGATAAAGGTATCATTGATAATTTTAGCATTATTGAAGAATTAGGATACATAATTAAATTTCCTACCAGCGCATAATAGACAATATAGACACATGCGCACACTTGTACTATTTCAAACAACGTGGTTCTGACGATTATTCGTTTAAACCTTTTCAAATTTTTCATCAAATCATATTTATTAACGTATTTCTTATAATTTCAATCTTTTAGACTAAATTAATTAGATGCAACCCGCTGAAATGTAAGAAAATAAGTTTGAATACCCTTTAGCGTACCCCAGTATTTAACACGATGTACAGTGTTTATAATGAATATCATACAAATTCGAATTCATTTATAAATATTCTTATTTGAAGAATTATTTTAAAATCTATGGATACTTTTTTTAAAACTGAATGCTCATTTACAATAATATCTACAAAGCGTAATTAAATAGTTGTTCCATACACGCTTACATGTTTGACCTCGTTTACCTGATCACCTTTATGTCCATTGTTATGCATCATCAATTCTATTGATTAAGACAAGCTAAGGTCTCTCATCAAAGGCATGTAATCAGTGAATGATTTATGGCTTCAATATTACTTATTGAAGGGATAATTGTTTGACAGCTTGTTGTTTTTTAAATAAAAGAACAAATGTTTTTTCTACTTTTTATTGATGTACCAAGCTGTGCATTAATGTACCCAGAGGATTAGACTAACTGAGACACTTCAAAGTATGAAATATGCTGCATCTGTTTAATTAAACCCAAATATGACCGAAATATCTTTGTGAAATAGATTGCCACAATTATTATAAACTATAATGCCCAAACGGACATTTTTACCAATCGATAGTTGGTAAAAAAAGTGAAATGACCGTTTTATGAAAATGCCTTGAATAACAAAAAGTGGCAAACCTATGATATTTGACCTGTTTGAGGCTGAGAGCAGCCGGACTTTTTATATAAATTTCGGTCAAGTCCGGAATATATGACCGTTTTGGAAGCCATGATTTCCCCCATGACTATTTTTATTCTGGGTATAACCCCTATATTTTGAACAAAACTGTTTTCAACTCTGTCTATAATCTACAATTAAGGAAAATATTTCCAATTTAAAATATTACCTTCCATTGCTAGAATAATGCAATGTTTAATTTAGATTCCCACTGTAAAATGAATCAGTGTTCACATGCCTTTGATTTTTAAAGCTCTCAGACATATGTGGACATATACAATTCTCAAAGACATGTAGCTGTGTTCCATTAGGTATAAGGTCTAGTGAAGCTGATTTTCTTGGCAAAACTCTTTGGTAAGAATTATCTCTAATCATGAATCCTATATGAAGAGTTATACCAGTTAGCTAAAATTTTGTAAAAGTATATGATATGGTAATAATTTTGTTTTTATTTTTGCTAACAGAATTGACACTTTTATGGAAAAATACTAACTTCTTGTATTATTTTTCTAGGCTAATCAAACATTCCAGTTGATTCAGGAAGTTAATATATATGCCAGAAAATGGCAGAATGTTTCAGCAGAACTTAGAGCTTACTTACTAGAAAATAAAACAGAACATAATCTGATATCTATACGACAAGTGAGTCATTAATACAAGCAGTAGTGCAGAAAAAAAAATGTTCATAGGATACAACATTAAAATACATACATATGTTCATAGGATATAACATTAATATACATACATATGTTCATGGGATACAACATTAAAATACATACATATGTTTATAGGATATAACATTAATATACATACATATGTTCATAGGATACAACATTAATAAACATACATATGTTCATGGGATACAACATTAAAATACATACATATGTTTATAGGATATAACATTAAAATACATACATATGTTCATAGGATATAACATTAATAAACATACATATGTTCATAGGATACAACATTAAAATACATACATATGTTCATAGGATACAACATTAATAAACATACATATGTTCATGGGATAGAACATTAATATACATACATATGTTCATAGGATACAACATTAATATACATACATATGTTCATAGGATACAACACTAATATACAAACATATGTTCATAGGATACAACATTAAAATACATAGATATGTTTATAGGATATAACATTAAAATACATACATATGTTCATAGGATATAACATTAATAAACATACATATGTTCATGGGATAGAACATTAATATACATACATATGTTCATAGGATACAACACTAATATACATACATATGTTCATAGGATACAACACTAATATACATACATATGTTTATAGGATACAACATTAATATACATACATATGTTCATAGGATACAACATTAATATACATGCATATGTTCAAGGATACAACATTAATATACATACAACTAAGAAAAAAAAAGTTTGCAATACATTAATGACACAATTGAAGTCCATAAATGGTAATGAAATGGTGGCAACTCAAAAGCATTATAAGAAATGCACTTTTTTATAGCTCACCTGGCCCAATGGGCCAAGTGAGCTTTTCTCATCACTTGGCGTCCGTTGTCTGTCGTCCGTCGTCAGTTAACTTTTACAAAAATCTTTTCCTCTGAAACAACCTATCCAAATTTAACCAAACTTGGCCACAATCATCATTGGGGTATCTAGTTTTAAAAATATGTCCGATGAACCCACCTGCCAACCAAGATGGCCAACATGGCTAAAAATAGAACATAGGGGTAAAATGTAGATTTTGGCTTATATCTCTGAAACCAAAGCATTTAGAGCAAATCTTACTGTGGGTGGGGGGGGGGGGGGGGGGGGGAGTAAAATTGTTCATCAGGTCAAGATCTATCTGCCCTGAAATTTTGAGACAAATCAGACAACCTGTTGTTGGGTTGCTGCCCCTTAATTGGTAATTTTAAGAAAATTTTGTAGTTTTTGGTTATTTATAGATAGAGATAAACTGTAAACAGCAATAATGTTCAGCAAAGTAAGATCTACAAATAAGTCAACATGACCAATATTGTCAATTGACCCTTTAAGGAGTTATTGCCCTTTAAAGTCAATCTTCTTCTCTGAAACTACTGAGACAAGTTTAACCAAACTTGGCAACTATCATCATTAGGGTATGTAGTTAAAAAAATGAGTCTGATGACCCCGTCTGCCAACCAACATGGCCACCATGGCTAAAAATAGAACATAGGGGTTTACTATAGAAGTCTTTGGGAAAACTGTAAAAAAATTTCAAATGGTCACAACTTGAAAACTAATTTAAATAATGATAAGGGGTCTTCAGTAACTATTGTATTACTACAATGGGATGACTTGCTTTTAATTTATTTACTGGGGTAAAGTAAACCAAACTTGGCCTCAATCATTATTAGGGTATCTAATACTAATTATTATGATTTCAACCTTATTTTACATGATTTCCAAAACCCCAGTAGATACAGGTGAGCAGTACAGGCTCTTGAGAGCCTCTAGTTTAGTGTACTACCCTAATTAATTATTCCACATGTAAGTTTTGTTACACTGTGTCATATTATGGCAAATTAGAATGATTTTTTTTTTTCTGAATGTAAAACAATTACTTCAATTTTATTCAAACTTATTTTTTTGTATTTTTCAGATGCAACAAGAAATCAATAATACACATGGACTGATCCCAAGTTATATTAAATCCTCCCCATTAATGACAAAGTTTTTACAAAGAGAAGTACCAGATATAAGCCACTTTCTTCATCAATTAGATTCCATTGATAATGCAGCATGCAGCTGGCTGTCACTGATATCAAATTTTACTTTGGATGTTTTCCGTGGATTTGCTTCTGAAGAGGATTTAGTTAACTACTTTTTGACAAAAGCTTACCATGAAAATGTTACAACAGTAGCAGGTAAGAAATTCTCTGAAAAATGTGTCAGAAACAAAAATGGTTTTAAAAGTTTTATTTTTAAACCAAGCAGACAGAACCTTTGTTGAATACAGGTATTTATACAACCGCAATAAATTTGCGGTCGTATATTGGTATCACGTCGTTGTCAGCGTCGTCCGAAGACATTTGGTTTCCGGACAATAACTAAGTAAATGCAAATAGAAATCTATGAAATTTAAACACAAGATTCACAACCACAAAAGGAAGGTTGGGATTGATTTTGGGGGTTATAATCCTAACAGTTTAGGAATTAGGGGCCAAAAAGGGGCCCAAATAAGCATTTTTCTAGCATCCAGACAATAACTTGTGGAACGGTGTATGGATCTCTCTGAAATTATACCACAAGTTTCCATACCACAAAGGGATGGTTAGGATTGGCTTTGGGGGGTTATGGCTCAAACCATTTTGGAATTAGGGGCAAAAAGGGGGAAAACAAGGGTTTCCTGGTTAATGGACAATTAAAAAAAAGTATAATGTTATGTTTGGAGTACCTCCCTTTTAAATTATGTATAAAGAAATTTTGTATTGTCTTGAGGTGATTATCTGTCAATTTATTTTTAGAAGTTACTATTTAAAAATGCTGATTAAGGAATATTAATTTTAGCCATGATTATGTATGTCATTTTATATTTTAAGACTTTTATGATGTATTTAAATGGGTAATTATGGTTGCAAACTCCATTGGAAATTTGAATTGAGATTATGACCATATCTTGAGGGAAAGGATTTTTTTTTTTGGAAAAAGGGGGAGGGAGGTGAAAAAAAAATTGGGGGGGAGGGGGTATAAAAAGAAATTGTGAGGGGGGGTTTCTCATTTCAGATTTCAGAAATTAAAAAGAAAATTTCATCAAATATTTTTTTTTTTTTGCAAAATAAAGGGGGGTGTTAAAATTTTTTTATTTTTTTGGGGTGTGGGAGGTTAATTCGCAACAGCATAGTGTATTGCACAAAAGCAATAAATTGAATATAAATTCAAATCATATAACCAATTCTAAGTTCTTTGACTACAGTTATTCTGTGTCAGAAACCTATTATGTGTCAAATATTTAATTACAATCCAAATTCAGACCTGTATCAAGTGCGAATATTGTGTCCATTTTTGCCGCAACTGTTCAAAATAATTGAAGATCCACATCTGAATTTGTTTTAAAAAAATGAAATCCTGAAATCTCTTAAATGCAATTAAAACATTTTTATATTTGATTTTTTTGATAGATGACTTTCACATCCTTGCATTTTCCAGTACATTTCCGATGTCCCATTGGTGTTAAAATTATATCACAGAAAGAGTTGATAGTTCAATGATATAATTTATGATGATTGTTCTCAGGTCAACCTGGGGTAACTTATTCATAATTTAGGACTCAAATTGGTCTATTATACTTTTCATTAATCCTGGATCCTTCTCAAGACCCCCAAACCTTTGCTTGATATGAGAATCTCAGTCTAATTCCATGACAGATATGGAACATTTTGTGTCCTAAAATAAGGAATATTTTCTATAGTACAAAAGAATTCTTTTGTAGAATTATAGGTTACATAATGAGTGAGAATTGGATATCCCATGATATCAACGCAAGTTATTAAATTTCAATATAATAATAAACGAGCCTTTGGCAAGTTTATTATTACTATTTGAATTAAATAATGAGAGTTGATATCATGCGATATCCAATTCTCACAAGTTGTTAAACCCATTTCTCTTATGGTCAACACTCGTTGTGTTAAATTAAAAATTCCGCGAATAGTTGATCTAGTCTTTTTCACATTCAAGTATGACGTCATATGTCCTGCTCCGGTGTCAAACTTTAACATCTGACATTTTAAAACTTTTTGTACGCTTCAGAATGTAATAAAATTTGACAAAAAGAAGATTTTCGGAAAAGTGTTATTGTTTAGTATACTATTGAAATAATCACATATGTCCGTTGCCATGGACGAAATGTACATCGTCTTAACCTTTAAAAGTCATCAATGACCTAATGAATAGCCAATGGAAATGTTGTAATATCGTCTCGTGATGCTGGATAAGCAAATCAAAGTAACTCAGATTTTTTTATCTTTTTTTCGTAAATATCTCTTTATGAAAGAAATAGATAACAAGCCACAACCATAAGAGAATGGAAAATAACTGATTCCATAAATTAGATCTGTACGTTGCATGGTTGCATGAAATAATTTTGAAACTTGATGTTAGTATATAATACATGTATTCCAGGTGTAATATTTGAAAATATGCCGAAGACAGGAGAGCTACCTGCCCATGTGACATACAAAATACGACAAAATACATCTTTTACGCCAACAACAAAGTTTGTCCGCAATAGATACTGGTTTCCTGGACCAGGTCCATGGACTTATCAATACTACCATTTTGGATTTGTGTGGATACAGGTATAATCTTTTACTGACAAATACATGGATGATTCAGTATAATTTAAAGGAGATATGGGGTTAATGGTAATGGGACAGGTGGACAGCAACCCAACATTATTTAAAAAAATGAATTTAAATATGAACCTTTGGCCAATACAAAAATTTCTGAAAGGTTTGTCTGAAATGCCATTTTGATTAGAAATATAAATCAAAGAGAGATCAAAAGTCCACATTGCCATACTTTAAGAAAATTTCAAAGAGATTATCATTTGATTATTACATTATTTGTACCCTTCACAGATTCTTACATTTGTAATGTGTAGCAATCAGATACAATAGTATCAAAAAGTAAAATAACAAAAATACAGAACTCCAAGGGAAATTCAAAACGGAAAGTCCTTTATAAAATGGCAAAATCAAAAGTTCAAGCACATCTAACGAATGCAAAACAACTGTCACATTCCTGACTTGGTACAGGCATTTCCTTATGTAGAAAATGGTGGATTAAACCTGGTTCTATAGCTAGCTAAACCTCTCACTTGTCTGACAGTTGCATAGAATTCCATTATATATAGATTACTTTTATATTGATAGGATATTATAGAGAGAGCTATTATTGATGTTCAGACTGGAAGAGATGTTATAGAACCTGGTGGATACATCAGACAATTCCCTTTCTCCTGCTATAAATATGATAAGTAAGTATACAGGGGAGGTAATAAGATAGATACATCAGACAATTCCCTTTCTCCTGCTATAAATATGATAAGTAAGTATACAGGGGGAGGTAATCAGATGGATGTATCAGACAATTCCCTTTCTCCTGCTATAAATATGATAAGTAAGTATACAGGGGAGGTAATCAGATGAATGTATCAGACAATTCCCTTTCTCCTGCTATAAATATGACAAGTAAGTATACAGGGGAGGTAATCAGATGAATGTATCGGGCAATTCCCTTTCTCCTGCTATAAATATGATAAGTAAGTATACAGGGGAGGTAATCAGATGAATGTATCAGACAATTTCCTTTCTCCTGCTATAAATATGATAAGTAAGTATACTGAATAAAAAGGGCTCATTCAAAACTCATAAGTCGAGATAAATTGACAATGCCATGGCATAGATAGTGAAATTAGTCAATGAAAAAGTTATTTACAATTGTAAATTCTTTTTAAGAAATATTTGATGAGTTTAAGGGGTGGAATTCAGATAAATATATAATTAAACAAATTTAGTACAGCTGTAGGATGTGGCATCACATGTTTCCCTATAAACTGTCCCTAAACCTGGCCCCGTATTCACAAAACTATCATAACGTAACGACTGTCGTAAGGTAAGTTTTACGATATCGTAAATTGCAACTTGTATTCACAAAAGAAACTTACGATGCGATGTGTTGTAAATATTGTAATAAACTTACGACTGCTCGATGCCTGTCGTAACTGTCAATCGTGATCGTAAAAATGGAGGCAGCACTAACATAAGAAAAAACGAACGATTCATTAGACGAACAAGAGTATTTTTAATAGTTCTTATCCCTATGAAAGCCCGATGATTTCCTATTTATAGATGCAGACTTCAAAGGCATAAAGTTGTAATTATGAGTATGTCTCTATGATGGTGGAAGTACATCTTAAACAGAGAACAACTTGATATATGCTAATATCGGTTTGAAACATTCTTAAACATCCAAGTAGATGTAATTGGGAGCTGGATATTCCCAAAACAGAAGTACCCCGAAATAATATTGTTTTCCGTCTTGAATGATTCGCGTAAATAAACAAAATACAGACAGATATCGGAAACATACAATGGCAAGCACCATGTTTTGGCAAGAGAAACTCAAAAAATAATTCGGACCAAAAACAATATAGAGGGTGCAAAATGGCATTATATGTTAAAGATTCTGAGAGTTACAAATGGGCTCTATGTACAGTGTGCAGATATTTATGCATTCTCAAATTTAACCCAAACATTCTTTCGAAATTCTATCAAGCTGTTAAGGAGCAGTTGCTGATACAAATGATGGACAGAATGACAAATAAAAAAAAAAAAAAACAGACGAACCAATGAACGAACGAACAGACTCCCGTGTGGTTTGGCTAGCCACAAAACCAGGTTCAACCCACCATTTTTGTTGAGCTTGCGACTTTTGTCGCAGAAAGCTCGACATAGGGATAGTGATCTGGCGGCTACGGCGGCTGCGGCTTAGCTAACTTCTTAAAAGCTTTATATTTTAGAGGGTGGAAGACCTGGATGCTTCATACTTTGTATATTGATGCCTCATGTTACGAAGTTTCCGTCAGTCACATGTCCAATGTCCTTGACCTCATTTTCATGGTTCAGTGACTACTTGAAAAAAGAGTTCAGATTTTTTATACGACCGCAAAAATTAAAAATTTTTTGGTCGTATATTGGTATGACGTTGGCGTCGTCGTCGTCGTCTTCTGGCGTCGTCCGGCGTCGTCCGAAGACACATTGGTTTTCGCACTCTAACTTTAGTTTAAGTGAATGGATCTCCGTGAAATTTTACCATAAGGTTCAATACCACAAAAGGAAGGTTGGGATTGATTTTGGGGGTTATGGTACCAACAGTTAAGGAATAAGGGCCAAAAAGGGGCCAAAAATAAGCATTTTTGTAACTTCCAGACATAACTTGTGTGTTAGTGTATGGATCTCTCTGACATTGTACCACAAGGTTTCATATCACAAAGGGAATGCTGGGATTGATTTTGGGGGTAATTGCCTCAAAATTTTAGGAATTAGGGGCCAAAAAAGGGGCAAAAAACAAGCATTTTTCTAGTTTCATGATAATAACTAGTGTGTAAGTGTATGGATCTTTCTGAAATTGAACTACAAGGTTTCATATCACAAAGGGAAAGCTGGAATTGAGTTTGGGGGTAATTGCCCAAAACGTTTAGGAATAAGGGGCCAAAAAGGGGCCAAAAATATCATTTTTCTAGTTTCCAGACAATTACTTGTGTTCAAGTGTATGGATCTCTCTGAAATTGAACTGCAAGGTACCATACCAAATGGGGAAGGCTGGGATTGATATTGGGGGTAATTGCCTCAAAATTTTAGGAATTAGGGGCCAAAAAGGGGAAAAAAACAAGCATTTTTCTAGTTTCAGGACAATAACTTGTGTTCAAGTGTATGGATCTCTCTGAAATTGTACTGCAAGGTTCCATACCACAAAGGGAAGGCTGGGATTGAGTTTGGGGGTGATGAATCATAAGGGGTTTCAAAAAATTTTGGGGGGGGGATTTTTTTTTTTCATTTCTTTTCTTTTTTTCCTTTTTTTTTTCTTTTAAAATTTTCCATTTTAAGTTGGTTATTTCTGATTTATATTTAAGAGCAAATAATAATGATATGGTAGGAGATACACACCAAACAGGATGTGTAAATTATTATATAATAAGTATTGTGCAATAGCAAGAAATTTTCAATTGCACAGTATTGCACAATAGCAAGAAATCTTCCATTGCACAGTATTGCGCAATAGCAAGAAATCTTCAATTGCACAGTATTGCGCAATAGCAAGAAATATCCAATAGCACAATATTGCGCAATAGCAAGAAATTGTCAATTGTACAGTATTGCGCAATAGCAAGAAATATTCAATTGCACAGTATTGTGCAAAAGAAGATACTTCGTATAAATTGCTTATTTCTTGACCAATTTCAATGGGGTTTTATTCTTGAATTCTTGGGGTTCTTTAATGTGCTGAATCTAACCGTGTATTAAGTTTTTGGATTTTGGGCCCCGTTTTTAAATTGGTCCACATTGAGGTCCAAAGGGTCCAAAATTAAACTTTGTTTGATTTCATCAAAAATTGAATTATTGGGGTTCTTTGATATGCCGAATCTAACCGTGTATTTAGATTCTTAATTTTTGGTTCCGTTTTCAAATTGGTCTACATTAAGGTCCAAAGGGTCCAAAATTAAATTAAGTTTGATTTTAACAAAAATTGAATTCTTAGGGTTCTTTGATATGCTGAATCTAAACATGTATTTAGATTTTTGATTATGGGCCCAGTTTTCAAGTTGGTCCAAATCGGGGTCCAAAATTAAACTTTGTTTGATTTCAACAAAAATTGAATATATGGGGTTCTTTGATATGCTGAATCTAACCATGTATTTAGATTTTTGATTTTTGGGCCCTGTTATCAACTTTGTCCACATTGAGGTCAAAAGGGTCCTAAATTAAACTTTGTTTGATTTCATCAAAAATTGAATTCTTGGGGTTCTTTGATATGCTGAATCTAACCATGTATTTAGATTTTGGATATTGAACCATAATAGGTGAATGTCCAATTTAAAATTTTTAAGTTCTTAGACCACATTCATTCTGTGTCAGTAACCTATGCTGTGTCAAATATTTAATCACAATCCAAATTCAGAGCTGTATCAAGCTTGAATGTTGTGTCCATACTTGCCCCAACTGTTCAGGGTTCGACCTCTGCGGTCGTATCAAGCTGCACCCTGTGGAGCATTTTATTGTAATGTTAAATTCTCTCTTATTATAAGTAATAGGATAACTATATTTGGAATGTGCGTACCTTGCAAGGTCCTCATGCCCGTCAGACAGTTTTCACTTGACCTCGACCTCATTTCATGGATCAGTGAACAAGGTTAAGTTTTCGTGGTCAAGTCCATATCTCAGATCCTATAAGCAATAGGTCTAGTATATTCGGTGTATGGAAGGACTGTAAGGTGTACATGTCCAACTGGCAGGTGTCATCCGACCTTGACCTCATTTTCATGGTTCAGTGGTTATAGTTAAGTTTTTGTGTTTTGGTCTGTTTTTCTTATACTGTATGCAATAGGTCTACTATTTTTGGTGTATGGAAGGATTGTAAGGTGTACATGTCCAACTGGCAGGTGTCATCTGACCTTGACCTCATTTTCATGGTTCAGTGGTTATAGTTGAGTTTTTGTGTTTTGGTCTGTTTTTCTTATACTGTATGCAATAGGTCTACTATATTTGGTGTATGGAATGATTGTAAGGTGTACATGTCTAGCTGGCAGGTGTCATCTGACCTTGACCTCATTTTCATGGTTCAGTGGTTATAGTTAAGTTTTTGTGTTTTGGTCTGTTTTTCTTATACTGTATGCAATAGGTCTACAATATTTGGTGTATGGAAGGATTGTAAGGATTACATGTCTAGCTGGCAGGTGTCATCTGACCTTGACCTCATTTTCATGGTTCAGTGGTCAAAGTTAAGTTTTTGAGATTTGATCTTTTTTTCTAATACTGCATGCAATAGGTCTACTATATTTGGTGTATGGAATGATTGTAAGGTGTACATGTCTAGCTGGCAGGTGTCATCTGACCTTGACCTCATTTTCATGGTTCAGTGGTCAAAGTTAAGTTTTTGAGATTTGATCTTTTTTTCTAATACTATATGCAACAGTTCAACTACATTTGGTGTATGGAAATATTTTATGATCTATATGTCAGTCACGCAGGTTTTATTTGACCTTGACCTCATTTTCAAGGTTCATTGCTCAGTGTTAAGTTTTTGTGTTTTGGTCTGTTTTTCTTAAACTATAAGCAATAGGTCAACCATATTTGTTGCATGGAAGAATTGTTAGCTGTACATGCCTGCCTAGCATGGTTCATCTGACCTTGACCTCATTTTCATGGTTCATTGGTCAATGTTTAGTTTACTTGGTTAATGTTAAATTTATGTGACAGTTGTAATAAAGCTTTATATTTAGGACTGTCAACATAATATCAATGATTAGTAAAGAAGGCGAGACATTTCAGCGTGTGCACTCTTGTTTCTTAAAATGTCCTGTACCAAGTCAGGAAAATGGCCATTGTTATATTATAGTTCGTTGCTGTGTGTGTTGCATTTTAGTGTTGTGTTTCTGTTGTGTTGTTGTTCTCCTCTTATATTTGATGTATTTCCCTCAGTTTTAGTTCGTAACCCGGATTTGTTTTTTTTTTCTCAATCGATTTCTGAATTTCGAATAGCGTATACTACTGTTGCCTTTATTTAACAACGGGGGAATAGTTATCTGACTACTTCGTTTTGTCGTATAAATGAGCCCATACAGTTGTAAAACTGGAAAAATTAACTGTTAACACATAAGGGAAAAAAAGAAAAATAATAAGTTATCATGAAAACTCTTTTAGTGCACGAATGTAAATAAATAAGAGTTCTAGTAACAGGATAAAATCAGATTGTTTATTTCTTTTTAATCTTGTTCAAATACGTTAACCATTGAATCTTAAGATGGGTGTAACTGAATTCTTTTTTGTTCCTCATATGGTAAATACATTCAGAGTTAAGAATGTCATTGGTAAGGCAAAATAATAATTAAAAAGTAACTACTACGACCAATTTATGAATATTTACTAATTAATCCTAGATATAGGTACAAGTGTCACGGGCTGTCCCAAGTCAGGAGCCTGTAATTCAGCAGATTTCGTTTGTTATGTATAAACTCATCATAGATAGCATGATTTAAATTTTGAATTCCAGATGCTGTTCTCGTATTCAAAAGACTCATCAGTGACACCGGAATTAACAAAAAAATCAAAAAGTCAAATAGAGTACGATGTATGAATAGCATCGAAGACCTAATATCCCGAAAGGTTTGGCCAAATACAGCTAGGGTAATCTATATTCCTAGGGTAGAAAATCAGTAATATTTCGAAATGTTTAAAAGTTTTGTAAACTTCTTATTTATGATACTTCATTAATTTTTTTTTACATAAATCAGGTAGTTAGTTTTCTTGTTTAAATTGTTTTACATTCGTCATTTCGGGGCCTTTCGTAGCTTGTTTGCTTATGCGATATGGGGTTTTCTCATGTTGATGACCACACGGTGACATATAGTTGCTAACTTCTATTGTTTATCTGTTTGTCTTTTTTTTCTTCTTTTTTTTGCCATGGCGTTGTCAGTTTATTTTCGATTTATGAGTTTAAGCGTCCCTCTGGTATCTTTCGCTCCTTTTTTTCTACCAGTCATTCAACACAGAGCCTTGGCTCACACCGAACAGTAAGCTATAAAGGGACCCAAAAAAAATTACTAGTGTAAAACCATTCAAACGGGAAAACCAACGGTCTAATCTATATAAAAAACACTAATGTGTATGAACCACATCAACAAACGACAACTACTGAACATCAGGTTCCTGTTTTGTAAACATTTAACTTCTTATTAATGATAATTCATGTGTCAAAACCCAAATATTATATTTGTATTTCGTTTTATTTACTTTACTTGTGCATATATACTTATATTTCCTATTCAATTTATATATTTTTATCTATTTTTATTTACTTTATTTATTTTTTTTTACGTTATTACATCTAATATTTTGTTGATGACCGCACGATGACTCATAGTTGCTAACTTCTACTGGTCATTTGTTCTCTGGTGGAGAGTTGTCTCATTTCCAATCATACCACATCTTCTTATATTGATATAGACAACACACTATTGAAAATTATAATGCTTGAGATTGGACTTACAAATTTAGGGTTTGGGCGTTTCTGGTGGAGGTAAATCGACAGAAAAGCTTTAATCTTCAAACATTTACAATAAACGGCATTATCAATTCTCAAAATTAATTAAAGTAGAGAAAGCATACAGATTTTCCTCTTGTTAAATTTTAATTCTTATTTGATTTACGTAATTTGATTACAAATTTCCTGTTTTTCAAGCCAGCGACAAATATCACATTGATGGTACATGTACGTGTAATATATTAAATTGTTACAAACATAAAAATATTTGAAATAATTCAGTAGTTTGGCATAAATGTTTCTTATTTATTATATTTATAAGACAAAGTGTGATGAGCATTGTACTAAATTATAAATGGATTTCAAATCGGGCACTTGCTGAACAAAATCCTCCTCTGTTACGTAAAATGATTGTTCTGTAGATTTACGACATTAGCAACTGCGAGAAACTTACAACAGTACCACGACAACGTTGGAGAATACAAATTACGACATGTCTTGTGCATGTTGTATATTTACGATAAATAATTACGAAACAACATATTGTATCGTATCTTTAGTGAATACTGGGCCAGGCTGATAAATCACTAGACAATCAGATAGGTGCAAACTAATGGTTTGCCGGTCCAACTTCATTTGTGTCTCTCAGGACTTTCAGACTGGCGACTTTGGCACAGACTTTTTAAAATGTATGTTGAATATTAAGAAATACGAGTGAAACTGTAAAATTAATTTTTTTAGTAATTTCCGTATGTAAAAATTTTGAACAGCATATTCTGAAAGTTTTTCTTTTAGAATTATAAGTCTTTAATTGTATCTCATGACAAAGTGATAAAAAGACTGAAATATTTTAAAGTCATTACTTAGAATAGATTGATATACAGCATAGTTTAAAAATAGTTATTTTCATTTGTGAATTGAAAGTACATGTTATTTCGAAAATGCATTTGAGAAGAAAGCTTAATGTACTAATTAAGATTTATAAGCATTATTCAATTATACCTTTTTATTATTTATGATTTCAGATTTGTTTTTATGGTAGAACATGTTGTCCCTTTATGTTTAACAATCTCCTGGCTTTATTCTGTCTCCATGTTAGTACAGAGTATTGTGTATGAAAAAGAACAGCGATTGAAAGAGGTATAGTAAATGTTATTTAGTGCAATCAGTAACACTGCCTCAAATATTCTTGATACACAACAAATTACATGGTTATATACACCATAGAAGACAGCATATATTTGGTAAATTACTACAGGAAAAAGATAATCACAAAGCCTTGCATGATTATTGAATGAAGACCAAAGAAGAATCAAATATAAATTTTTAATAAGATGTGCTGTTTACTGCTTTATATTGAATTTGAATAATGTTAAAAACACTAAGACAAATGCCAAGATACCACGAGTGAAAATGTTTCCAGATTACAGAATCAGTTTTACATCTTGAGATTGTGTAGACACTTGTCTATTGCTGTAAACTGTATGTTGACCTCTAGATGTGTTTTGTGTCATTATGTCACTGTCTTATTGATTTATACCCCACATCCCCATTTCTTTATAAACGAATTTTATTTTATTTTATTTTTATTGAAAATTTTGCATGAATATAGTAGTTGAACAAAATTTGTGCAGTTGTATCAATAAAGTTATTGAGTAAAAAAATAAATATACTTAATTTTCAGGTAATGAGAATGATGGGATTAAGTAATGGCGTCCATTGGTGTGCATGGTTTACAACAACATTTATACAGTTTACCATTACAATGGCAGCCTTGACAGCAATGTTAAAGTTTGGCCATGTCTTAACATATAGCAATCCAATAATTGTTTTCCTTGTCCTGGAAGTCTTTGCTGTTGCTACAATTTCATTTTCGTAAGTATTTTAATTTCTGTTTATGTTAGGACTATAAAATTTTACAGAACACTTTATAGTAACACTATTTTATTCTAGTTTATATAGATCAATCCCTTCAGTATAACTAAAAAAAGTCTGTGCATTTCAATCAATGCTTAAAGTGCTGCTAAAATTCAGTGCAGATTAAGTCATATGTAAATTTATTTCAAACACTTTATATCTTCTGATCAATAACACATTTCTAGTCAAACAATATATCATCTCTAAATGACATAATAATACAATAATTATTACTTTTCAGTTTCTTGATTAGTGCATTTTATTCCAAAGCAAAAGTAGCAGCAGCTTGTGCAGGAATTATATATTTCTTGACATACGTACCATACATGTATGTAGCCATCAAAGAAGACGTAGCTGGCGATGAAATATCAGCAGAGATCAAATCTTTTGTGGTAGGTTTAAAATCTTAACACTGGTACATTGTAGAAAGTAGTGTTCAATAGTAGCCAAATCACTACATTAAGCCATGAGAATATAAATGTGTGGTGTACTTTATATACAGGCTGTACATGTATTCTTTGCTTTCTTTGAAAGCATTTGTATCCAACATTAGATGCCTATTAAGAAAATTCATTTGTAAAAAAAAATATTTAGTTATTTTGATACTGCCTTTGATCAACATGAAATTAAATAGTTATATAATACCTTTACATTGAAAAGTTAAAACAGCTGAAGGTAAACTGTGCAACTCTCACTCTGTTTTCTTTAAAATGCAATAAAAATGTTGCTTGGACACTAGTAATAAATGTTTTGTTGCAAGTTTTAAATTTCACTGAAATGATAGTTAAATTTGCATGAAAAAATTATTCTTATATAACTAATGATAAAGTTTCACTGTTCAAGAACTTGTCAATGTATTTTACTATATCACAAATTTATATTTCCAGTCCCTGTTTTCAACGGCAGCCTTTGGTCTGAGTGGTAAATATTTTGCTTTTTATGAAGAGGAAGGAGTAGGTGTTCAATGGTACAATATTCATCTGTCTCCTGTGGAGAATGATCAGTACAGCTTGCTGACAGCTGTCTTAATGATGATACTAGATACATTCATCTACACAATACTGGCCTGGTACATAGAAAATGTATATCCAGGTAAGCTCAACTGATGGTCAGAATGGGAGACAGAGTTTTAATAAGAATACACTTATCTACACAATACTGGCCTAGTACATAGAAAATGTATATCCAGGTAAGCGCAACTGATGGTCAGAGGGGGGATTGATTGATTGATTGTTTGGTGTTTAATGTCACTTTCAACACTATTGTGCTATTTCGTGGCGGTCAGTTTTTATACGCCCGTTTACGGGACGTATTATGGTATACCGTTGACTGTCTGTCCCTCTGTCCGTCCGTCATCAACGTATCGGACATTAATTCAAAAACGCTTAAACCAATATGCATGAAACTTTGGTGAATTTTTAAATCTATTGACGTGAGCTCCCTTTCGTTTTTTATAAATTTCGGATTTACCGTTTCCGAGTTTTGGGGTTTTATTCATTAAAAAAGGGGGATTTTCCAGTTTTCGGACAATAACTCAAAGACAATTTCACCAATTTGCATGAAACTTTTGTGAATTGTTTATATCTATTGACGTGAGCTCCCTTTCGTTTTTTATAAATTTCGGATTTACCGTTTCCAACTTTTGGGGTTTTATTCATTAAAAAAGGGGGAATTTTCCAGTTTTCGGACAATAACTCAAAAACAATTTCACCAATTTGCATGAAACTTTGGTGAATTGTTTATATATATTGACGTGAGCTCCCTTTTCGTTTTTTTATAAATTTGAGATTATCTGTTTCCGAGTTTTGGGGTTTTATTCATTAAAAAAGGGGGGATTTTCCAGTTTTCGAACAATAACTCAAGAACAATTTCACCATTTGCAAGAAACTTTGATGAATTGTTTATTTCTATCGACATGAGCTCCCTTTTGATTTTTATAAATTTTAGACTATACGTTTCCGATTTATGGGGTTTTATTCATTACAAAAAGGGGGATTTTCCAGTTCTCAGACAATAACTCAAAAATGCTTTCAGCATTTTTTATGAAACTTTGGTAAATTGTTTATATCTATTTTTGTAAGCTCCCTTTTGATTTTTATAAATTTTCAAATGTAGGTTTCCAAGTTATAAGATTTTATTTGTTTATAGTCTGACAACAGATTTACTAAGCATTGTGCAACAGCACAGTGTATTGCACAACAGCAAGAAATCTTTCATTGAATATAAATTCAATTCATATAACCAATTTCAAGTTCTTTGACTACATTTATTCAGAAACCTATAATATGTCAAATATTTAATTACAATCCAAATTCAGACATGTATCAAGCTTGAATATTGTGTCCATTTTTGCCCCAACTGTTCAGGGTTGGACCTCTGCGGGCGTATCCAGCTGCGCTCAGCGAAGCAGTTTATTATTGATGGAGGAAGCCGGAGTGCCCTGAGGAACCCACCGACCCTTTGGTAGAAAAACTGACAATCCTAGTCAATTAAGATTGAAGTAGGGTGCACCTGCCCCGTGTGGAATTCGAACTCACAACATCAGGTTTGACAGGCTAGTGATACAGTAGTTCGACTATTTAGACTACTGGGCCACCGTGGCCCCTCCGAGGGGGGCGACAGAGTTTCAATTAAAATACCCTTATCTACACAACACTTGCCTGGTACATACAAAATGTATATCCAGGTAAGCTCAATCTAAACTGATGGTCAATGGAGGGGGATCAGGGTCTAAATAAGAATACATTCATCTACACAATATTGGCCTGGTACATAGAAAATGTATATCAAGGTAAGCTCAAACTAAACTGTAGGTCAATGGAGGGGGATCAAGAATACATTCATCTACACACTACTGACCTGTAACATAAAAAAATGTATATCCTAGTAAACTTAATCTAAACTGATGTTCAGAGGAGGAGGGGGTCAGGGTTTAAATAAGAATACATTCATCTAAAAAATACGTCCGTCCGTCTGTACCTCACAAAATTGGTTTCCATTATCTAACTTTTAGTTTCCCTCAACCAAATGTTATGAACTTATATGAAATGCTTGTTACCACCAAACACAGTTCAATTTCAAAATTTGGGTGGCACCATATTCACCTTTATTGAGTTGTGTCCCTTTATAAATTGAAAAATTGTTGAATTTGCTGTTTCTGGACTCTATTTTCCCTCAACTAAATGTTATGAAACTTATACACAATGCTTTATTACCACCAAACAGAGATCTAGTTCCAATATGGGTGGCATCACTTTCACCGTTTGCGAGTAATATCTTTTATAAAATGAATAATGTCTGAATTTGCCGTATATTTACAAGCAGGGGCATTTTGTGTCCCATGGACACATTCTTCTTTTACTTAGACTTGACTTGAAGCCAGCGCTTAAACAATATGTATGCAAAAATGTTATTTCAAATCCACTTCCTGCACACAGTTAAATAACAAAATCAAACAATGTTTTGACAATTGTATTTGTATGACTAATATTGGATTTCAGGTCAGTATGGTCTTCCTAAGCCTTGGTATTTTGCCTTCACTAAGACTTACTGGTTTGGTGGAAGTATGAAGGCTACAGAGACTGACTGCTCATGGAGACAATGTTTTAAGCAAGATCCTACATATTTATCTATCATAGAGGAAGATCAGGCTTGTGCTATGGCTTCAAGAAGTCCAGGTAAGTGCCTATATTCAGCTGCTATTATTGCAGAAATTAGCATACAAAAAAATCCCTCACAAGCAAATGCAGGTAAGACGAGAATAATTATGAAGGTCTAAATGTTCTTTTGGACTTTTTAACCAAATAGATTTAAGATATAATACTCCTTTCCTCATTTCTGTAAAAAAAAGTATGAAATAGTAAAAAGATACATTTTGAATATCTTTACATGACACACAGTTGTTGTTAATACCACAGGTTGCATTTTGCAGGTCTCTGCAGATAGGTACGTGTAATGAATAATGTACAATGTTTTTTTAAAGGGTATGGTAAGGATTCAATTAAGCTTAAAGCTTCAATTTCATTGTATTATCTGTATGAATATATGGATTTTGACCCTTAATTTTTAGTATTATTTTATTTCAGATGATGAAAGAAAGTTTGAAAATGAGCCAGAGCATTTAGTATGTGGTGTACAGATAGAAAATCTGTCTAAGGTAACGAGACAATACAGTGATGAGTGAGCAGGGAAAAGTGGGTACCTGTTTTGTTTAATCAACCCAGATCCCTGACACTTCACAGAAAGATTGCACTTATGTTGAAGTTGTGCACTTGCTTTTATTGAATTTTCTAATGAAGTTTTACCTATTATTCCAAACTTTGAAACTTTATGGAGAGGATTAGCTAAGTTGTGATAACTAGTGTGTGATCTTATGATAAGTTATATGTAATAGCTGATATACTATGCTGAAGTGATTTATGATCAATATATGGTCGAGGTAGTTAGTAAAATTTCTATCTGATACTTTATAGAAATGTATTTTTATAGAAAATGATGCCAATATCAAAAACATGTACTGATATGTGAATGATATCATAGAGGACTTACTATTATCCTCTAGTAACTACTCTGTACTTAATTAATCCAAATAGGAACATCACATGTCTGGATTAAAGATAAATAGAGAAGTATAGTTTGTTTAAAGTTTAATCTGATAGTTTTTTATTTTTGTCGAGCCTGCGACTTTTGTCGCAGAAAGCTCGACATAGGGATAGTGATCCGGCGGCGGCGACGGCGGCGGCGGCAGCGTTAGCTAACTTCTTAAAAGCTTTATATTTTAGAAGGTGGAAGGTCTGGATGCTTCATACTTTGTATATGGATGCCTCATGTTACGAAGTTTCCGTCAGTCACATATCCAATGTCCTTGACCTCATTTTCATGGTTCAGTGACTACTTGAAAAAAAAGTTAAGATTTTTTGTAATGTTAGATTCTCTCTTATTATAAGTAATAGGATAACTATATTTGGTATGTGCGTACCTTGCAAGGTCCTCATGCCCGTCAGACAGTTTTCACTTGACCTCGACCTCATTTCATGGATCAGTGAACAAGGTTAAGTTTTGGTGGTCAAGTCCATATCTCAGATACTATAAGCAATAGGTCTAGTATATTCGGTGTATGGAAGGACTGTAAGGTGTACATGTCCAACTGGCAGGTGTCATCCGACCTTGACCTCATTTTCATGGTTCAGTGGTTATAGTTAAGTTTTTGTGTTTTGGTCTGTTTTTCTTATACTGTATGCCATAGGTCTACTATATTTGGTGTATGGAATGATTGTAAGGTGTACATGTCTAGCGGGCAGGTGTCATCTGACCTTGACCTCATTTTCATGGTTCAGTGGTCAAAGTTAAGTTTTTGAGTTTTGGTCTTTTTTTCTAGTACTATATGCAATAGTTCAACTATATTTGGTATGTGCGTACCTTGCAAGGTCCTCATGCCCGTCAGACAGTTTTCACTTGACCTCGACCTCATTTCATGGATCAGTGAACAAGGTTAAGTTTTGGTGGTCAAGTCCATATCTCAGATACTATAAGCAATAGGTCTAGTATATTCGGTGTATGGAAGGACTGTAAGGTGTACATGTCCAACTGGCAGGTGTCATCTGACCTTGACCTCATTTTCATGGTTCAGTGGTTATAGTTAAGTTTTTGTGTTTTGGTTTGTTTTTCTTATACTGTATGCCATAGGTCTACTATATTTGGTGTATGGAATGATTGTAAGGTGTACATGTCTAGCGGGCAGGTGTCATCTGACCTTGACCTCATTTTCATGGTTCAGTGGTCAAAGTTAAGTTTTTTGAGTTTTGGTCCTTTTTTCTAATACTATATGCAATAGTTCAACTATATTTGGTGTATGGAAATATTTTATGATCTATATGTCAGTCACGCAGGTTTTATTTGACCTTGACCTCATTTTCAAGGTTCATTGCTCAGTGTTAAGTTTTTGTGTTTTGGTCTGTTTTTCTTAAACTATAAGCAATAGGTCAATTATATTTGTTGTATGGAAGAATTGGTAGCTGTACATGCCTGCCTAGCATGGTTCATCTGACCTTGACCTCATTTTCATGGTTCATTGGTCAATGTTTAGTTTACTTGGTTAATGTTAAGTTTATGTGACAGTTGTAATAAAGCTTTATATTTAGGACTATCAACATAATATCAATGATTAGTAAAGAAGGCGAGACATTTCAGCGTGTGCACTCTTGTGATTATTAAATTTAATTCTTGTTTTTTTTACAGTACTACAAAACTGGAAAAAAATTAGCTGTGAAGAATCTGAACTTGAACTTTTATGAAGGACAAATAACATCATTTTTAGGACATAACGGTGCAGGAAAAACAACAACCATGTATGAAAGATTAGATTACAATTTATTTATCTAAAAAAATATATGTGGAGATTAATTTGAATCTCTTGACAAAGTTTTCCCATTGTTAAATTTATCTTCAATTAACTTTTTTAAAATTTGCAAAGTCACCGTTTATAAGACATAACATTGAAACAATAAAGAAAGATAGGTGAACTTTGATCTTTAAAACTACAAAGCAAGCTTATATGTTCTGTGTAACATGCTTTTTATTTGCTTTATATATAGATTCTCCCTCTGTTGTGAGTTGGTTACAGTATTTCTACATATATTGTTAAATAATAAAAGTATTCATTATTATGTTTAAATTGTTTCAGTAAAAGTGAAGCTGCTTTTTATTGTTTTTCCCAGGTCTATTCTGACAGGGATGTTCCCTCCAACAGCAGGTTATGCACTTGTTTATGACAGTGATATCAGAACAGAAATGGATACAATTCGACAAAGTTTAGGAATGTGTCCACAACATAATGTTTTGTTTGACAAGTAAGTAAAACAATCAAATATATCATCTAAAAACATATATCAGGCATCATAACCTATTCTTTTTGGCTGAGTTGGACGAAAAGTCCAAAACTGACTTAAAGTATGGTGATGTTGGCAGATGGGTGGGCAAGCAGGGAATATAAGGTACCAAATTTATTGATGAATTCTTTCCACAGTTTTCAACACAGATACCTTAAACTTCACTGGAAGATTGCACATATATTCAATTTCTCTGTTCGAAACACATCAATACTAAGAGAACTTGTCATCATATTTTCTTGACCCGGCTATCTCATCATTTTGATTTGACCATAATTTATGCCAGTTATGGGGCTTTGATCATATTTTGACTATCATACCACAATGACACACAATTTAATTCCTTATCTATACAGCAAGTGGGGAGGGGGACATTTGGCTACAGTGTAGCAATCTTGCTTATATTATTTCATTGTTATAGTAAAAATTTAGTTCATTTTAGTTTTACAACAAAGAAATTCATTGCCATATTTAAATCTAAAGAAATGAAAAGGCAACAACATGAAAACCTCAGATTGTTTTGCAGAAAATAAACAGATATATAAAGGTTTAATTAGTACACTAAAAGAGAAATACATGCCATATGACATTTTGCATTTAATTCCTGTCATCAATCCTCACATCATATGAAGTAATAGAAAAGCTTTGCTCTAGAGTTTATTTCTCAGGTATATTAAAGTGAATAATCTGCAAACTTGTTCAATTTATTTTGTATTGCAGATTGACAGTAAAAGAACATTTATGGTTTTATACCAGCTTGAAAGGAATGAAATCAGAAGATATTGATTCTGAAATGGAAACGTAAGTACAATATAAATTTGATACCATCTGACAAAATAAGTTATATGGTTTGCTAACTGACCCTCTACGGATTCATAGAGGGTTAGTAAAATCCATAGGGGGTGATGCTGAAGGACCAATCCACTATGGATTTAACTAACCCTCTATGGATCTGTTGGGGGGTCAGTAGCGAACTGTATAACAAATTTATCACATACTGGACTTTTGCTGCCAAGTTTTGTATAAAAAAAAACAATGAAATACAATAACAATAATAGTAGACGTGACATTATGATAACCCTAATGAAATATGCTGAGCCATTGGGGTCACCATGTGACAGCATCAAACCAATCATGTTGTCACTAACTTACCTATGGTGTAATAAAATGTGATAGAACTTGTATCTGTCTGCATGTCCATGCTTATACTTGTACATGATACAGATGATCTCTTCACTGACATGAGATGTTTTAATAATACTAATAGCTTTGTTTGTAGTAGTGCATTGAAAAAGAACATATAACAAGCTGAACTTCAGATATCAGTGATTGAGAACAAAAGTTGCCATAAGTAGATATTCTCATTGGCACTCATACCACATCTTCCTATAGATGGAGAGTTGTCTCATTGGCACTCATACCACAGCTTCCTATATCTATTGGATTTAATTTATACTTTATGGTTATTGCCATGATATTCCTCAATATTAGTGCAAAAATCTTTTTATAATAAAGTACCAAATATTTCAGCAACATTGGTGCACTGTTCATTGGTGATACTTAGATCAATTTCTGCAGTGCTGATGGTTTCAGTAAGGAAGCAATGTGAATTTCTGCCACCCTGTTTATCTCCCATTTGCTTGCATTGAAATATTGTGTTAATCAGAACCTCTCTAGTGCTTACCAAGCTTTAAAGAGAAAGTATAGAATGCAATATTTTCAACTCAACAGAAATGCTCTACTTTTAGGTACATTAAATTCTATTAAGGAAGACCTTTAAAAATATCTGCAAATAATTCATTTATGTTTTACAAAGAAAACTGCATGAATTATTTGATATTATTTTATAAATGTATTAATTTGACATTTTGTAGATTGATAAATGACATAGATATATCAGCTAAATGTAACTCTACAGTAGACTGTCTGTCAGGAGGGATGCAAAGAAAGTTATCTGTTGCCATAGCTTTTATAGGAGGATCTAGAACTATAATACTGGATGAACCAACAGCAGGAGTTGATCCATATGCTAGGAGAGCTATCTGGGATCTCATTGTTAAATATAAACATGGTATAAAGAAACTTTGCTGTAGTGAAATTTTTCATTGTTGGTTTTCCTCTCATTATATATTAGTATACTTATTTTCATGGTGGTTAGGAAAAATTTTCAATAGACAACATATGATGAACTAGCATTATTTACATATATAATAAATGTTACTTTTATTGCTGATCTTCACCCTGAACATTGCCTTCTTGAAAGATAACAAAGGAGGGCTATCTGAGTAGTATGTACAACTTTGTATTGTGGTTTTTTTTCTTTTTCAAACTAAAATCTTTGTCAAACTATTAAAAATCTCAGAGAGGATGCATGAACTTTTTTTAATAAAGTAGGTCATTGACTAAGCAGAGCAATATTTATGCCAGAAATGTTGCAACCTATGAGTAAACAGACCAAACAAAAAGTATGTTTCACCCGTTTGTTCTGTGTTTCAAGTGTAACAGTCTATGATGGCATAGGATTACAATGGAATTGTTGCCAAAGAAACTGGCAATAATAGGATGCCATAATGAATTAACTACCAATCACAGCACCTGAAATTTACAGTTTATTGCTTGAGTTTTATGAGTTCTCAATAATTGAATTTACTCTTATTTCAGGAAGGACGATCCTCTTATCAACTCACCATATGGATGAAGCAGATATATTAGGAGACCGTATAGCTATTATATCGGCTGGTCAGTTAAAGTGTTGTGGATCATCTATATTTCTGAAGAATACTTTTGGTGAAGGTTACCATCTACACTTGGTGAAATCAGAAGACCAGGATAATACCAGTCAAGATGGTGTGTTGAAAACTTATTTTCAGTCTTTTTAAGATCCTGTAGCAATGAAACATAACTGTTTATATCAATTAAGTTGAAAAAAGTTTCGAGTAAAATCCTTTATGCAGTGATTCTGCAGTTTTTCAGATGCTTCCTGTATAGTATGACAAGAAAATGGGATGAAACACTAGATATATACTGTGCATTGTGATGGCTTAAACCATTGTCGTGACCTCAGCCTATTCATTTACCATGGATTCTTTTTCTAGAATCAACGCTTCCTAAATCTGTTGCTGAAATGAGCTCACCAAATTATATTCAATTGTTTCCTTTGTGTGTCTTATTTTATTAAGTTTGCATTAGTTAATTTACTGATTTCTGTTCACGAATGGAATTAATATAAAAACTTACCTTTAATTTTTGTAATTTTTATATGTCTTCACTGGGAATCGAACCCCTCCTTGAAATCTATTATGTGTGACTGACAGCAACACATCGACAAAACCTCTCGGCTACCAATGGGTTGCAACTTAGATGTCTATTATATATATATATAAATGAACATATGATACACATCGGTACAATGGACACACAAGGCTTGTACCTTTATATATACATAATAGGCAATCGTATAGTATAAGTTTGTAGCCGGGAGGTTAACATAGATTAAATCAAAAAATTTTGGGTTCGTATAATGCTATGATGTTGTCGTCGGCGTCGTCTGCGTTGTCGTCGCCGTCCCAAGACACATTTGGTTTCCGGACAATAACTTTAGTTTAAGTGAATGGATCTCTATGAAATTTTACAAGAAGGTTCAATACCACAAAAGGAAGGTTGGGATTAATGTTGGGGGTTATTGTACCAACAGTTTAGGAATTAGGGGCCAAAAACAAGCATTTTTGTAGTTTCCTGACAATAACTTGTGTGTAAGCGTATGGATCTCTCTGAAATTGTACCACAAGGTTCTATATCACAAAGGGAAGACTGGGATTGAGTTTGGGGGTAATTGCCCTAAACATGCATGAATTAGGGGCAAAAAAGGGGCCAAAAACAAGCATTTTTCTAGTTTCCAGACAAAAACTTGTGTATGGATCTCTCTAAAATTGTATTACAAGGTTCCATACCACAAAGGGAAGGCTGGGATTGAGTTTGGGGGTAATTACTCAAAGGGGGGGGTACAAAAAGTTTGGGGGGAATTTTTTTTTCCAATATTTTTTGGGGGAGGTTCATATTTTAAAAAAATATATATATATATATTTTTTTTAAAGTTTCAAGAAGAAATCTTCAACTGCTCAGTATTGCGCAATAGCACACACAGTATTACGCAATAGATTTTTAAGATCTTTGACCACATTTATTTTGTGTCAGAAACCTATATTATGTCAAAAATTTGATCACAGTCCAAATTCAGACAGTATCAAGCTTGAATATTGTGCCCAAACTTGCCCCAACTGTTCAGGGTTCGACCTCTGCGGTCGTATCAGGCTGCGCTCAGCGAAAACATTTTATTATTATTATGTATGTTATTGTGGATATTTTTGCAATAATAGCGGGTTTTCCCGTTTATTTATGGATTATTATTGGCTATTTCACATATTTGAAAAGAAAATGATAACATTCAATTTGTCCATTTTTGTTTTATAAATATAGTATGGTTTCTCTGTTCTACTGCTAATCTGTACAAATGTTTATTCACAAATCCCTATGAGAGTAAATCGTGACGTGCCTAGAATTAGGCTTCTTGCTAGAAATTGCGATAACATAACATACTTATTATATATACTCAGAAATCAGGTCGAATATGTCTTATTTTATAAATTATGGATATTATTTAGATGCCTGATAATTTAAAGACAGACGTGTTATGTTATATTTGTATTTCTCTAAACTTATTTTTATAAATGCATCGTTGAACATGATAACATGGTTATTTAAACTCACTTACAATACCTTCTAATTAAGAAAAGGCTTTAATTATGAAAAGACACCAACACAATAGTTTAAGTTAGAGATACAATGATAAGCATTGATTCATGAAAAACAAACCATTCGTCCTCCGGTCTCATGGTTTCTTTTTCAAGAATCAAAACTTATTCATTGTATCTATAATACTTAATAAGGGTTTGTGTTATAAAGCAAAGTTTGAAATCATAGTTTAACATTATGTTAACAAAATGGTAAAAGAGAATTTTTTTATTTTTCAGACATTCTTTCAGACACCAGTGATACCCAGACAGAATCTTTATCCAGTAAATGTAACATAGAAGAAGTTACATCATTTATTCAGAAATATGTAACAACTGCTTACCTCAAATCAGAATCCAACAGAGAATTCCATTATATCTTACCCTATGATGAAGCTAAGAAAGGAAACTTTGACAAGTTATTTTCAATGTTAGATGATAATTTAAATAACTTGCATATATCTAGTTATGGTGTTATGGATATGACATTGGAAGAAGTATTTCTGAAGGTTACTGAAATGGCTGAAGAGGAAGGTAATTTAAGCATACAATATTTCTCAACTTACACTTTTTAGTTTCATGCTAACTACAGATTTTATGAAACAAATTTGATGTCAGTAACCGAGATAATACAGTAAATAAATGTAAAAGGTTAGAGAAGTCCCCTAGAAATAAGATTAATCAGAAAGTCTTACATTAGAATTTCTAGACAAAAGTTAATTCAATAAGCTATACTAAACACTCCTTATCCATTATTCCAAAAATATAGCTTCATTTTATCACATTTATTTCATAGCTGCTAGAAAAGAAGAAACCAGAGAAGAAACTGTCACTAATACTCCACAAACAGCTCTACCTAGTGATACACATTATGAAACAGGGAATGAGTTGCCTTCGATCATATCAGAACCCCATAGTGAACTAGAACTGGGTGATATATCAAATTTTAGTAGACGTGATAGTAATATTTCTGAGGATTTAACGCCCCCATTAGGCCAAAGGAATGATGGATATAGTCGTCTAGTTAATATGGAAGAAGAAAATGGTAATAAATCTATTAATTTACAGTTGAAAAGAAAGCTTTTTTTTTAAAGATAAAATTAAGAATATATACTATTAATAAATCAAGTTATATCTACTTTCAGTTGTCATGACAGGAATGCATATGTAAGTGCAAATTCTTGATAATAATTTCAAACTTAATCAATGATCATTTGACTGTTTGTTCCATTTTCAGATCTGTTTTACATCTACTTTTTTTAAGCAGATACTTAAATTTTCTTTGAATGTGCAGATCAGATAAAAAAAAAATTGTGCACGTTTTTTTCGACAAGTCTCATCTTTTTCATATTTGGTACCATGCATCATTGAGATCAGATTAAAAGATTGTGATACATTGAAAATCTGTTGCATGTCTATTTCCTGATTAACAGATGTATTTCCTTTGAATGCAAAGCTTAATATGTGAAAAAAAATTGAAAATATTTCTTTTTAATTACAAGTCACAACAATAATTAGTACCCAGCTTCAACAATTATAACTGCTGTGTGAAACATTTTTAGATATGTCCCTAGTATAATCTGTCTGTTGAATGCAGTAGCTCACAATATCTCTTGTTTTGGTATATTGATAATATGATGGATGCTGATAATATATGTTCATTAACCTGCATCATATACATCTAAATGTGTGTGTGTTTAAATTAATCAAGCACTTGAATTTACTGTTTATGTTAAAAATTTAAATATAACTATATATAATGATTATTTCTAAAAGAACAGATCATAAAGTAAAATAATACAATATTATAAGATTATAGTATTTCGACTAGGTTAATATGTGTTTTTTATGGGCCTACAGAAAGAATATTGACTTCGGACGCATATTTCAAAATAAGCATTGTTAAAATTTTCAAAGTCAAATAGTCTGCTTTTTACCTTATTAGCTATTGCTATTTTTTATCACAGTTTACCAAAGTCATATACAAGCTCAATACTGAATGGCTGATTTCCTAATCAACCTGTAGTCAAATAGTAGCTATTTTAAACTAATGAATTAAAACGAATATTGGGTCAATAAGTATACATTTTTGTAGTAAAACCGGGTCAATACCTGTTTTTATAATTGAAACACATGATATGAATTCACAACTCACAGATTTTGAATGATATGATATTATAGTAATTCAAATGATTAGTCATATATTACATGAATTGATTTTTGTCCACTGCTTTTTAAAATATTGATTTTATCTTTCAGATATTTTGGGTGGAAAATTACGTCAGTTTGAAGGGAAAGGAAGTTATCAACTTACCAAAAATTGGTTACGACTGAATCAGTTCAGGGCAGTGATTGTTAAGCGCTTTCGCTATATAACTCGAAATGGCAGAGGATTATTTTCACAAATATTGCTCCCTGCTTTGTTTGTTTCCATAGCAATGACAGTAGCATTGTCAGCTCCTAAAGTAGACGATGCACCACAAATAGTGCTTGACACATCACAGTATTATAATCTTACCCAGCCTAAGGGAAACTTCATCCCATTTGCAATAGAGAATGTTAAAAACTTTAACCAATCAGGACATATATTACATACAGATGCAGGACCACATGTTCTTGCAAATACATTCCGATTAGCTTCAGGTGTTGGATCAATTTGTCTGCTAAAATCTGCATATAACAGTACATTTGATTATGATGTCAAGAGTATAAATGTCAGTATGGAAAACTTTAATCTCTTGAGGAAATATTACATTCCTGAATGTGGTGATGCATTTGTGTCGGGGATACATCTGAAATCCTACGTGCCTCAAGTACCAATAGTTGGAAAGGATGTTACTAACAGTAAATCACATGTTACAAAGATAAAAGGTACTTTACACTGAAAAAAATTATAATCATGTTTTAATCTGTCCTATCTCTGTGGTTTTAAGACATTTATTATTATTATTATTATATATTAGCCTTCATAAATGATTCATACAGTTGAAGCAGAAAAAAAGCAGACAGTTCAGATTAAAAATTGAAAAACTTTTGATGAAGAAATGGAAATGATTGATAAAATAAATATACTTATAATGATATATGATAAAACTAAGATATTTATACTATAATAATGTCTTTGAACCCTTTATCTCATGTCCTCAATTTTAAGTTTAAAACAATAGGATAAAATGATATTACATGTTCAAATTAAATATATTTACACATTCATATCGTTTATGTTCTACTTCCCTATGCTCACTGGAACATATATATTGTCTTGATAATGTGTAAAATAAACAAAAAGCAATGCGGGTTGAGAAATTGCACTGACCAGTTTTGATTTATCAGCTATCGTAGTATTTATATCCTATACTTTTCTGTTTAAGATTTCCGGGTTTTATAGATGCAGTATTATTTTTGTCCGCCAAATTTTTCATTTTAACTTATAAAGTGAGAAGGAAATACTCCAAAGATTCGAATTCATTTGCAGAATATCTTACACAGGATTTGCGATAAAGGTCATTTATTCAGAAACCATAAAAACATAATACAACTGACTGTTATCAACAATTATGTAATGAACCAAAACTGAATAAATGACAATAATTTGCAAAGGTGGGGAATAAATACCGCCACCATCAATAAACAAATTGCAAAAATTCAATAAACATACAAATATTGTAAAATGAAAGATTGAAATCATTATCATATAAAAATCCAAATTTTTAATTTAAAAAATAATACATTTAAATATATATCTGTTAAAAAATCAAGGGAGTAGGTGGGTTGGAAGTTTAAAATCTTCAATTTTCTTGAGAAAACAAAAATGGATTCCGCTAACATTCAGTGCAATTGCGAGAATGCTGGCTAATTTAAATGCATGTGAAGAGATAACCTGCACCTAATCCTCATTGGTCAATTAGATATCATTAACCAATCATACTGGTAATTAATCTTGACCCTGATCGCGAGATGACCAAACTGACCTTAACTGCCTGTAATAAAAACTTGCATAATTCACAGACAACCCCATGCAAATTTACAGTTTCATATTACTCTTGATAAGAATAATTTCCTGACAAAAATGTTTTTATGTACCATAAAATGAATATAAGGATAATATTTATAAAAATTCATGATTTTATTTACTTTTTATTTAGTTCCATCACACAAACCAGCACATATTCCCTACTACCCTCAATGCAGTTGTGCCAAAGACTCTTCTGGATTCATATGTGATTCTGAAGATACTTATACTAGGCCTCCACAGTTCCAGGTAGTCACACATGATTATATACAGAACATTACTGGATCAAATACAGAGGAATTCATCTTATATACTCAGGATGCCTTGTATAGACTACATAGGTATGTTTGAAGGGCTGCATAGAAAGCACATTGTTATTTAGCCTCTTGTTAAATTTTGCACATAAATTATGTTCTTTGAGTCTAAAAGTTCATGGTAGTTCAACCAAGGTCTTGTTTCACACAAAATATCTCACTACCTCTGTACAAGGAGTAGGACTACTAGCCCTAAAAATCTTAACTTTGTATTATCATATGTAAAAACCTATATTTGAATATGCACAGTATTGGAGGAAATGTTTTAAAACTAACACTAAAGGTAGAAGTTATGGTTTTGAAATATGATGTGGTTTTTTGTCGAGACTTCGACTTTTGTCGAAAAAGCAAGACATAGCGATCCTACATTCTGTCGGCAGCAGCAGCATCCACAAATATACACTCTGTGGTTAAAGTTTTTGAAATTTTAATAACTTTCTTAAACTATCCTGGATTTCTACCATACTTGGAAAGAAGCTTGTTTATGATCATAAGACAGTATCCAGAAGTAAATTTTGTAAAAATAAAATTCCATTTTTGTCGAGCCTGCGACTTTTGTTGCAGAAAGCTCGACATAGGGATAGCGATCCGGCGGCGGCGGCGGCGGCGTTAGCTAACTTCTTAAAAGCTTTATATTTTAGAAGATGGGAGACCTGGATGCTTCATACTTTGTATATGGATGCCTCATGTTACGAAGTTTCCATCAGTCACATGTTCAATGTCCTTGACCTCATTTTCATGGTTCAGTGACTACTTGAAAAAAAAGTTCAGATTTTTTGTAATGTTAAATTCTCTCTTATTATAAGTAATAGGATAACTATATTTGGTATGTGCGTACCTTGCAAGGTCCTCATGCCCGTCAGACAGTTTTCACTTGACCTCGACCTCATTTCATGGATCAGTGAACAAGGTTAAGTTTTGGTGGTCAAGTCCATATCTCAGATACTATAAGCAATAGGTCTAGTATATTCGGTGTATGGAAGGACTGTAAGGTGTACATGTCCAACTGGCAGGTGTCATCTGACCTTGACCTCATTTTCATGGTTCAGTGCTTATAGTTAAGTTTTTATACGACCGCAAAAATTGAAAATTTTTTGGTCGTATATTGGTATGACGTTGGCGTCGTCGTCGTCGTCGTCGTCGTCGTTGTCGTCGTCGTCGTCGTCGTCGTCGTCGTCGTCGTCCGGCGTCGTCTGGCGTCGTCCGAAGACACATTGGTTTTCACACTCTAACTTTAGTTTAAGTGAATGGATCTCCATGAAATTTTACCATAAGGTTCAATACCATGAAAGGAAGGTTGGGATTGATTTTGGGGGTTATGGTACCAACAGTTAAGGAATTAGGGGCCAAAAAGGGGCCAACAATAAGCATTTTTGTAACTTCCAGACAATAACTTGTGTGTAAGTGTATGGATCTCTCTGACATTGTACCACAAGGTTCCATATCACAAAAGGAATGCTGGGATTGATTTTGGGGGTAATTGCCTCAAAATGTTAGGAATTAGGGGCCAAAAAAAGGGCAAAAAACAAGCATTTTTCTAGTTTCATGACAATAACTTGTGTGTAAGTGTTTGGATATTTCTGAAATTGTACTACAAGGTTCCATATCACAAAGGGAAAGCTGGAATTGAGTTTGGGGGTAATTGCCCGAAATGTTTAGGAATTGGGGGCCCAAAAGGGGCCAAAAATAAGCATTTTTCTAGTTTCCAGACAATAACTTGTGTTCAAGTGTATGGATCTCTCTGAAATTGTACTGCAAGGTACCATACCACAAAGGGAAGGCTGAGATTGAGTTTGGGGGTGATGAATCATAAGGGGGTTCAAAAAATTTTGGGGGGGGATTTTTTTTTTTCTTTTTTTTTTCTTTTTTTCCTTTTTTTTTTCTTTTAAAATTTTCCATTTTAAGTTGGTTATTTCTGATTTATATTTAAAAGTAAATAATAATGATATGGAAGGAGATACACACCAAACAGGATGTGTAAATTATTATATAATAAGTATTGTGCAATAGCAAGAAATTTTCAATTGCACAGTATTGCACAATAGCAAGAAATCTTCAATTGCACAGTATTGCGCAATAGCAAGAAATCTTCAATTGCACAGTATTGCGCAATAGCAAGAAATATCCAACAGCACAATATTGCGCAATAGCAAGAAATTGTCAATTGTACAGTATTGCGCAATAGCAAGAAATAATCAATTGCACAGTATTGTGCAAAAGAAGATACTTCGTATAAATTGCTTATTTCTTGATCAATTTCAATGGGGTTTTATTCTTGAATTCTTGGGGTTCTTTAATATGCTGAATCTAACCGTGTATTAAGTTTTTGGATTTTGGGCCCCGTTTTTAAATTGGTCCACATTGAGGTCCAAAGGGTCCAAAATTTAACTTTGTTGGATTTCATCAAAAATTGAATTATTGGGGTTCTTTGATATGCCGAATCTAACCGTGTATTTAGATTCTTAATTTTTGGTTCCGTTTTCAAATTGGTCTACATAAAGGTCCAAAGGGTCCAAAATTAAACTTTGTTTGATTTTAGCAAAAATTGAATATATGGGGTTCTTTGATATGCTGAATCTAATCATGTATTTAGATTTTTGATTATGGGCCCAGTTTTCAAGTTGGTCCAAATCGGGGTCCAAAATTAAACTTTGTTTGATTTCAACAAAAATTGAATATATGGGGTTCTTTGATATGCTGAATCTAACCATGTATTTAGATTTTTGATTATGGGCCCAGTTTTCAAGTTGGTCCAAATCGGGGTCCAAAATTAAACTTTGTTTGATTTCAACAAAAATTGAATATATGGGGTTCTTTGATATGCTGAATCTAACCATGTATTTAGATTTTTGATTGTTGGGCCCCGTTATCAACTTTGTCCACATTGAGATCAAAAGGGTCCAAAATTAAACTTTGTTTGATTTCATCAAAAATTGAATATATGGGGTTCTTTGATATGCTGAATCTAACCATGTATTTAGATTTTTGATTATGGGCCCAGTTTTCAAGTTGGTCCAAATCGGGGTCCAAAATTAAACTTTTGTTTGATTTCAACAAAAATTGAATATATGGGGTTCTTTGATATGCTGAATCCAACCATGTATTTAGATTTTTGATTATGGGCCCAGTTTTCAAGTTGGTCCAAATCGGGGTCCAAAATTAAACTTTGTTTGATTTCAACAAAAATTGAATATATGGGGTTCTGTAATATGCTGAATCTAACCGTGTATTAAGTTTTTGGATTTTGGGCCCCGTTTTTAAATTGGTCCACATTGAAGTCCAAAGGGTCCAAAATTAAACTTTGTTTGATTTCATCAAAAATTGAATTATTGGGGTTCTTTGATATGCCAAATCTAACCGTGTATTTAGATTCTTAATTTTTGGTTCCGTTTTCAAATTGGTCTACATAAAGGTCCAAAGGGTCCAAAATTAAACTTAGTTTGATTTTAACAAAAATTGAATTTTTAGGGTTCTTTGATATGCTGAATCTAAACATGTATTTAGATTTTTGATTATGGGCCCAGTTTTCAGGTTGGTCCAAATCGGGGTCCAAAATTAAACTTTGTTTGATTTCAACAAAAATTGAATATATGGGGTTCTTTGATATGCTGAATCTAACCATGTATTTAGATTTTTGATTTTTGGGCCCTGTTATCATTTTTGTCCACATTGAGATCAAAAGGGTCCAAAATTAAACTTTGTTTGATTTCATCAAAAATTGAATTCTTGGGGTTCTTTGATATGCTGAATCTAACCATGTATTTAGATTTTGGATATTGGACCATAATAGGTGAATGTCCAATTTAAAATTTTTAAGTTCTTAGACCACATTCATTCTGTGTCAGAAACCTATGCTGTGTCAAATATTTAATCACAATCCAAATTCAGAGCTGTATCAAGCTTGAATGTTGTGTCCATACTTGCCCCAACTGTTCAGGGTTCGACCTCTGCGGTCGTATCAAGCTGCGCCCTGCGGAGCATTTTATTGTGTTTTGGTCTGTTTTTCTTATACTGTATGCCATAGGTCTACTATATTTGGTGTATGGAATGATTGTAAGGTGTACATGTCTAGCGGGCAGGTGTCATCTGACCTTGACCTCATTTTCATGGTTCAGTGGTCAAAGTTAAGTTTTTGAGTTTTGGTCTTTTTTTCTAATACTGCATGCAATAGGTCAGCTATATTTGGTGTATGGAATGATTGTAAGGTGTACATGTCTAGCTGGCAGGTGTCATCTTACCTTGACCTCATTTTCATGGTTCAGTGGTCAAAGTTAAGTTTTTGAGTTTTGGTCTTTTTTTCTAATACTATATGCAATAGTTCAACTATATTTGGTGTATGGAAATATTTTATGATCTATATGTCAGTCACGCAGGTTTTATTTGACCTTGACCTCATTTTCAAGGTTCATTGCTCAGTGTTAAGTTTTTGTGTTTTGGTCTGTTTTTCTTAAACTATAAGCAATAGGTCAACTCTATTTGTTGTATGGAAGAATTGTTAGCTGTACATGCCTGCCTAGCATGGTTCATCTGACCTTGACCTCATTTTCATGGTTCATTGGTCAATGTTTAGTTTACTTGGTTAATGTTAAGTTTATGTGACAGTTGTAATAAAGCTTTATATTTAGGACTATCAACATAATATCAATGATTAGTAAAGAAGGCGAGACATTTCAGCGTGTGCACTCTTGTAAAAACATTTATTAGATTCATAAAATATCCTGGATTTTTACCAAACTTGGACAGAAGCTACTTACAATCAAAAGATAGTATAGAGAGGAATATTTTTATTAATTTTTTTCCTCATTTTTGTTGAGCCTGCGATTAACAGCAAAAGTAGGCGAGACACTGGGTTCCGTTGAACCCTTTCGAATTTTTTACAATCACAATGGAAAAAATGTATTACATATGAATATGATATCAGCATAGATCTAAGCAAGCAATAAAGTATAATGTTATAAAATTTAAGCAGAGTACTGATATCATACAAACAGAATATTGATATGATATCATACAAACAGAATATGGATATCATACAAACAGAATAGTGATATCATACAAACAGAATACTGATATCATACAAACAGAATACTGATATCATACAGACAGAATATTGATATGATATCATATAAACAGAATATGGATATCATACAAACAGAAAAGTGATATCATACAAACAGAATACTGATATCATACAAACAGAATACTGATATCATACAAACAGAATAGTGATATCATAAAACAGAACACTGATATCATACAAACAGAACACTGATATCATACAAACAGAATACTGATATCATACAAACAGAATACTGCTATCATACAAACATAACAGTGATATCATACAAACAGAATACTGATATCATACAAACAGAATACTGATATCATACAAACAGAACACTGTTATCATACAAACAAAACACTGATATCATACAAACATAACACTGATATCATACAAACAGATTACTGATATCATACAAACAGAATAGTGATATCATACAAACATAACAGTGATATCATACAAACATACCAGTGATATCATACAAACAGAACAGTGATATCATACAAACAGAATAGTGATATCATACAAACAGAATACTGATATCATACAAACAGAATACTGATATCATACAAACAGAACACTGATATCATACAAACAGATTACTGATATCATACAAACAGAATAGTGATATCATACAAACATAACAGTGATATCATACAAACAGAACAGTGATATCATACAAACAGAATAGTGATATCATACAAACAGAATACTGATATCATACAAACATAACAGTGATATCATACAAACAGATTAGTGATATCATACTAACAGAAAACTGATATCATACAAACATAACAGTGATATCATACAAACATAACAGTGATATCATACAAACAGAATAGTGATATCATACAAACAGATTAGTGATATCATACAAACAGATTAGTGATATCATACAAACAGAATACTGATATCATACAAACAGAATACTGATATCATACAAACAGAATATTGATATGATATCATACAAACAGAATAGTGATATCATAAAACAGAACACTGATATCATACAAACAGAACACTGATATCATACAAACAGAATACTGATATCATACAAACAGAATACTGCTATCATACAAACAGAACAGTGATATCATACAAACAGAATACTGATATCATACAAACAGAATACTGATATCATACAAACAGAATACTGATATCATACAAACAAAACACTGATATCATACAAACATAACACTGATATCATACAAACAGATTACTGATATCATACAAACAGAATAGTGATATCATACAAACATAACAGTGATATCATACAAACATACCAGTGATATCATACAAACAGAACAGTGATATCATACAAAAAGAATAGTGATATCATACAAACAGAACACTGATATCATACAAACAGAACACTGATATCATACAAACAGATTACTGATATCATACAAACAGAATAGTGATATCATACAAACATAACAGTGATATCATACAAACAGAACAGTGATATCATACAAACAGAATAGTGATATCATACAAACAGAATACTGATATCATACAAACATAACAGTGATATCATACAAACAGATTAGTGATATCATACTAACAGAAAACTGATATCATACAAACATAACAGTGATATCATACAAACATAACAGTGATATCATACAAACAGAATAGTGATATCATACAAACAGATTAGTGATATCATACAAACAGATTAGTGATATCATACAAACAGAATACTGATATCATACAAACAGAATACTGATATCATACAAACAGAATATTGATATGATATCATACAAACAGAATATGGATATCATACAAACATAATAGTGATATCATACAAACAGAATATTGATATCATTCAAACAGAATACTGATATCATACAAACAGAATAGTGATATCATACAAGCAGAATAGTGATATCATAAAACAGAACACTGATATCATACAAACAGAAACAGAACACTGATATCATACAAACAGAAACAGAACACTGATATCATACAAACAGAATACTGATATCATACAAACAGAACAGTGATATCATACAAACAGAATACTGATATCATACAAACAGAATACTGATATCATACAAACAGAACACTGATATCATACAAACAGAACACTGATATCATACAAACATAACAGTGATATCATACAAACATAACAGTGATATCATACAAACAGAATAGTGATATCATACAAACATAACAGTGATATCATACAAACAGATTAGTGATATCATACAAACAGAATACTGATATCATACAAACATAACAGTGATATCATACAAACAGAATAGTGATATCATACAAACAGAATAGTGATATCATACAAACAGAATAGTGATATCATACAAACAGATTAGTGATATCATACAAACAGATTAGTGATATCATACAAACAGAATAGTGATATCATACAAACAGAAAAGTGATATCATACAAACAGAATAGTGATATCATACAAACAGTTCATGAAAGAATAGCTCATTGTTATCCAATTTATAATAAAACATTTATATGACAGATATGGTGCCTTTTCATTTGGAACTAACAGAAGTTTCATCCCCAGAGATTTTGGAAAGAAGTCTCCAACTTTGTTTAGGAAGGTAGCTGTTAAAAATGCAGCACAGGTGAGAATATAGCTGATGTTTGAATAAAAGGCTTGAAGTAAAAAAAATTATATCTTACAGAAAATTTATTATTTAGTAAAGTATTGATATATTAACAATAAGCAACAGTTTTGAATTTGAATTTTTGTAAATATTGAAACATTCTGACCAGACTATATAATTCTTAGAATATGTATATAATTATTTTAAAGGCGTTATTTTACACATGTTTTTTTTTATTGCAGGCAAGATATAATCATAAAGGATACCATTCTGTGGCTGTGTACATTAATGCCCTGAATAATGCCATACTGAGAGCTAATTTGAACCCTAAAACAAAAGGCAATCCAGCAGCTTATGGTTAGTAGAATTTTCTGATGTTATATTTAGGCTTCAGAGTGTATGAGCTTTTATTTATTTCTGGTTATTTATAAGAATCTATAGTTATATTTTGTATTTTGTCATTTAAATACTGAATAACATTAAATTATAGTAATTCAACTAACTGTATTATGTTATCTTTCCTGATTTTATATTTGCTAATAAGCAGGTCTGAGATCACAACGTGATTGAGTCACCAACTTGGTATTGTGAAATGTATAATTAATTGCTGGACTACAATATAAATTACAATTATTTATCAAATAATATATTTCCTGAATCTGTGGAAAACATTCATGTGAATATTTAAAAAGGTGGATTATATGTCAATGAGACATCAACTTGACAGCACAGATATCGGAAAGACATCTAGAAATCATCATACAGTCTTCAGGTGTAACAATATGTCAAGCAATGGATGTGTTTATTTTGTGACATATATATATATAAGGACCTTTTGTGTCTGAAATATCCTATTTATGATCTTATCTCAACTCTTTCTTGGTTGATATTCAGATTTATTTTTATTTTATCTTTATTTAACCATTGAGACAGCATGGAAAATGCCAATTATGCCTGATTTTGATACTTACAAAGGACACAATTTTAACAAATAATTTTAAAGTTTACCAACATCTAAAGTCATTAGAGAATCAGATCCTACTGTTGTATGATGGGCTTTATGGCATTTTTCTTTCAAGGAGTTTTTATACGACAGTATTATGGTATCTTTCTGTCTGTCCGTCGTCGACACTTCAGACAATAACTCAAAAATTCTTTCACTAATTTTCATAAAAATTTGATGAATTGTTTATATCTATTGACGTAAGCTCCCTTTCAATTTTTATAAAATTTTGATTTTACGTTTCTACGTTATGGGATTTTATTCATAAAAAATGGGGGATTTTCCAGTTTTCTAACTGTAACTCAAAAATGCTTTGAGCAATTTTCATGAAACTTTGGTTTATATATTGACATAATTTATCTTTCGATTTTAAAAATTTCTGATTTTCAATTTAAGAGTATTGGGACTTTATTCATAAAAAAGGGTGATTTTCCAGTTTTCAGACAATAATTCAAAAAACTATTTGAGCAGTTTCCATGAAACTATGGTGACTTGTTTATATCTATTGAAATAAGCTCCCTTTTGATTTTTATAAATTTCTGATATGACATTGTGGAGTTATTAACTTTATTCGTTGAAAAACTGTCGTTTTGTGTCAATGGGTATGTCTTCTTTTTTATACGACTGCAAAAATTAAAATTTTTTGGTCGTATATTGGTATGACATTGTACCACAAGGTTCCATATCACAAAGGAAAGGCTGTAATTGATTTTGGGGGTAATTGCTTCAAAATTTTAGGAATTAGGGGCCAAAAAAGGGGCAAAAAACAAGCATTTTTCTAGTTTCATGACAATAACTTGTGTGTAAGTGTTTGGATATTTCTGAAATTGTACTACAAGGTTCCATATCACAAAGGGAAAGCTGGAATTGAGTTTGGGGGTAATTGCCCGAAACGTTTAGGAATTGGGGGCCAAAAAGGGGCCAAAAATAAGCATTTTTCTAGTTTCATGACAATAACTTGTGTGTAAGTGTTTGGATATTTCTGAAATTGTACTACAAGGTTCCATATCACAAAGGGAAAGCTGGAATTGAGTTTGGGGGTAATTGCCCGAAACGTTTAGGAATTGGGGGCCAAAAATAAGCATTTTTCTAGTTTCCAGACAATAACTTGTGTTCAAGTGTATGGATCTCTCTGAAATTGTACTGCAAGGTACCATACCACAAAGGGAAGGCTGGGATTGAGTTTGGGGGTGATGAATCATAAGGGGGTTCAAAAAATTGGGGGGGGGGATTTTTTTTAACTTTTTTTTTCTTTTTTTCCTTTTTTTTTTCTTTTAAAATTTTCCATTTTAAGTTGGTTATTTCTGATTAATATTTAAAAGCAAATAATAATGATATGGTAGGAGATACACACCAAACAGGATGTGTAAATTATTATATAATAAGTATTGTGCCATAGCAAGAAATTTTCAATTGCACAGTATTGCACAATAGCAAGAAATCTTCAATTGCACAGTATTGTGCAATAGCAAGAAATCTTCAATTGCACAGTATTGCGCAATAGCAAGAAATATCCAATAGCACAATATTGCGCAATAGCAAGAAATTTTCAATTGTACAGTATTGCGCAATAGCAAGAAATATTCAATTGCACAGTATTGTGCAAAAGAAGATACTTCGTATAAATTGCTTATTTCTTGATCAATTTCAATGTGGTTTTATTCTTGAATTCTTGGGGTTCTTTAATATGCTGAATCTAACCGTGTATTAAGTTTTTGGATTTTGGGCCCCGTTTTTAAATTGGTCCACATTAAGGTCCAAAGGGTCCAAAATTAAACTTAGTTTGATTTTAACATAAATTGAATTTTTAGGGTTCTTTGATATGCTGAATCTAAACATGTATTTAGATTTTTGATTATGGGCCCAGTTTTCAAGTTGGTCCAAATCGGGATCCAAAATTAAACTTTGTTTGATTTCAACAAAAATTGAATATATGGGGTTCTTTGATATGCTGAATTTAACCATGTATTTAGATTTTTGATTTTTGGGCCCCGTTATCAACTTTGTCCACATTGAGGTCAAAAGGGTCCAAAATTAAACTTTGTTTGATTTCATCAAAAATTGAATTCTTGGGGTTCTTTGATATGCTGAATCTAACCATGTATTTAGATTTTGGATATTGGACCATAATAGGTGAATGTCCAATTTAAAATTTTTAAGTTCTTAGACCACATTCATTCGGTGTCAGAAACCTATGCTGTGTCAAATATTTAATCACAATCCAAATTCAGAGCTGTATCAAGCTTGAATGTTGTGTCCATACTTGCCCCAACTGTTCAGGGTTCGACCTCTGTGGTCGTATCAAGCTGCGCCCTGCGGAGCATTTTATTTTTTTATGGGGGGGTCTATTTGAACAGTGCTCACAGTATTTCTAGTAGATCATATAAGTTCATTTAAAGCATAAAGATGAGTTAAAAGGGTGACGGGTGTATCATGGACTCATGGCACAACTCTTTATTCAATATGTCAAACAGTTTCCAAACCTCATATGTTTGAATTCTTTTTTTAAATCAATGTGAGTCAAGTGAAGAAATATTGTACCTAATTAGAAGCAAGGTTCATTATACCCTTAAATGTCAACCAGATTTGTGGAAATCAATGCTTAATTGTACAAATTAGTTTAATCCACTTGATCATTCATTTAACATGACTAACAAACATTTTTTTTTTCATTTTACACATTTTGTGTTGCTACTATCAACTATACATCCAGCAAGACAAATAATGTTCTAATTATATACATCTAGGTATTACTGCCATCAACCATCCATTCAACAAGACAAATAACAAGCTCAACTTAGATTTTATGTAAGTTTCTTTAACCTGTAGAAAGAATAAATGAGACAGTCATGATTATTTTTTAGTCCCCTACCGACCAAGTCGAAGGGGACTTTAGGTTTGCACTCTGTCTGTCTGTCAGTCCGGCAAATCAGTTTTCCACACTTTTTTCTTTCATGCGTGAAGATATTGATTTGATATTTGATGTATATTTTTATCACGACAAGTTACAGATCAAGTTCGAATTTTGTTCCGGTCTGATGATTTTGTGTAGAGTTATGGTCCTTGGACTTAAAAAATTCACTCAAATAATCAGTTTTCAACACTTTTTTCATTATGCTTGAAGATATTGATTTGATAATTTGTATATAGTTTTATGATGACAAGTTACAGATCAAGTTCGAATTTTGTTCCCGTCTGATGATTTTGTGCAGAGTTATGGTCCTTGGACTTAGAAAATTCACTCAAATAATCAGTTCTCAACACTTTTTTTTGTCATGCTTGAAGATATTGACTTGTTATCAATTGAATTTAAAATTATTACAGGTATGACATCAATTACTTTGAAGATCTTATTTTATCTGAACACTAATACCCTGCATGAAATAATAGCTTCATTTTCAGTGGAGATGTGGGGTTTTTCTGTATATTATTTTCATTTATATGTGAATAAGATGGTCAAGGTTTAGGAAATGTTTACAATTAAACTCTATTTATTGTTATTTCCTTGCTTATATAGCTTATTAAAAGGAAATGCTTGAAACAAACATTGAATTTCAGAACAAGTTATATTCTTTCTTGTAACATTAGTATGTACCATGTTTATAATAATTGGTGACATAAGATATTAAACTTTGTGTTTGAATAATAATTCCTGTATATTTCATTCAAAAATTTTAATTTTTAATAATTATGAACTAAAGGAGATATGGGGTATACATAATACTATTTTTAAGGGTGAAAATCTGCTGAGAAGGAAAACAATTAGTTTTACATCTAAATAAATACTGTTTAAACAAAATGGTAAGCGTGAGAACCATCATATAATAAGCAGGTATAGTAATGTCTCTTAAAATGAATACAGAATAAAATGTTACACTTTTCACTTGCTATTCTTTTATATATTATTCCATTATGTTATCTATTTTTATTGCCACAGACTACAAGGTTCAGATGTATTGATTTCAATATTTGTTATCATCGCTATGTCCTTTGTGCCTGCCAGTTTTGTTGTCTTCCTTGTGTATGAAAGATCCATTAAAGCCAAGCACCTACAGTTTGTTAGTGGGATGGATCCAGTTGTTTACTGGATAGCTAATTATGTATGGGATATGGTACGTTTCCTTGTATAAGTGTGTCAAAAACAGCCAAAAAAATTACAAACTGCAAACCAACTTATTTTTGCAGATTCTCGTATAGCCCATTCTAGCAACTCACTGTGATTTATTTTGTCCCTTGTCTTACTCTTTTGTTGAATTAGTACAAGAGAAAATCAAAGTTTATCATATTCATGACAATTTATATTCACTTTTCTGTTTGTGAAAGTTACAAAATAAATCTTTTTGTGAACATTACTTGGTTTACAGTCTACTGATAACAATATATCCTATGAGAAAAGAGGATTTCATTGATTGGTAAATATTTTGTATTATTCACAGTGTTTTTCAGCTCACTAGGCCTTAGAAGCTTACAATTTTTTTTTGTTACTTGTTTAAAACATCTAAGAAGTACCATTGCCAATTAAACATTTGAAAGATTTTTTTTGCATTACTGATCTCTACCATCCAACAGGATTACTGCTATTAAATAGCAGTGCTTTTGTTATTCCTTCTGATTAAAATACTAATCCCGTGTCCACGCTTTGCTTACAAGGATTTGACAACACTCAATTCTAATCTCTGTTGTGGTAATTATTACTTCAGCCAATAAAATTCCCGCCTACGAATTTTTGATTGATTGATTGGTGTTTAACGCCACTTTCAGCACTATAAGCTAATTCGTGATGGCCAATTTTTATTGGTGGAGAAAGCCAGAGAGAACTCACAACATCTGTATTGACAGGCTAGTGATACAGTAGTTGAACTCCTTAGACCACTTGAACACAGAGGCCCTCAAAATTTTTGAAGATGTGTATCATGTCAACAAAAGAGGATTGTGAAAGGTCTTTAGTACAGAAAGTAGACCAGAGTGTGGTCAGATCTTTGTAAGTGAAGCATGGGCACAAGATCTGTATTTCAATCAAATTGTTTGTTATTAAAAAAGTCAGTATTTAGAACAGATCATAGGGTGTAAAAACAAATGTTGATCATTACCTCTATAGTAACAAATTTGTTCACCTATTGGGCAATCAGTTTGGGATTAGGTATAACAAGACTTGACCACAGTTGTTCATGGTTTCAGACCTTCAAATGTTTTCTTGCCTACCAAACAACATGGCAACAATTAGTAAAAAAAATTTTTTTTTAAACGGGAAAACAGAAGTACCGATACTGTTGATTCATTTATTTTCCTGGATACTAATTTTCATTGATTGAAAAAAAAGTTTAATTTTTTGTGGATATTTGATTTTGTGGTTTTGCAAGCATGCAGAAAATTTGTACTTAGTTGAACATTTAAATTCATGATTTACCTTAACCAAGGAAATACACAAGAATCCCAACAATAATACTGAATTCACAGTATTCAAATTTTCTCTTCAACTGACCAAATGTTGGTGTCAGTTCCATTAAAGTTCAATTTTGAAATTGGGTTGGATGGTCCCCATCTACTAACCAAGTTTACTACAGATAGAAAATCCATTTATGATTAATGATATAAGTATCTGTACCAAAATAAACCAGTGTAGGTAAGAATTGTAACAATATTCCCTTTAACATGCAACCTTATTGCCATTAATCCTATTATAAAACTTATAATTTAAAAATAGGAAGATCAGGTTATGATAAAAATTACGTAGGTTTTACCCAGGATTTCATTAAAAAAAGATACATTTAGAAGTCTTTATCTCTGAAACCACAAGGATAATTGTAACTATAACTGAGAACAATTACACTATGGAATATTTTTTATGTCGACCTCTACCATCAGACTTGTCCATTTTATAAAGAATATAATGTATAAAGACCAATACGGATATCTTTGTGTATATTTTAAGGGCCTATTTATCCATAAATGATTCTCATTTACCAAAAGCAAATTCAAAAATTTCATTTAGAAGTCAAATGTAAAAATATATGCATACACATAAAAGTAGGGCATAGATTCAATATTTCTTCACATGAATAATTGCTGTATTGTCCTCATTACTGAAAGTATTTATTAGCATCACGTATCATGAGCATTTGTGCACAATTTCATAATTGTATTTATTTATTTTTTTTCCAGTGTAACTACATAATACCTGCTGTGTGTATTGTGACTATACTGCTGATATTCCAGATACCTGCCTATACAACTACCAGTAACTTCCCTGCTGTTGTCTCTCTTTTCTTGTTGTATGGGTATGTTGCTTTATATTCTAGGATAAAACTAGTGTTAATTATTGTTCATGATTGTGTAAATAGATATAAGAAGATGTGGTATGAGTGCCAATGAGACAACTCTCCATCCAAGTCAAAATTTATAAAAGTAAACCATTATAGGTCACAGTATGGTCTTCAACACGGAGCCTTGGCTCACACCGAACAGTAAGCTATAAAGGGCCCCAAAAATTACTAGTGTAAAACCATTCAAACGGGAAAACCAACGGTCTAATCTATATAAAAAACGAAAAAATGAGAAACACTTAAGAACCACATCAACAAACGACAACTACTGAACATCAGATTCCTGACTTAGGACAGGTGCAAACAAATGCAGCGGGTTTAAACGTTTTAATGGTACCAAACCTTAGACTTAATTTATCATCCATGTTTCCAATCATGTTTACAGTTCGATATCCATTAAAGTTGGAAATTCCTTTTACACATGGGTTGCATTGTTAAATATTTGATATATGAGAGTTCTTGTCATTTACTATTCATCAGCTTTTGAAATTTTATATCAGGTTTAAAGTCATCCAACATAAACATGTGGCTAATGGCCCTTTATCTTACACAAAATTATTACTTAAGAAAAGGTTTTGTTAACCCATTTCATATCTAAGAAAGAAACACTTTGCCCTACATTCAATACTTAAAGCTAAATTTAAAATAGATGATTCTTTTTAATTTGTCTGTACTTGAATATTATTTTGCAGTTGGTCCATTACCCCAGTGATGTATCCAGCCTCATTCTGGTTCAAAGAACCCAGTACTGCATATATCTGGCTGATAGTGATCAACTTATTTACTGGAATTACGTGCATTGTTTGTAGCTTTCTGCTGGAAATTTTCTCGTATGACAAGGTAATGTAAATCAGTATCATTCATGTAAATCATTTTTGTATCCACTAAGTCTTGGAGGCGAGACATAGGCTTGCTGTTTCTGGCGGCATGGTCTGCATTGTCAACAATTTGTTAAAGTTTGTGATTAGATTAGTTTATGGGGAACCACCAATGGTAAATTTATGATATTTGGTATCCAGTTGTATTATCTATGACATCTTATTTCAATGGAGATTATCTGGCCCTACCCCATAGTCATGGTCTATTGACATTGAAAATTTTGTTTAGTTTAAATGTTAACCTAAAGTTTGTGATATGATCAGTTTAATGAGAACCACTATAAATGGTAAGTCAATGATGTTTGGTATGCATTTGTATTAGCATTAGTGCATCTCATTTTATGAAGATTATTTAGCCTTGCTTTCTTAGTCCTGGTCTTTTGACTTTGAAACTTTTGCTTAGTTTTAATGTTAAAGTTTGTGTTTATGTCAGTTTAAAGGGAAAACACAGTTGTATAAGCATTTCAGTTCTCATTTCTTACATAGATTATTTTGCCCTGCTCCTTTAGTCATGGTTCATTGACTTAGAGTGTATGCATAGTTTACATCTTAAAGTATTGCCTTTTAATTTCAACATTGGCATTTTACTATCAAAATTACATATAGGCAAGACATATCTCGATGTCAGCAGTTTATTAATCCATGTAACAAGTCAATTACATAAAGGAACAAACATGAAAATGAATAGCATATTTCACCTTTCTTTGAATATTTGATATTTATTGGACAGATTTTTGTGTGAAAATTTCTACTTACTTTAAATTATATTAGGTTATTATTATTTTTAATTTATTTTGTGAGGGTTTGCCATAATACATTTTTATTTTCAGGACTTGGAAAAGGTCCACATAATACTTAAAGATGTCTTCCTTATATTTCCTAACTATTGTTTAGGACGTGGTTTAATGGATATAGCCTTCAATGAATATAAAAATGAATTCTACTTCAAAACAGGTAAATATAATGAATAAGTAAATATAACTAGTTATATTGTCAGCTGTGGTTAAATGAAGTGGGACGTATTTAGTGATTGTTGTGTTTGTTCATCCATCCATCTCCACTGAGTTTCTCATAATCTTCAAAACCTGATTCCACTGTGCCCTTCTTATTCATAGGGCGATGGAGGTCTCAACATCAAACTTTTGGTACAGAGGTGCAGCTGGGATTTCAAAAACACCCCCATTCATGTATGAAAGTCTTGTGATTATCAGGACCCATTTACTAGTAATACATTTCATTGCAAATTCATTACCCATTCATATATTTCTCAGTTATCACATATACAATTTTTGACATCTAAATTTGGTTTAAACCAATAAAAAATGGCCTATTTTATTCAACCCATTGATGTATTTGAAGTGTTAGAAAGGAGACCCATTCTAGCGGCAAGTCTTTATATACTTTCATATAGGAAGAGAGAGACCCCCCTCCCCCCCCCCCCATCCTTGTGTTCTTATTTTACTGTTTGATCAAAAAGATTTTGGGGTTTCACATAGCAAATCATGGACTTCGCTTAATCTATACAAATGAGGGGATATGATCACAGTTATTTATTTAATTTTTAAACGCCCGTTTACGGGACGTATTATGGTATACCGTTGTCCGTCCGTCCGTCTGTCCGTCGTCAACATGTCGGACATTAACTCAAAATTGCTTTAACCAATTTGCATAAAACTTTAGTGAATTGTTTATATCTATTGACGTGAGCTCCCTTTCATTTTTTAAAAAATTTAGATTTTACGTTCCCGAGTTATTGGGTTTTATTCATTAAAAAAAGGGTGATTTTCCAGTTTTCGGACAATAAGTCAAGAATGCTTTCACCAACTTGCAAGAAATTGTGGTGAATTGTTTATATCTATTGACATGAGCTCCCTTTGGATTTTTATAAATTTTAGATTTTACGTTTTTTCCGAGTTACAGGGTTTTATTCATAAAAAAAGGGGGGATTTTCCAGTTTTCGGACAAAAACTCAAAAATGCTTTCAGCAATTCTTATGAAACTTTGGTGAATTGTTTGTATGTATTGATGTAAGCTCCCTTTAGAATTTTATAAATTTTACATTTTACATTTCTGAGTTATGGGGTTTTATTCATTATTATATTTATATTCCTAGAGAGAAAGAGAAGGAGGGCAATGAAAGCATAAAAAACAATTTCCATTATAATAATTTACCTACTTATAATCAACTTTAAGTTTTCATAATAAGGTCCTTTTGTCAGATATTATAAGTAGTAGGTCAGCTTTATTTGGTGCATAGAATGATTGTAAGGTGTAATTTCCATCTAACAGGGTTCCTTGACCATATTTTCATGGATTATTGATAAATTAATGTAAAGTTAAATTTTATGTTTTTATTAAACCTTTTCCTTAAAGACTTTCAACAAAAAATTCAATCATGATCAGAAAAGCAAACAATACATTTCAGCATGTGCACACTTGTTTTATATTTTTATATAAAATGATTTATTGTTTACAGGTCAGTATGACTTGATGAAGTCACCTTTAACCTGGGAAATCACTGGTAGAAATTTGGTAGCTATGGCAGCTGTTGGAATTTGTTTCTTTCTATTGACATTGTTGTGTGAATTCAGGTTTTTCATCAAAAGAAGGTAGGAGTTTTGTTCTTATTTTTAATGTATTTTGTGCTACCACACTTAGTTTCAACTTTTAAAGGCAAGGTTTGTCATTTCTGCACTAAATTTAGGCTTTTTTAGGCACTTTTGTAAGTTGAGTCACAATGCATTTAAGTTGCACCCACACTAAAAGCCATCAGTCAGTTTTTCAACAATTTTTTAGTGCTACTTCTTCATTATTGTTTGAGCTGGAATTGAATTTTAGTTTAATCTTGTGAGGACAATTGCACACATGACTAACTTTTCAGCAAGGGCTATCCACAATTCTGATTTACAAATTAAAACTTTTATTCAATTACGTAGAAAAGAATAAATTCTCAAGAGTCAAACTTATGCTTTAGTAACTCTGTAATACACATGTGTTCAATTGTCCTTACAAGATTAGACACTTATTTCTTAAATGTGAAATTATTTAATGCTAAATGAAAAAATTGAAACTAATAACTAAAAAATACAGTGATTTCCTGACACTTGATAACCTGTCAGAACAAATTCCTTAAATGAATCTTGAATGAATTGGTAATTTATCATTAACTTAACCCATTCAGTTTTTATTTGTTTCTGAATATCAAAAATAAGGATGTGGATTCTTGCAGGGTTTACATTCAAATCATTAAAATCATTTCTATAAAAAAAAGTGTTGCATTCCCCAAATCATTCTGAAACAATTTTACTTAAAAAATGAAAACAACACATTATAAATTTCATGCGGCAGAAGCGCTTTTCTGGATTTACCTTCATCAGGAACGCTCAAAATCGAATATTTGAAAGTCAAGGATGTATAAGAACCTAAACAGTTGAAGAGATATATTACCAAAAAGGACCTTAAAAAATAGCCAAATCCCAAAATAAAAGGTCATCTTTGCCTAAAAGGTATGAAATTTCAATAAGTTAATGATGTGAAACTGTTGATACAAAATGAAAATAATATGATTGCTAAAGAGACAACTATCCACTATAGTGAAAAAAAAATCCTAACTTTCTAGTCCTCTTTAAATGACCGAAATTATTTTGATAAATTTCCAGACCCTTGGAGTAAAATGTTTTATAGTCTGCACAAAATTTTAATTCTAAAAAGTTTTGTTGAGGCAAATTCTTCTATCATAGTATTTCTTAGAATCAAATGAAATTTTCTACAATTGTTTTAATCAACATATTTTAATGTGCATATCTCTCTATTACTGTAAATTCAGAAATTTATGCGATGTCTTTAATTATTCCAAAAATTGCAACTGGATAGCTTTTGCAAAAATACTAATTCTGATAGCATTATTTGTATGCAACATTTCCTAAAAATTCAATAATTAATCTCGGTTTTTTTTGGTCATTCGTTTAACAATTGCACTAATAAATGCATGCAAAAAATTCTGAATTTAGAGTATGCTAAAATATTTAAGGCCTAATCAATTTTACATTTTTAACTGGCAATGTGATTATTGATGAGATCAAAGATCTTCAATGTGGCAATTAGTTTTATGATATTGGCATCGAGATATTATTTGTTTTAATGTTGTTCATTTTCACAGGACTAATTATAACATGAGGTAATAGGTCACACATGCCTTCCACATACAACTCTAGATTGCATTTTCAGAAAATTTGATTATGTCATAGGGATTTCGTATATATTTTTCTTGTAGTTATTGTAAAATATAACATACATAAAAATTGTTTCTGAAAATACAAACATTAACTTTTCCATTTTTAGGGTTGTTTTTCAAGGGAAAAACTAGCAGAAAAATATAGTTCTATCCTTATTTCTGTGGAAAGAAATTTTACTTCTTACCTATAGCAATTGATAAAAGCCTTTCACAATAAAAAGTTGTTTCATGCTTCATAACATGCCAGAAGCATGAAAGTTGAGTCTGAAATGATATAGTTTGCACTCTATCAGAAGGCCACAAAGTGAATAATGGATGATCTATAAAATTTTTGTAAAATGGAATAGTTGATGGTCAGTAGATGAAATCAATTTTTGTCTTTGTTTCAAGTGACATCTAAAACTTGAAAAATTTATGTCTGTAAGGCCTTGTGGTCATAAATAGTAGAAGTAAGATTATCATACTCAACTCAGATTTCAACCAATCTAAACAATGGATTTGGTGTTTTGAGCAAAAATTTTGTACTATGTAGTTTAACAACCAAGATCCCAGGAATATCTTGCTTAATATTTTAAAAATTCTACAGACTGGTTGTAGCAGATGTATAATTTGGTCTGCTTATTTCATACAAGTGCATATTAAGGTGGAATTTAAATCTGTTTTTCACTTCTTGCATACATCATAATCTTGCTTTAAATTTTATTTCATGATTTAATGTTTCCACTGTGTCACCTACGGAAATACTAATGTCCTTACAAGTTTTAATTCAGTTTTTTTTTCAATAGCCAACATTATTTTGTTTATTGTCAGGACAATGTTTACGTTAAAAGTCTCACCTACACAAATAATTACTTGTCACTTGAAACAGTAACTTTTGTAGACTTTCCTTAGGATTAAAAAAGAAAGTGTACTTTTTTTATGCTCAAATGTTTGTTTTAATTAGAATTTTACATTCTCTCTTCTTTATTTGATTCATTGTTTCTTTAATAGAAAAATGTTGTTAGTCTTTCATAGATTTTTTATCTTCCACATTCAATTATTGTCACACCAAATGCTTTAACATGTGATAGCTAATGTATGTTGTTTCCCAATATTAGCTTAATTAGAAAAACTTTCTATGTTTTTATCAGAATTGTTTAAGGTAGATCTGGTTTCCTGTGCCTTCTTGGACTATAAAATAGCAGTTAACAATCCGTAACGTTCTTTAAAGAAATGTGCAAATCTGAGAGAGGAATAAAATTTGTTTGTAATACAGAAGATTTTTTGTTTGTTTGTAATTTTTTTAAACTTAGTCAAATAAGGGGAGATAAGTCAGATTATGTAACTTTAATAAAGGCATATGTTGTGAATTTTTCTTTTTTGTTTTGTAGCAAGAAAACGAGTCCCATGACCCCAAACTGTCTTTCTATTTTCTGAATGCGCATTGTACGAGCTATTTTCTCATATTTTATCTTAAAATTCTTTCTTTTAGTTTTCTTTCTATCACAAAAAATAGGTTTTTCATGTATAATCTATACAAAATCTGATAATTTTACACAACTTGTAGCTTGAAAAAAAAAGCCCCTTGACCCATTCTTTTTAATGTATTTTTGAAAAGATGCATAATATAAACTACATTTTGGCAAATTATAAAAAAAAAATTCTATCGATTTTAATTAAGACACCCACCCCCATGTACCTTAAACAGAATTTTTAGGTTTGATTTTTACAGTCCAATCTAAAAATGGTCTCTGAATTTTACTTGAATGCCACAATAGACATGAGAAAAAAATCTAATGATGAGCCAGTAGGAAGTGACTCAAAACTGGTTTGATTGGAAAGGGCAGATCATTTTAATTGCCTATGGAAGGTTGAAAAATTTGCTTTGAGCATATTCACCAATGTTTATGACATGTTTAAAATTTTACTTTCTGATCTAATGGCCCTTAAATATTTATAGACTATGACCTCATTTGATGCTAATGATGGGTGAAAAAGTCTCTTAATACAGTGAAACTTCTCAAAACTGGCTGCCCGTCGGACCACGGAAAACGACCGGTTTGCGGGGCTGGCCGGTTTGTTGAAAATTGAAATCATCAAGAGTTACTTCCCTTCAATATGTGTGTTTGAGTATATTTGAAAATGTTTTTTCTTTAAATCAAAATATATGTTTTCCTTTTATTTTCTACAACTTCTATTCTAATTTTTTATCTTGTTTTATCAAAATGTACTACCAAATATTCAAAATTGTGCATTAAAATAATAATTGTAACCTTGCAATAGCATGTGTAATTATCTGTACCTGTCATAACATAATCAGCTTGGATATTGAAATAAATTTGACAGGTGAACAGTAGTCAGTCAGCATGCAGGTGACCTGATGGACCGGATTATCTTCTTTGTTTGCATAACAATTTTATGTAGGGATTGGTGGTTTTAAATGATAAGGCCGGTTTTTAACCAGATTTTCGAAGGAAAAATCTGTTATTGATTTGGGGATGTACGGCCAGCGGGCGGCTGCCAAACAGTATCCATTCATTAACATGAAAATGCTTTGATGAAATTTTTTCAAATTTTGATATGTTGTTTCCTGTGACTAAAGAAAGGTCAAGTTCAGTTTTCACGATTGTAGCTTTTCTCATTGTTGAGTTATAGCCCTTTGCCAAGAATTCAATTTTTGATGAATTATTCCATTTCTGTACAAAGCTTAAGGGAAACAACTCATTTTTTAAAAGATTTTTAAAAGGAATTGTATTAATGATAAATGACATTTTGGATTTTTTTTCTTTTCTTTGGTAAATTGTTTGAAGAATTTTGTGGTAGGTTTGTTTGTTATTCTGTATAAACTAATTTTCTGAATGCTATATATATAATTTTTTTTTTGATGAAGTGAACTCCTTTAATTAGATAATCTATTTTCAAAATTTCTTTATAACTATTTTCTTTAAGTCATGTGTGTTATGAAGGTAGATGTCACAGTTGTTATGTGGTATTTTATTTTTGTTGTGTGTGTTAATGTTTAATTTTTACATGATCCTGTTTGGGGTTAAGATTTGCAAATATCATTTTCATTATTAATTAGATAATAATCTATTTTAAATATTCAATCACTATCCAAATTCCGAGCTGTTTTAAGCTTAAATGTTGTGTCCATACTTGCTCAACTGTTCAGGGTTCGACATCTGCAGGAAAATCCAGTTTGCTGTCACTCGACAGCCTCTTGTATGAGGTTTAATTTTATTAATTTTGATTAACCAAATAAAAAAATACCGGCCGGTATCCGGTTTAAAGGGGTGGCCGGTTTTATAAGGTTACATGACCATTTAATTCAACACAAATCAGACAGGACTTCTTGGTGTGGCAGGTATGAGGGGAGAACTGGTATTCAGAGGGACTGGTTTAGAGAATTTTTACTGTATTACAAAGTCTGAAATTTAAAATGGCTTTTTATAACTATATGGAATACTTTTGAGGATAACTATTAACATTTTAATAGTTCACATTTAGCTGATTTAATGACAATGAAAGCTTTATTTAATACCATGTATACTTTAATGTTCTGTGCAATATTGATTATTATTATTTATGGTTTGCATGTTTGATATTTTTCCAATCTGATTTAAATACAGATCCTGTGTCCAGGCTTTCCTTACAAGGATCTGACAACACTCCATTCTGCTTTCTGTTTTAAAGACTTTTGGAATCCTCTGGTTTTGTCAGATTAAAAAATTTGAAGGCTGAAATTTCAATGGCTGATGAAATAATTACCATAACAGAAAGTAAAATTGAGTGTTGGCAGATCCTTGTAAGCAAAGCTCAGACACAGGATCCGTATTTTTATCAGATTGATATTTTTGTAGGAGTTTTATTACCCTTGTATTTGGATTTTTCAATGCTTTAAAGGGTCTGTCACTCTGTCTGTGTTAGTCAATTCTATTGACTGTAGTTGTATCATATCACTAGTTCAGCATTACATTGTTTGTTTACTGTTATTAGTCAGGTACGCCATTCCTCTGCGATACCTTCTGTTGAAGAGGACGAGGATGTAGCAACAGAAAGGAAACGTGTCATGAGAACATCAGGACGCAATGATATCTTGCGTCTAGAAAATCTAACTAAGGTATTTACTCTACAGATGGTTACTTTGCATTTACCCATCTTTTTAAAGTTACTTAAATAATGCATCCAAGCCAAGATGAGGTGAAAAAAAAAGAAATCATGCATCCTAGCTGTTACTGACATGAAAAAAGTTCCGAAATTATCCATACCAGCTAATGAATCATGCATCCAAGCTGAAGCTCACTTGAAATAAAAGTAAACAAATTATGCATTCCAACAAAGGCTAAAGTGAAAAAAGTGTAAAGAATTATGCATCTCAACAAAAGCTAAAAAGATAAAATGAGTAAAAAATCATACATTTCAGCTTAGGTGAACGTGGAAAAAGAGTAAAGCTTTCTAAAGCAATGTGATTATGTAAATATTTATTGAATGTATTTTTATTAGGTTTACAAGACAAGGAAGTTGGGACACCATTTAGCTGTTGACAGATTGTGTCTTGGGGTACCTGCTGGGGAGGTAGGAATTTCTTTGTGTATTGTACCTTGGGGTGCCTGCTGGGGAGGTAGGAATTTCATTGTGTATTGTGCCTTAGGGTACCTGCTGGGGAGGTAGGAATTTCATTGTGTATTGTGCCTTTGGGTACCAGCTAGGGAGGTAGGAATTCCATTGTGTATTATGCCTTGGGGTACCTGCTGGGGAGGTAGGAATTTCATTGTGTAATTTGCCTTGGGGTACCTGCTGGGGAGGTAGAATTTCTTTGTGTATTGTGCTTTGGGGTACCTGCTGGGGAAGTAGGAATTTCATTGTGTATTGTGCCTTGGGGTACCAGCTGGGGAGGTAGGAATATCATTGTGTATTGTGCCTTAGGGTACCTGCTAGGGAGGTAGGAATTTCATTGTGTAATTTTCCTTGGGGTACCTGCTGGGGAGGTAGAATTTCTTTGTGTATTGTGCTTTGGGGTACCTGCAGGGGAAGTAGGAATGTCATTGTGTATTGTGCCTTAGGGTACCTGCTGGGGAGGTAGGAATTTCATTTGTGTATTGTGCCTTGGGGTACATGCTGGGGAGGTAGGAATTTCATTGTGTATTGTGCCTTAGGGTACCTGCTGGGGAGGTAGGAATTTCATTTGTGTATTGTGCCTTGAGATGCTTGCTGGGGATGTAGGAATTTCATTGTGTATTGTGCCTTTGGGATCCTGCTGTGGAGGTAGGAGTTTCATTGTGTATTGTGCCTTAGGGTGCCTGCTGGGGAGGTAGGGATTTCATTGTGAAATGTGCTTTGGGGTACTTGCTGGGGAGGTAGGAATTTTATTGTGTATTGTGGCTTGGGGTACCTGCTGGGGAGGTAGGAATTTCATTGTGTATTGTGCCTTGGGGTACTTCAAGGGGAGGTAGGAATTTCATTTGTGTATGCATACTTAGGTGAAAAGTGTTGAAACAAGAAAAATAAAATTGTATGATATATAGGAAATTTTTTGAAGCCCCTTTTAAACTGAAATATTGTTTGATTTACTTATAATGAAAACTTGTATGATACTCTTGATAAATTCTTACCTCTTTATATCCCTTTAAAGAGTAACTATTTTGTATTTCCTACTTGTAATATTTGTTGATGTTAACTGTTTCTAGTGTTTTGGTCTCCTTGGTGTTAATGGAGCTGGAAAAACAACAACCTTTAAAATGTTGACAGGAGACATAACTCCTTCAAGTGGAACTGCTTATCTAGGAAGATTCAGGTAAATCCATATGTAAAACATATAGCCAAACCTGCCTTAACCATCACCTCGATCATGTTCCGATTCTCAAATTCAGTTAATTAAAATAACATAGGAGTTCAGTACATGTAATTTACATTGGGGTTTCAGTACATGTTCTTAACATTGGAGTTCAGTACATATAAATTACAAAGATGTACAGTACATTTAGAATACAAATGTGTTCAAAACATTTAGATAACAAATGTGTTCAGTATATTTAGATTACAAAGGTGTTCAGTACATTTTGAATACAAATGTGTTCAAAACATTTAGATAACAAATTTGTTCGGTATATTTAGATTACGAAGGTGTTCAGTACATTTTGAATACAAATGTGTTCAAAACATTTAGATAAACAATGTGTTCAATATATTTAGATTACAAAGGTGTTTAGTATATTTAGATTACAAAGGGGTTCAGTAAATTTAGATTACAAAGGGCTTTAGTACATTAAGAAGACAAAGATGTTCAGTACATTTTGAATACAAATGTGTTCAGAACATTTAGAATACAAAGGTGTTGTGAACATTTGAATTACAAAGGTGTTTAGTACATTTTGAATTCAAATGTGTTCAGAACATTTAGAATACAAAGGTGTTCAGCACATTTAGAATACAAATGTGTTTAAAAACATTTAGATAACAAATGTGTTCCGTATATTAAGATTACAAAGGTGTTCAGTACATTTTGACTGCAAATGTGTTCAGTATATTTATATTACAAATGTGTTCAGTATATATAGATTACAAAGGTGTTCAGTACATTTTGAATACAAATGTTCAAAACATTTAGATATCAAATGTGTTCAATATATTTAGGTTACAAAGGTGTTCAGTATATTTAGATTACAAAGGGGTTTAGTAAATTTAGATTACAAATGGCTTCAGTACATTTAGAATACAAAGGTGTTCAGAACATTTAGATAACAAAGGTGTTCAGTATATTTAGAATACAAAGGTGTTCAGTACATTTAGAATACAAAGGTGTTCAGTACATTTAGAATACAAAGGTGTTCAGAACATTTAGATTACAAAGGTGTTCAGTACATTTAGAATACAAAGGTGTTCAGTACACTTTGAATACAAATGTGTTCAGTACATTTAGATTACAAAGATGTTCAATACATTTGGATTACAAAGGTATTCTGTACCTTTGAATACAAATGTGTTCAGAACATTTAGAATACAAAGGTGTTGAGTACATATAGAATACAAAGGTGTTCAGAACATTTATAATACAAAAGTGTTCAGTACATTTAGAATACAAAGGTGTTCAGTACATGTGAATTACAAATGTGTTCAGAACATTTAGAATACAAAGGTGTTAAGTACATATAAAATACAAAGGTGTTCAGAACATTTAGAATACAAAGGTGTTCAGTACATTTAAAATACAAAGGTGTTCAGAACATTTAGAATACAAAGTTGTTCAGTACATTGAAATGTAATTAGAATGAAAATAATACTTTATAAAGTCAGTGCATTCAAAGGTGCTTTTCTATGGAGTTATCTAAATCAGGAATGATTGAACCAACAAATTTTGAGGCCCATGATGTATAACTACTTGAATAGATGAGGAGCTTGATATAACCAAAATTGATATAAAATTAATAACCACAGTAAAAAGATATAAGTAAATTCAGAAACTTAGTTTTTGTTATAGTTATGTTCAAGCAGTAAAAGAGTTTAAATGAATCAATAATAATGAATAAGGTTTTGATGACTGAGAGTTTTTTGTTTTATGCTGATAGGTATCTCTGCTTTTTAGAAACACTTCAATTTGGCTAAATTTGCATGGTTCATTGGTTAATGTAAAGTCTTCATGGTTTGGTCTGTACCTTGGATATTATAACCAATAGGTTAACTATATTTGGTATGTGGAATGCTTGTAAGGTGTACATGTCTGTCTGGTAGGGTTTATCTAGCCTTTGAACCCACTGTAATGGATCATTAATAATGTTTAGTTTATGTAAAACTTGTAGTAAAAGACATTTCAGCGTGTGCACTCTTGTTCATGTTTTATAATGATATTAATCTTGTAAATTTCTTGATTTAGTATTTTAAAAGAATTACTGCAAGTACAACAGAGCATTGGTTATTGTCCCCAGTTTGATGCACTGTTTGATGAATTAACAGGAAGAGAACATCTACGATTGTATGCCAGACTAAGGGGTATTCCTCCAACTGATGAAAACAAGGTAAATCTTAAAGAAACTAATTTATGTTATATTTGTATCAAACAAGACAGTTGTGAGGTATAATGTTAAACTTTAATGACGTTCTTATTTTCAGTGGGGTTATTAATTTTGAGTATCTTTACAATGAATTCATTGTCCCCTGCTTCATCTCAAACGAGTGACATTGTAAAAATGGTTGCATGTCTCACAGTTTGTATTCTTTGAACTTTCCACACCTCAGTGTTTTTTTGGGGTTTTGTTTTGTGATACCTCTCCTATATGGTAGAACATTTGGTCAAGTTTTTCTACCATTTGACAGTCAAGAATTTTCGAGTTGATTGACCATAAACACTTTATACACTTATCTACATAGCCTTTGTTGTTCCAACTCTCCAAAGGTGTTTTATCCATTGATTTTACTGATAATAAACTTGGGCAGTAATGATGTTTAGTTGATAATTTTTGTCATCCCTTTTATTGTAAAAATTTATAGGAGTTATGGCCCCTGGCTGTATACAGAAGTAATCTCTGTCCAAAACAAGAATTTTTGCTAATAGATTCAGTACTTTGTAGAATAATTTGTTTAGTTTTGTTCAACATCATGTTTGCTGGAGTTATTTTGCCTTAAATTTTTTTTTATCTTTATGATATGAGTAAAAGTAAATGTGGGGTTTATGTCAATGAGATAGTAGCCTGGTTAAATTCCAAATGACATCTTAATGTTCACATGCATTCTGTCACAAGAAAGAAATATGTGAACAATCAATGAAATAACCATTAATCTTTTTATGCCAGGTTGTAGAATGGGCAGTAAGGAAACTATGTTTGACAAAAGATGCCGATAAGCCTTCTGGTACATATAGTGGTGGAAATAAACGCAAATTATCGACAGCAATAGCCTTGATTGGTCATCCACCTATTATATTTATGGTAAGTTAATAACTTGTATAAAATGAGAGTTTGTCTTCAGATTGAAATGAAGTGACTCGTGTTGTGCATTATGTATAACATGAATATAGCAATTTAAAATAATCATAAGGTTCTAGTAATAGTGACATCTTATACAACAGTTTCAACTTGCTTTTATTTATATTTTTAATTCTGATGCACAATATTTTTTATATTGAAGTTTTGATACGACCGCAAAAAAATATTGTGGTCGTATATTGGTATCACGTCGTCGTCAGCGTCGTCCGAAGACATTTGGTTTCCGGATAATAACTTTAGTTTAAGTGTATGGATCTCTATGAAATTTAATCAAAAGGTTCAATACCACAAAAGGAAGGTTGGGATTGTTTTTAGGGGTGATGGTCCCAACCGTTTAGGAATTAGGGGCCAAATAGGGGCCAAAACAAGCATTTTTCTAGTTTCAGGACAATAACTTGTGTATAAGTATTTTGATTGCTCTGAAATTGTACTACAAGGTTCAATACCACAAGTAGAAGATGGGATTCATTTTGGGGGTAATTGCCCAAACCGTTCAGGAATTAGGGGCCAAAAAGGGTCTAAAACAAGCATTTTTCTAGTTTTCAGACAATAACTTGTGTTTAAGTGTATGGATGTCTCTTAATTTGTACCACATTTTACAAAAAGAAAATTTCTTCAAAATTAATTTTTTGGAAGGTAAAAAATTTTTTTTTTAGGGGGGGGAGAATTTTTTTCCTCAAAAGAAAATTCTCTTCAAATATTGTTTTTTTTTAAGGGGGGTAAAACAAAATTTTTTTGGGGGGGTCAATTTTTTTCCCTCAAGATTTAAGAAATTGTCAATTTTCCAAAGAAAAAAATTGGGGGTCACAATTTTTTTTGCTAATTCTTTGTATATAGTCTACAGATTTACTAAGTATTGAGCAACAGCACAGTGTATTGCACAACAGCAAGAAATCTTCAGTTGAATATAAATCCAAATCATACAACCAATTTCAAGTTCTTTGACTACATTTATTCTGTGTCAGAAACCTATAATGTGTCAAATATTTAATTACAATCCAAATTCAGACCTGTATCAAGCTTGAATATTGTGTCCATTTTTGCCCCAACTGTTGAGGGTTAGACCTCTGCGGTCGTATCCAGCTGCCCTCGGCGAAGCAGTTTATTAAGTTTACATTTGAATCAGAATAGAATACAGAAAAAAGTATGAAACATATGTTATAAAATGAATTTTGAAGTTTAAATGATATGCACCCCTAGGAATGAACACTTAGTTATCCTGACAGTAATAGTGGTTATAATTATTACAGGATGAACCAACCACAGGAATGGATCCATATTCCAGAAGATTTTTGTGGGATCTAATATTAAGTCTGGTAAAAGATGGTAGATCAGTTGTGCTTACTTCTCACAGGCAAGTATAATACTAAAGCAGCTATGTTTGTGTTTATAGTGTTGTCTTACTGCAGCTGAAGTGAGCAGTGATGACAAAGATAAACAAACAGTGACCTATAGTTGTTAACTTTTACGTCAATTGGTCCCTAGTGGAGAGTTATCATATTGGCAATTATACCACATCTTCTTATTTTTAGCTCACCTGGCCCAAAGGGCCAAGTGAGCTTTTCTCATCACTTGGCGTCCGTCTTCCGTCGTCGTCGTTAGCTTTTACAAAAATCTTCTCCTCTGAAACCACTGGGCCAAATTTAACCAAACTTGGCCACAATTATCATTAGGGTATCTAGTTTAAAAATGTGTCCGATGACCCCGCCAACAAACCAAGATGGCCGCCATGGCTAAAAATAGAAACCAAAGCATTTAGAGTAAATCTGACATAGGGTAAAACTGATTATCAGATCAGGATCCATCTGCCCTGAAATTTTCAGACAAATCTGACAACCCGTTGTCGACCCCTTTAGGAGTTATTGCCCTTTATAGTCAATTTTTAACAATTTTTTGTAAATTTTTGTAATATTTTACAAAAATCTTCTTCTCTGAAACTACTGAGACAAATTTAACCATACTTGGCCATAATCATTATTAGGGTATCTAGTTTAAAAAATTTGTCCGATGACCCCGCCTTCCAACCATCATGGCCGACATGGTTAAAAATAGAACATAGGGCCTGGGGTAAAATGCAGTTTTTGGTTTATGTCTTTGAAACTTAAGCATTTAGAGCAAATCTGACATGTGACAAAAATGTTCATCAGATTTAGATTTATCTGCCCTGAAATTTTCAGACGAATCCGACAACCTGTTTTTGGGTTGCTGCCCCTTGAGTTAGTAATTTTACAGAAATTTTGCAGTTTTTTGTTATTATCTTAGATATCATTATGATATCTAAAAATAATACTATTAATTATGATTTTAACCTTATTTTACATGATTTCCAAAGCATCAGCAAATAGAGGTGAGCAACACAGGCTCTTGAGAGCCTCTAGTTATTAAAACTATTGGTATAAAGCTTGTGAATGAGAAAGCCTTATAGTGTAAATTTCTTTCTGGGATAATTCTTGCTGACCCATTGATTAATTTTATTTAGATCCTAGTTTACATGCATATTTGAATGAACAATAAAATTGAGAATGGAAAGTCCATTTTTCATTCTTTTTTCAAGATAAGTATAATATAAGTAATATTGAAAATAAGTTACTATAAATTCAGAAATTATTGTGTGTGTATATTATTACGATTTTTGAAGAATGGACAAAAATGCCAGATTAATTATTGTGATTTCAAGAAAACCATCATACAAATATATGTGTAAGATATTGGAATGTGAGTTCTTATTATTTGATTCACATCTAGTGCATTATTCGCATTAATAGAAACCTGACAATAATTTCTGAATTAACAGTGATTGAATTGAACTATCCTTAGGGGTTATTAGTCCCCTGCCGACGAAGTCGAAGGGGACTTTAGGTTTGCACTCCGTCTGTCTGTCTGTCTGTCCATCTGTCCGTCTGTCCAACCGTCAGTCCGGCAAATCAGCTTTCCACACTTCGTTCTTGAAGATATTGATTTGATATTTAGTATATAGTTTTGTTTTGACAAGTTATAGATCAAGTTCGAATTTTGTTCCGGTCTGATAATTTAGTCCAGAGTTATGGACCATAACTCTGGACCATATGTAATGTTAGAGTACTATGTTAAACCATATTTCTGTACAAAGGGAGATAACTCATTTTTTAAAAGACATTCTTTGTTAAATTATTTGAAGAATTTTTTGGCAGGTTTGTTTGTTATTTAGTATAAACTAATTTTCTGAATGCTATAGATATAAAAAAAAATTATGAAGAGAAATCCTTTAATTAGATAATAATCTATTTTTATTAATGTATATATTTCAATACATTACATTGTGTATAGATAAAAGTTATTGACATTTTAGGTTTGCACTCTGTCCGTCTGTCCATCCTTCAGTCCGGCAAGTCAGTTTTCCACACTTTTTTTCTTCATTCTTGAAGATATTGATTTGATATTTGGTATATAGTTTTATCATGACAAGTTATAGATCAAGTTTGAATTTTGTTCTGATCTGATGATTTAGTCCAGAGTTATCATGGTCCATATCTAATGTTAGAGTACTACATTTTGTATGTTAAACCATAATACTGTACAAAGAGAGATAACTGATTTTTTAAATGACATTCTTTGGTAAATTGTTTGAAGTGTTTGTTATTTTGTATAAAATAATTTTGTGAATGCTATATATATAAAAAAAAAATGAAGTGAAATCCTTTAATAAGATAATAATGTATTTTTATTAAGGTATATATTTCATTACATTACATTGTGTATAGATAAAAGTTGTTGACATTTTATAGATAAGTTACAAATCTAAATTAGTTTGTGACAAATGAAAGAAAAAATATTTGGAACTATTAATTATATTTGATTATAATTTGAAAATAGATATACATTGTATTACATCATATCTTATTTTAGAGAACTATTAATCATATCTAATGTAAAGAGTGTTTTCCACACATTTTTTTCATCATGCTTGAAGATATTGATTGATAATTGGTATATAGTTTTATCATGACAACATTGACAAGTTACAGATCAAGTTCAAATTTTTGTTTCAGTCTGATGATTTTGTGCAGAGTTATGGTCCTTGGACTTAAAAAATTCACTCATATAATCCGTTTTCCACACTGTTTTTAGTCATGCTTGAAAATATTTACCTGATATTTTCATTTGTTTACACCATGACAAGTTATAGAACAAGTTAGCATTTTGTTCCAGTATAATGAATTTTTACCCGGTAGGGGACTATGTATTGCCATGCAATACTCTCAGAATGCTTGTTTAGTTTGAAATATTTATTCATCTTTAATGTAATTAGAATATTAATCAATTGCTGTAAGTTGAATAAGTTTATTGTGTTATAGTATGGAGGAGTGTGAAGCTCTTTGCTCACGTCTTGCCATTATGGTGAATGGAAATTTCCGATGTCTGGGTAGTATACAACATTTAAAGAACAGATTTGGTGATGGATATACATTCTCTATTCGTCTAAAGGGACCAAATTATGAAAGATCAAAACAGATGGTGGAAAATTATATTCGAAGAAATCTTGCTGAAGCTGTTCTTAAGGTAAATCTTGTTTTAACAAATACATTTTTCAAGGAAAAAATTCCAAATTGTAAATTTCCCTGAAGTGTTTGCCAACAAACTCCTTTAATATATGAGTTTTACATCAGTACTGACGGTAGCTGTTACAGCAAAATAGACAATTTTCAGTATTTGACATTTGAATTATTTGTAAAACAAAGCAAAAAAAGGGGTCAGAATTGGAAAGAGGAGAATAAAAATTTAAATTCAGTGTCAGATCTCAATTTGTTGAAAAGAGAGAATATTGAAACTAATTCTCAAAACTGCAGAGTTATTATAACATCAAATTCATATTTTTCATGATATATGAGATTATCTATTGACAATAAAAACAGATTTAGTTATGAATAAAAAGTGATGAGGGTGGTACATCAATATAACAGCAACCCTTAAAACAGTAAAACCATAGGCAAAAGTGATGAGGGTGGTACATCAATATAACAGCAACCCTCAAAACAGTAAAACCATAGGCAAAAGTGATGAGGGTGGTACATCAATATAACAGCAACCCTTAAAACAGTAAAACCATAGGCAAGTACATGTACAGTCTACAACAATAAAATAGTGTCATAACAATATGTCAGCTGTCAATTTTTGCTCACCTGGCCTAATTGGCCATGCGGGCTTTTGTCATCAGTTTGCATCTGTCAATCTGTTTTATACTAAAAACAATAAACATAAAACAATATGGCAGTCAACTACCAAAGACAAATGAATTACAGGCTACTGACATGATTGTTGCTAATGATTTTAATGTTTCATATTTTTACCAGGTTGAGCTATTTAGGCTCCTTGGTGTCACTAGTACTTTATAAAAATAAGAAGATTTGGTATGATTGCCATTGAGACAACTCTCCATATGAGACTAAATGAGGTAGAAATTAGCTTTGATAGGTCACAGTATGGTCTTCAACAATCAGCAAAACCCATACCGCATAGAATGCTTTTTGTCCTTTCAACATCAATAAAACTTAAATGTAAGCAGTAATGAGTGAATGTATGGAGTGTTAATTTTACATGAATGTTTGTTTATACTAATAGGAGCACCACTTTAACATGTTACAATATGGTATTGGGATAGATCAAGTGACTGTGGGAGATATCTTCAGAAAGATGGAGGAAATTGAAAAAGACCTGGATATAGAAGATTATTCTGTTAGCCAGAATACGTTAGATAATGTAAGATCTTTGTACCTTCATTATTTACTCCATAATTGTTTAATTTGGAAGAGGTTCTCTAGAAAGTAAAGATGAACATTTGGTACTTAACTTTTGAATTTTTAACTAAAAAAAGATTTTCATCAAAGACTTGCTAAGATCTTGTTCAGTTTTTAATTTACATTTATTTGGAGTTTTGCGCAATTAGAGGGGAAAGTAACATAAGATTTTGTAAGTAGGTAGCAGACATTTTAAGTATAATTTAAACACCTTTAGGGGCATTAATGTGCTTAAGTTTATGTTTTGCATAAGTGAACATGACATAAATTTTGCATAGGTGAACATGACAGTATGTAAACTGGTACTAATATTTGTGAAATATCCTATGGGACTGCAACCTTCTAGACTCTTGTCAAGATATGCCAAAAAAAAGTTCATCTTGTTTTATGATCTGATTGATATTTCAGGTGTTTATAAATTTTGTAAAACAACAAGTTGAACTTGTTGAGCAAAATGATTCAGTTAAGAAGATAAGAGGTCATAGATCAACTGGTAGAACTACCATAGAGGAGGTAGAAGAGGATGATGATGACCCATTATTGGATATTGATTCAAATGAGGATGGTTTAGGGAATGATGATGATGCTTGTTTTGTTTTTACTGAAACAGGGGTAAGTATTCTTAATTAGGGACCTCATTCACTAATTTATTTCTTTTCTGAAACATTCTTTTGGTAAATAGTGTGTGAGCATATAGTATATACAGTCACACATTATTGAACTATGAACAATACAGTGACCTTTAGTTTACAAAATTTGGCGTTTGGAGGATATTTTTCTCATTGGCAATCACACCACATCTCCTTATTTTTTATGGTTTACTATCATTTTAGGTCTTTATTTACTGTTTACCTTTTCATCACAAATATAAACTTAAGAATAAGCACAGGCATACTTTTTTAACTAATGGGCAAAACCCATAATGTATATTATGCTATAAAAGGCCCAGGTGTGACAACATAAATCAACTCAAAAAAGAAAACCACTGGCCTGATTGATACTACAACAATAAACAAAAACAAATATAGTTTACAGCCACCAAAATCAAAAGTGTTGTTAATATTTTTATGCCCCTGTGGTGGCGGCGTTTGGGGCATTAAGTGTTACCTTTGTCCGTCTGTACGTCCCAAAATAAGTTTCTGTTCTCTAACTATAGTTTGCCTCAACCAAATGTTATACACACAAAACACAGATCCAGTATAAATTTGTGGCATCACTTTTACGGTTCTAGAGTTATGCTCTTTAAAATGGTAAAATTGCTGAATTTTTCGTTTCTGTTCTCTAACTTTATTTTGCCTCACCCAAATGTTATGAAACTTACACACAATGCTTTTTACCATACAACACATATAGAGTTTTAATTTGGGTGGTGTCACTTTTACAGTTCTCTAGTTATGTCCCTTTATAACGTTATATGCAAAGGGGGCATCATTTGTGTCAATTGGACACATTCTCCATTTATTTTATAAATGGAAGAACATGATGACACACAGACATTCACAAGATGTCTAATTTCCTTGTTATCTTCTTACTTTGCAGACAAGGTTAACTTTGATGGACATTGATTGAAGAGGAATCAAATCTTATCTCTCAGTTAACATGACAAAGGTTGATACAGACGCCATAGATTTATAAAATATGATGAATTATAGGCATTTTTAGACATTTACTGTAAAACATGAATTTGTCATCATTTTGTCTATTAGCATTTTACATTCAATTTACTATTTTCATATTGTGTATGCAAACAAATGAACATTTGTTGAAAGTTAAAATTTTAGTTTATATTATGAAATATAGTGTAAACATCATATTAGTTCAATATTTTGAAGTAATTTTTCATGAGTTGTCACAAAAATCATTTTTGAAAACTCTTGAAGGTTTTCCTTTAAACAATGAAAACTTCATGGAAAATAACTTAAAATTGAAAAGAATCTGAACTCAGCTTATAATGTGATGAATGTCTTTCTTTAAGACATCAAAGATATCTTTCCCAACTGTTTTCTATTCCATATCATTAATTTTTGTATTGTGTCAATGACATATTTTTAGAAACTAGACTATGTAATTATGAAATATTTCTCACACAATTATAATCTAGAGATAGAACAACATGGCATTTTTTGTATTGCACAACAACATGACAAATCAATTTTAATTATAAGGAGGTTCATACACACTTTAAGTCTCTTTTGAGTTATTTATGTTACCACACAGAGCAATTCATGTCGGGCATTAATAATAATTTGATTTATCATAGCAATATATATATATATATATGTGTATGTCAATGCTTAATACCAATGTGGCACTGTCACAAGTTTTTTTTTTTTATCTCTTTGCCAAACATGACAATGTGTTGATGCTTATCTGTTACATTTCTTCAAACAGTTTTTCTTATACAATTGTTTCTATTTATATATAAACAATGCTTCTGTTTAACTGAGTATTTTTGTTTTAATTAATCTTAGTGGTAAATGAAGACATTGAAAAAAAAAAACAGTTATTGAAAGAAGAAATTTGACACAATTTTTTCTGTCGCAATGTTTTATTTGATGTTTGTCTGTGATATATTTTTTTATGTATACTGTAATTTTCTCTTCTTCTACTACTGATCTCATATTATTATGTATAAAGGGCCGTTTAAATGTATTTTTAAGAAATTTCTGGAACAGTTGTGAGTCATTTCTTGGAAATAAAATTTTATTTAAAAAGCTCCCAAAGAAACCTGTTCCTATAAAATCATTATTACCAGTATATTACTCATGAGGCATTGCATTCCTAAAATCTCAGAAAAAGATTAGATAAGTCAGGTATCTGCTCCTGATGTTGTTTAAGAAAATTAAAGTTTATGTTATATAGTTTGAAACCGTAACTTTGGAGTCTTTAAAGCACAGCCTCGTTAAAAAAATTGCAATCTAACAAATTAAAAGACAGTAGATATGCTTACTTATGTTGGGTTTTAATGGACAATTACCTATTTGTAATATATTCTTCCTGTCCAAAAGTTAAATGAAGTATCTGTTAGGCAAAAAGCTTTTTTAAAGATTAAAATTGTTCTAGTTTTGTTTCCAAGTAGGTTTACAAACTTAATTCAGAAAAGCTTATATAACTAGTATAATTTAATTAATTTAGAACCACCTCAATTGCTTTTCCTGTACAATTTAAGTTGTATAATGGGGGTGTTTTAACTCACTTTACTACCTATGAGGGTTTTGTACTGTTGGATTTACAACATCTTGTATTTGCTCACTTGACTGTTCATTCATTTAATGGTAAATAGAAAAATGTTATATTTGTTACATAAATGTTAATATTCTGTCTCAATTTATTTATTGTTGATTTTTTTTTATTATAGTTTATACTGCTGTGCTATTTTGGACTGTAAAAATGTATGGTTACACATGGGTATCACATTGCCCATTACTAAATAGATGTTTACTACACACTCAAGTAAAAATGTATTGAGGTGACATACTTGTTTCTTAAATGTGTTCACAAATGTTTAAATTTATACTTAAAAAGGAGTGAGTTAATAATCTTTCAATAGTGAAAAAATACTGAACTCGAAGGAAAATTCAAAACGGAAAGTCCCTTAACAATTGGCAAAATCAAAAGATAAAACACATCAAACGAATGGAAAACAACTGTCATATTCCTGACTGAGTACAGGCATTTTCTTATGTAGAAAATGGTGGATTAAACCTGGTTTTAAAGCTAGCTAAACCTCTCACTTGTATGACAGCCGCATAAAATTCCATTATATTGACAACAATGTGTGAACAAAACAAACAGACATAATAGGTAAAAATGTCAATAATAGGGGTGTATTTCTGAGTATTTCTTAAAAACACTTGTTTGAAACATCTATCAAACTTCAGTAGGTAAATTAAAAGCATAACATATTCACTTTCATTTTGCTTAATGAAGTTTACATTAAAATTTGAAACATGTTTATAGTGTTATACTATATAATATGATATGATAATTTTACCTTATTGGAAGATCATATTTGTGATTTGAAATATACTTACAAGATATATAAAGGGAAAACCTGTTGTATTGTTTTGTGAAATGTTACCCAGTATTATTTTAGGAGGTTGTAATTTTTGTTGTCTGTTTAGTATTTTTTATCATTCCACATCTTTGTTGGAAATAATCATGAAAATCTTGTCACTAAACAGTGTAAATCGTTTTCAATGTTTCAAAAATTGAGAGCTTTTGATTCATATGAAAAATCAGTATAAATTATAATACTAATGCACTTTCATTTAGTGATTTGCATTTTGTTCGTACCTGCTTGAAATATCATGTACACTCCTAAAAGTTTTAAAGCATGAGACACACAATAGAACTAAATGTCACTTTTAATAAACACTTATGTTTTGTTAAATAGTAGAACATGGAATAACATAGCTGTTTAAGATATACCCAATCAGACAAAATGTATAACTTTAGTATATTGTTTTTGTCAGTACATTACAGTTTTGTTGATTAATCTGTCTTTCAATTGAAATATTTTTACATTATATTTTATTGATAGATGTGTGCTATGTGGTATATATATATTTTTAATAAATATACCTAATGAAGTAATGCTCTGTGTTAAATACTTTTTGCCACCATGCCAGCAAAGCAAACGAAAGATACAGAAACAGTGATGTCTGTTCACCTTTTCAACATTGGAAGCACTGTATTTTTGTAGGTAAAAAAGTAGTAACAAAAATACTGTTCAAAAAGGGAAAGGTCATAAAAACTTACAAAAATCAAACATTAGACTAATTGTGCTCTTGGAAATGTTTTAAAATGATATGGAAAATCAACATTGAAAGCCCTCTCATGCCTTCATTTCTCATCAGAATTTAATGTTTTTGTAGAATGTAAATGATAGTAAAAATGTTCAGACTTTAATTGGCCTTAATATATCTTTTTTTGTCATTTTTGTCGAGCCTTCGACTTTAGTCGAAAAAGCGAGACATAGCGATCCTACATTCCGTCAGCGTCGGCGGCGGCGGCGTCCACAAATATTCACTCTGTGGTTAAAGTTTTTGAAATTTTAATAACTTTCTTAAACTATCCTGGATTTCTACCAAACTTGGACAGAAGCTTGTTTATGATCATAAGATAGTATCCAGAAGTAAATTTTGTAAAAATAAAATTCCATTTTTTCCGTATTTTATTTATAAATGGACTTAGTTTTTCTGCTGGGAAATATTACATTCACTCTGTGGTTAAAGTTTTTAAAATTTTAATAACTTTCTTAAACTATCCTGGGTTTCTACCAAACTTGGACAGAAGCTTGTTTATGATCATAAGATAGTATCCAGAAGTAAATTTTGTAAAAAAAAAAAATCCATTTTTTCCTTATTTTACTTTTAAATGGACTTAGATTTTCTGCCAGGAAACATTACATTCACTCTGTGGTTAAAGTTTTTAAAATTTTAATAACTTTCTTATACTATTTTGGATTTGAACCAAACTTGGACAGAAGCTTGTTTATGATCAAAAGCTAGTATCTAGAAGGAAATTTTGTAAAAAAATAAATCCATTTTTTCCGTATTTTACTTTTAAATGGACTTAGATTTTCTGCCAGGAAACAACACATTCACTCTGTGGTTAAAGTTTTAAAAATTTTAATAACTTTCTTATACTATTTTGGATTTGAACCAAACTTGGACAGAAGCTTGTTTATGATCAAATGCTAGTATCTAGAAGGAAATTTTGTTTTCTTCCAGTTAACATTACATTCAGTCTGCAGTTAAAGTTTTAAACATTTATTAGATTCATAAACTATCCTGGATTTTTACCAAACTTGGACAGAAGCTTCTTTCAATCAAAAGATAGTATCAAGAGGATTATTTTTATTGATTTACTTCCTCATTTTTGTTGAGCCTGTGATTAACAGAAAAAGTAGGTGAGACACTGGGTTCCGCGGAACCCTTACAAATTTTTGACATGGTTGTCTTTTTCCATTTTGACAGGGTTGCACAAAATGAAAATCTGTCAGATAGTATGATGATAGCAAGCAGGCGAGGAAAAATTTGCACCTACTTTTTGTAATCAGCTCCTCGGCCAATATTCTGCGAAGATATTTGAAATTTAAAAGAAAGATTGCATAAATATAGTTGTGCACCTGCTATTAAGGCATTATTGAGGCATTTTTCTCATTTCCAGACTTTGAAACAAAAATCAAAATTTACATATTTTAAAGACATTGACTAAATGATTAAATTCTCCTTCATTTTTATGCCCCGCCGTAGGCAAAGGGGCATCAAGTGTATACCGAATAAGACTTATTACCGGGTTTGTACTAACATGAGCAACATTACGAGTGCCACATGTGGAGCAGGATCTGCCTACCATTCCGAAGCACCTGAGATCACCTCCAGTTTTTGGTGGGGTTCGTGTTGCTCAGTCTTTAGTTTTCTATGTTGTGTTTTGTGTACTATTGTTTGTCTGTTGGTCTTTTTCCTTTTAAGCCATGGCATTGTCAATTTTTGACTTCGGACTTTGAATGTCCCTTTGGTATCTTTCGCCTCTCTTTTACCCTTGACCGTCCATCTGTACCATTTTTCATTCCTGCACTCTAACTTAAGTTTTCCTCAGCTAAATTTCATGAAACTCGTACACAATGCTAAGAAAAAAAACTAGCAGACAGAGTTCGAATTAAGGCATTGAGTCACTTACCACTCTAGAGTTATACTCCTTTTTAACTTTATAAAATTGCAAAGCTTGAGTGGGGGCATTCTTGTCCTCAGGCACATTATTCTTTTATAAGGGCCCCACCGAATGGCAGACACCCTATAGTGATGTGTCCGTCCGTAACAAATTGTGTCCGCTCTATATCTAGAGAACCGTTATGATTTCAAAGTTAATACTTGACATTTATATTAACCAACACCAGAGGGTGTGTCATAATGTATGTACAACTTCCTAGGTCAAAGGTCAAGGTCAAAAACCATGTCCTATGGTAAAAATCATGCCCGCTCTATATCTTGAGAACCGTTATGATTTCAAAGTTTATACTTGACATGTATATAAACTAGGGATGTCCTCGAGTACTCAAGTACTCGAGTATCGCTCGGTAGTACCGAGTATCGAAAATGACAATGATACTCGACTAATCGGTTTCTGTTAGAATGTTGTTGCCTTCTTAGAGAAAAAAATATTTTTATTTAGAGCGCCTCCCGGGTAATTAAATATTAATCAAATTTAATCAAAATTAAAATACGCTTCGAATGTTTGCTTTTAGTTGTAATTTAAAATTCCTCCGAACGGAGGAAGGCTATGAACAAGAACACCTTTCCAAGGTTTACACTTTTAGCTTATCGTGTTTTAGTCATTCCAGTATCTCTGTACTGTCAGAGCAAATATTTTTCTCAGCAGGACTGTTAGTTGCGTAACAAAATCGAGAAATCGACTTGTCCAAGAAAAAATTGAAAAGATGATATTTCTAAATAAGAACAAATTCGTTGCCTTGTATCGACCCTCCGAGAATGGTTAAAGGCATCAGTAAGTTCTAATCATCACCCCTTTGTTGATCATTAAATGTGTTTTTTAAGATTCACAAATACTGTTGTTTGAGTAAACATTTTTCTATAGATGTTTATTAATTAATTGATTAGATTATTGCCAGTTTACATAATTAGTGCATGTAGTAAATGAGCTATTAATTATGGTATAAAATTCCTGGCACTATTATCTAGTCTTAGATAATGTTGAGGGTTTAACGTCCATATGACAACGACCCGCAATACGTAAAATGGGTTTAATTTTCTGTTTCCATTTTGTAGATGTTTTTCCGAGCGAGTAATCGATTATCGCTCAGTAAATCTTCACCGAGTTGACATCCCTAATATAAACCAACACCAGAGGGTGTGTCATAATTTATGTACAACTTCCTAGGTCAAAGGTCAAGGTCATAAACTTCGGTTTCAGTTGACAACCCCATGTCCAATGATAAAGATACAATTTTTTTTACCACACATTATTCACAGCGGGGCCCACAGAGATGGCTCCTATCTCAATGATATCTAGTTTATCCTGTATCATGAAATATTACAGAAAGATTGCACACATACTGAAATTGTTCACTTGCTATTATGGAATTGATTGAGGATTGTTTTTCACATTTTTTAAGAATATGGAACTCAGTTATTTTTCATCTTCATTTCATAATTCCACGTATCAAGATGTTTACCATAAATCATTCTTTGTTGTTTAAGAAACCTTCCATGCAACTTAGTCATATGAGTACCTGTAGACTTGAGTATAATATAAAATTGAGAATGGAAATGGGGAATGTGTCAAAGAGACAACAACCCGACCATGTATGACAGCTTATCTCCCACAAATCAACAGTATTATAGCTATAATTATGATTGTCAGCTTATCCAGAAATGAGTCTACTTGTGATAACTGCAGACATGTATTTCATGTATGAATACTTGTCCAGGACAAGTCAACTTTTCGAAAACTGTAGACTTTACAATTATGTTTTTCATTTTATCAAAGACAAGTCTGCAATTTGATGGCTCTGGACTTGCCAAATTATTCACCTGTCTTTCCAGGACAAGTCAACATTGCATCAGACATATAAAACTTACATCAAACTTGTGCAAATTGACATTAATTTTAGCAAGCTTCTGTATTTTAAATCATGGTGAAGAACCAAGAGATAGCCGAGGTAAAAAGATTGACAGAAACTTTCAAATACAGGATATGTTCACTGCAGATAATGATTTATGAATATTTTGGAAGGTAAAATTAGGGTAGTGGATATTTTGCCTGTATCGCCAAATTAGAAAATATGCTGTCTTGCTGGTTCTAATTAAAATATCTTAATTAAAGCCTGCAAAATAGCATATTTCTATAGCAATGGCTTTTCAGCTGGTGCCGAGTGAATTTGTTATTTTGCCGGTTCTTTTTAAAGAGTGAAATTTAATATTTACTTTTGAAAAGTACTACGAAAATGTGTATTGTCAACTTATAAGAATTCAATACCACAAAAGAAAGGTTGGGATTGATTTTGGGGGTTATGGTACAAACAGTTAAGGAATAAGAGGCCAAAAAGGGGAAAAAAAAAAGCATTTTTGTAACTTCCAGACATAACTTGTGTGTTAGTGTATGGATCTCTCTGACATTGTACCACAAGGTTCCATATCACAAAGGGATGGTTCGGATTGATTTTGGGGGTAATTGCCTCAAAATTTTAGGAATTAGGGGCAAAAAAGGGGCAAAAAACAAGCATGTTTCTGGTTTCATGACAATAACTTGTGTTCAAGTGTATGGATCTCTCTGAAATTGTACTGCAAAGTTCCATATCAGAAAGGGAATGCTTGGATTGATTTTGGGGGTAATTGCCTCAAAATTTTAGGAATTAGGGGCCAAAAAAGGGGAAAAAAACAAGCATTTTTCTAGTTTCATGACAATAACTTGTGTGTAAGTCTATGGATCTTTCTGAAATTGTACTACAAGGTTCCATATCACAAAGGAAAAGCTTGAATTGAGTTTGGGGGTAATTGCCCAAAACTTTTAGGAATAAGGGGCCAAAATAAGCATTTTTCTAGTTTCCAGACAATAACTTGTGTTCAAGTGTATGGATCTCTCTGAAATTGTACTGCAATGTACCATACCACAAAGGGAAAGCTGGGAATGATTTTGGGGGTAATTGCCTCAAAATTTTAGGAATTAGGGGCCAAAAAGGGGGCAAAAAACAAGCATTTTTCTAGTTTCAGGACAATAACTTGTGTGTAAGTGTATGGATCTTTATTTATTTCCATATCACAAAGGGAAATCTGGGTTTGAGTTTGGGGGTTATTGCCCTAAATGTTTAGGAATTTGGGGCCAAAAAGGGGCCAAAAAACAAGCATTTTTCTAGTTTCCAGACAATAACTTGTGTTCAAGTGTATGGATCTCTCTGAAATTGTACTGCAAGGTACCATACCACAAAGGGAAAGCTGGGATTGAGTTTGGGGTGATGAATCATAAGGGGGTTCAAATAATTTGGGGGAGATTTTTTTTTCCTTTTTTTTTCTTTAAAATTTTCCATTTTAAATTGGTTATTTCTGATTTATATAAAAGCAAATAATAATGATATGGTTTGAATAGGTTAATTAAAATTTTTAAGTTCTTAGACCACATTCATTCTGTGTCAGAAACCTATGATGTGTCAAATATTTAATCACAATCCAAATTCAGTGCTGTATCAAGCTTGAATGTTGTGTCCATACTTGCCCCAACTTTTCAGGGTTCGACCTCTGCGGTTGTATCAAGCTGCGCCCAGTGGAGCATTTTATTTAACTGTATTTTGTAAACAAATAAAAGTTTACAATCTCATTGCATATACATTTGATAAAACATTATACATTCTAACAAAATCAATCACATAGCTTCAAAATCAAAAATGTTTTAAATTAAATTTGCTTTTGAAATACATGTAATAGTCAGTTCTTTAAGTAGTATATCTGTAAACAAAATCGTTCTTTACTGGCAAAATTGGCTTTTGCTTAACTAGAGCCGGCAAAATAGTCAGTGCCTAATTTTAGATTTAAGAAATGTTTAATCAACAACTCAAATGACCTGCTTACGAATGTCAGAATCGGAAAGAAAAAGATGCAAATCTGACAGAAGATGGGCGGTGTTGGCTTTTTGCATGAACTTCATTATAATTGTTAAATGATTGCTTTAATACTAAAGTTTTTTTTATATGACCGCAAAAAAATTTTGCAGTCGTATATTGGTATGACGTTGGCGTCGTCGTCGTAGTCTGAAGACACATTGGTTTTCGCACAATAACTTTAGTTTAAGTGAATGGATCTCTATGAAATTTTACTATAAGGTTCAATACCACAAAAGGAAGGTTGGGATTAATTTTGGGGGTTATGGTACCAACAGTTAATGAATTGGTGGCCAAAAAGGGGCCAAAAATAAGCATTTTTGTAACTTCCAGACAATAACTTGTGTTTAAGTGTATGGATCTCTCTGAAATTATACCACAAGTTTCCATACCACAAAGGGATGGTTAGGATTGGCTTTGGGGGTTATGGCTCAAACCGTTTAGGAATTAGGGGAAAAAACAAGGGTTTACTGGTAAATGGACAATTTAAAAGCAGTGTAAGGGAGGTAATCCAAAAACAAAATTGTACAATGTTGTACAATGTTGGATTACCTCTCTTACACTGCTTTTAAATTATCTATTTAAGACTTTTATGATGTATTTAAATTGGTAATTATGGTTGCAAACTCCATTGGAAATTTGAGATTTTGACCATATCTTGAGGGAAAGATTTTTTTTTTTTGGAAAAGGGGCGGGAGGAGGGGGGGGGGGGAGGGGGTTAAAAAAGAAATTGTGTGGGGCAATTTTTTTTTTCATTTCAGATTTCAGAAATTAAGAAGAAAATTTCTTCAAATATTTGTTTTTTGCAAAAAAAAAAGTGGGGGAGGGGGGGGGTAAATTTTTATACGACCGCAAAAATTAAAAATTTTTTGGTCGTATATTGGTATGACGTTGGCGTCGTCGTCGTCGTCGTCGTCGTCGTCGTCTGGCGTCGTCCGGCGTCGTCCGAAGACACATTGGTTTTCGCACTCTAACTTTAGTTTAAGTGAATGGATCTCTATAAAATTTTACCATAAGATTCAATACCACGAAAGGAAGGTTGGGATTGATTTTGGGGGTTATGGTACCAACAGTTAAGGAATTAGGGGCCAAAAAGGGGCCAAAAATAAGCATTTTTGTAACTTCCAGACAATAACTTGTGTGTAAGTGTATGGATCTCTCTGACATTGTACCACAAGGTTCCATATCACAAAGGGAAGGCTGTAATTGATTTTGGGGGTAATTGCCTCAAAATGTTAGGAATTAGGGGCCAAAAAAGGGGCAAAAAACAAGCATTTTTCTAGTTTCATGACAATAACTTGTGTGTAAGTGTTTGGATATTTCTGAAATTGTACTACAAGGTTTCATATCACAAAGGGAAAGCTGGAATTGAGTTTGGGGGTAATTGCCCGAAACGTTTAGGAATTGGGGGCCAAAAAGGGGCCAAAAATAAGCATTTTTCTAGTTTCCAGACAATAACTTGTGTTCAAGTGTATGGATCTCTCTGAAATTGTACTGCAAGGTACCATACCACAAAGGGAAGGCTGAGATTGAGTTTGGGGCTGATGAATCATAAGGGGGTTCAAAAAATTTGGGGGGGGGATTTTTTTTTTTCTTTTTTTTTTCTTATTTTCCTTTTTTTTTCTTTTAGAATTTAAAATTTTAAGTTGGTTATTTCTGATTTAAATTTAAAAGCAAATAATAATGATATGGTAGGAGATACACATCAAACAGGATGTGTAAATTATTATATAATAAGTATTGTGCAATAGCAAGAAATTTTCAATTGCACAGTATTGCACAATAGCAAGAAATCTTCAATTGCACAGTATTGCGCAATAGCAAGAAATCTTCAATTGCACAGTATTGCGCAATAGCAAGAAATATCCAATAGCACAATATTGCGCAATAGCAAGAAATTGTCAATTGTACAGTATTGCGCAATAGCAAGAAATAATCAATTGCACAGTATTGTGCAAAAGAAGATACTTCGTATAAATTGCTTATTTCTTGATCAATTTCAATGGGGTTTTATTCTTGAATTCTTGGGGTTCTTTAATATGCTGAATCTAACCATGTATTAAGTTTTTGGATTTTGGGCCCCGTTTTTTAAATTGGTCCACATTGAGGTCCAAAGGGTCCAAAATTTAACTTTGTTGGATTTCATCAAAAATTGAATTATTGGGGTTCTTTGATATGCCGAATCTAACCGTGTATTTAGATTCTTAATTTTTGGTTCTGTTTTCAAATTGGTCTACATAAAGGTCCAAAGGGTCCAAAATTAAACTTAGTTTGATTTCAACAAAAATTGAATATATGGGGTTCTTTGATATGCTGAATCTAACCATGTATTTAGATTTTTAATTATAGGCCCAGTTTTCAAGTTGGTCCAAATCGGGGTCCAAAATTAAACTTTGTTTGATTTCAACAAAAATTGAATATATGGGGTTCTTTGATATGCTGAATCTAACCATGTATTTAGATTTTTGATTATGGGCCCAGTTTTCAAGTTGGTCCAAATCGGGGTCCAAAATTAAACTTTGTTTGATTTCAACAAAAATTGAATATATGGGGTTCTTTGATATGCTGAATCTAACCATGTATTTAGATTTTTGATTGTTGGGCCCCGTTATCAACTTTGTCCACATTGAGATCAAAAGGGTCCAAAATTAAACTTTGTTTGATTTCATCAAAAATTGAATATATGGGGTTCTTTGATATGCTGAATCTAACCATGTATTTAGATTTTTGATTATGGGCCCAGTTTTCAAGTTGGTCCAAATCGGGGTCCAAAATTAAACTTTGTTTGATTTCAACAAAAATTGAATATATAGGGTTTTTTGATATGCTGAATCTAACCATGAATTTAGATTTTTGATTATGGGCCCAGTTTTCAAGTTGGTCCAAATCGGGTTCCAAAATTGAACTTTGTTTGATTTCAACAAAAATTGAATATATGGGGTTCTGTAATATGCTGAATCTAACCGTGTATTAAGTTTTTGGATTTTGGGCCCCGTTTTTAAATTGGTCCACATTGAAGTCCAAAGGGTCCAAAATTTAACTTTGTTTGATTTCATCAAAAATTGAATTATTGGGGTTCTTTGATATGCCGAATCTAACCGTGTATTTAGATTCTTAATTTTTGGTTCCGTTTTCAAATTGGTCTACATAAAGGTCCAAAGGGTCCAAAATTAAACTTAGTTTGATTTTAACAAAAATTGAATTTTTAGGGTTCTTTGATATGCTGAATCTAAACATGTATTTAGATTTTTGATTATGGGCCCAGTTTTCAAGTTGGTCCAAATCGGGGTCCAAAATTAAACTTTGTTTGATTTCAACAAAAATTGAATATATGGGGTTCTTTGATATGCTGAATCTTACCATGTATTTAGATTTTTTATTTGTGGGCCCGCTATCAAATTGGTTCATATTGAGGTCAAAAGGGTCCAAAATTAAACTTTGTTTGATTTCATCAAAAATTTAATTATTGGGGTTCTTTGATATGCCAAATCTAACCGTGTATTTAGATTTTTAATTTTGGGTCCCGTTTTTTAAATTGGTCTACATTAAGGTCCAAAGGGTCCAAAATTAAACTTAGTTTGATTTTAACAAAAATTGAATTTTTGGGGTTCTTTGATATGCTGAATCTAAACAAGTGTTTAGATTTTTGATTATGGGACCAGTTTTCAAGTTGGTCCAAGTTGGGGTCCAAAATTAAACTTTGTTTGATTTCAACAAAAATTGAATATATGGGGTTCTTTGATATGCTGAATCTAAACATGTATTTAGATTTGAGATTTTTGGCCCAGTTTTCAAGTTGGTCCAAATTGGGGTCCAAAATTAAACTTTGTTTGATTTCAACAAAAATTGAATATATGGGGTTCTTTGATATGCTGAATCTTACCATGTATTTAGATTTTTTATTTTGTGGGCCCGCTATCAAATTGGTTCATATTGAGGTCAAAAGGGTCCAAAATTAAACTTTGTTTGATTTCATCAAAAATTGAATTATTGGGGTTCTTTGATATGCCAAATCTAACCGTGTTTTTAGATTTTTAATTTTTTGGTCCCGTTTTTTAAATTGGTCTACATTAAGGTCCAAAGGGTCCAAAATTAAACTTAGTTTGATTTTAACAAAAATTGAATTCTTGGGGTACTTTGATATGCTGAATCTAAACATGTGTTTAGATTTTTGATTATGGGACCAGTTTTCAAGTTTGTCCAAGTTGGGGTCCAAAATTTTACTTTGTTTGATTTCAACAAAAATTGAATATATGGGGTTCTTTGATATGCTGAATCTAACCATGTATTTTGATTTTGGACATTGTACCATAATAGGTAAATTAAAAAAATTGAAGTTCTTAGACCACATTCTTTCTGTGTCAGAAACCTATGCTGTGTCAAATATTTAATCACAATCCAAATTCAGAGCTGTATCAAGCTTGAATGTTGTGTCCATACTTGTCCCAACTGTTCAGGATTCGACCTCTGCGGTCGTATCAAGCTGCGCCCAGCGAAGCATTTTATTTATTTTTTTTTTGGGGGGGGGGGATTTATACGCAACATCATAGTGTATTTCACAAAAGCAAAAAATTGAATATAAATTCAAATCATATAACCAATTCTAAGTTCTTTGACTACAGTTATTCTGTGTCAGAAACCTATTATGTGTCGAATATTTAATTACAATCCAAATTCAGACCTGTATCAAGCGCGAATATTGTGTCCATTTTCGCCCCAACTGTTCATGGTTGGACCTCTGCGGTCGTATCCAGCTGCGCTCAGCGAAGCATTTTATTCATACTTGGTAAAAACAATAATTACAATGTTTACGTGTCCGTCAGATAGGGTTCATTTGACCTCATATCATGGATCAGTGATCAACGTTAAGGTTTCGTTATTTGGCCATTTTCTTAGATATAATATGCAGTAGGTCTATTATATATGGTGTAATAGCTAAACTGAACATGTCTGCATTGGGGGTTCATCTGGCATTGACCTCATTTTCATTAAATACACAGCTATGATGAATTGTATGGGACGATTATATATTATTCTACTTCCGATTCCAAGGTTTTCTATGGCCATATTATGAGAATGGTTATCGCTGGTGTACTGTTAGTCCCCGAGGATATCATCAGCCCATTATACGGATATTGTTTGATTTCAACATGTTACAGAAAATGATAGTGTATCTTTTGTGCTAAATGGTTACCAGGAGAATTTGTTTTATCTTTCTTATGGAAAGTATATAATTGTTCACTCTTTATATTCCTAGTTGCTATGGAAGTATCCATCTGGGATTATTCAATATAGATTGAATCAGTCATCAACGGTTTAAACACCCCTTTTTACTATGCAACCGTAGTATTGAATGATTAAATCCTCGCCTGGAGCAGAGACATATATAGTTCTATATAAGAGCTAATAAGAGAAGGGAGCAAAAATTATCCTCGAGAATAGAATCGGGTATATCTGCGACCCTAGAATAATTTTTATGGCAGTTGTGGGATCGGAGAAAACTTTAGGTTTAGAGAAAACTGTCATAGAGTCACAGAAAACTTTATAGGATCAGAGAAAATTCATCGAATGAGTCTTATAGTGTCATATCTACACTTTTGATAAAAATGACGATAGCTATATATTTGAGATCCCCAAGTACAATGATACAACTATGACACGAAATTTCTGCCTGTTTCTACTATTTTTATCAGAACCTATTGTACCTCCACTATTTTCAGATTTATTTGCTCTTCCGAAGTTGTTATTAAAATTATATAAGTAATACAATACAATTGTTTGTCTGATTTGAACTCTATGATTAGTTCTCTGCAATTCATGCATTGCAGAATTGAGGAATATTACAGAATTCAAAAATGCATGGCCTCAGGATTCAAAGGATGCAATTAGATAAGCAGTTGAACTTGAAACATATAACAGGACAGGAAGACCTACGATGAGGAGAGTCATAGTGAGAGAAATGAAAACTCACATTGCATTTAATTTAAGTCGACGGTAGTTTATCGATGTTCAAATCTCCTAAATTGATTAGGAAGAGATAGATCAAGGTAACAAATAAAATTTGAGGGAATCGCATGCAATCCGGAAGGAGTGAGACCGGTTGCATCGACACAGAGTAAGCATCTCCAACTATGCATGCATCACCCGCAAAACGAATCCATACTTAGTTAAAACGCCATCGTATTAACCCAGTTAATGTCAGATTGCGGCGGCAACTGTAGGTTCTACCAAACGACATGCATAATATTAAGAAAGACAGAAATAAGAAAGCTGTTAACATACAGAAGGAGCAAGAAAACGAAATGATAGCGAACCAGGATGAAATTTCGAAAACATAGAAAGTGGTGGTCGCTTTATTGGCTTTGGACCTGAATTTTCAGGTTGCACGGATGGACAAGAAGACAGTTCATTCCATTATAGAAAAGGTAGAGGTACAACACGCATAATAAGACGTAAACCGAAACAGAAAATTAATTGACTTGCATGTTCAAATAGGAGTCGCGACAGCAGCTTTTAAAGCTGATATATATGTTGATACTGACCTATATGTATTATCAGCGAGTTTGTTGGTAGAAAGAAGTAACCATAACTTTTTTTACAAATAAAACATATATATATAAGGATACCTATGGGCAAAACGACCATATTTGATTAGTTCAAATTTACAAGTACTATCATTTATTAAACTTCAAATTGTAGGTAATGGTCGTTTTCCTCTAATTTTAAGCCGAGAAAAAATAGTTTTTGTCGAGGTTATTGTGAACCATATCACAATTGCTGGGAGCCTTGGTATCGAATACATGGAGACGGATAAAGGTAACACTGGTCTTGCGAACAATAGTTGTTAGTTCGATGGTACTCATGCTGTGTTAAAACATGAAGGATTTCTGGATGTTTCAGAGTTGTTGCCAAAGAGAAGGTAGTAATTCCCGCTTTAGCTGAGGTGATAGCTAGTGAATTTTGAGTGTTCCAAAAAATCAAGTTATTCGTGATTCAGACTTGAAGGTTGAAACTGCAGATAAGTTTTTGCAAATTGAACGAGTGTTAGTCGGACGTTCATTACTTAAATCAAATAAAGAAGTTGTATTGTGTTTGATGAATCAATCTGCAGATTCATAGGTCATAAATACTGATACTGCCAGGGGCGTTGGTGGCCGAGTGGTCTAAGTAGTCCATAACTACTGTATCACTAGCCTGTCAACACTGAGGTTGTTAGTTCGAATCCCGCACATAGCATGTGTGCTCGACTCCAGTCTTAATTGACTAGGATTGTCAGTTTTCGTGCCGAAGGTCGATGGTTCACTCCGGGCACTCCAGCGTATTTCACCAATAAAAACTGACCGCCACGAAATAGCACAATAGTGATGAAAGTGGCGTTAAACACCAATCAATCAATCAACTAATCCTAGTATTGCAATTACTCGCGTAAGTACTGTGCAAGAGGTGAAAATGGGTGAACACAAAAATGAATGGGAAGAACAAACAATCTAAGATCAAATTAGCAGGATTTATTTAGGACGTCACAACGTTAAAAATACTTGAATTTCACTTTACTCGAGGGTCTATTCAGATGAAAAGAAACATTATTATCTGATTTAAATTCAGATTAGGGTTAAACAAGTGTAGTAAAACATAAAATATCTACAGGTAACAGTTCCGCCTACTAACTATTGAGCAATAACCACAATACTCCCAGATAATAGCAAAAGAGGTTGAGAAGCAAGTTGATGAAATGATGAACAATTGATTGATTAGTACGTCCCCGTGAGTTCTTTGTCAGCTCCAGTTATTCTTGTGCGAAAGAAGGACAGAACAATGCGCCTTTGTGTAGATTACAGGGAATTGAATGCAAGCACAGCTAATGATAAGTATTCTTACCTCGGATTGATGATTCGTTTCATCATTTATCTGGGGGCCTCATTGACTCAGTGGTCTAAGTAGTTTGAGCCCCGCACGTGGCAGGTACATTCGACTTCAATCTTAATTGACGTGGATTGTCAGTTTTCCTACCGAAGGTCAGTGGTTTTCTCCTGACAATCCGGCTTTTTTCACCAATAAAAACTGAACGCCACGAAATAGCCAATAATGTTGAAAGTGGCGTTTAATACCAACCAATCAATAAATCGATATCTGGATTCAATTATTATTTAACATTAGATCTTGCATTTGGATATTGGTAGGTGTAAGCCTACAGATCAGCTGAAAAGTATGTTAGCAATAAGATCCGGTCTGTATGAATTCAAAGTAATGCCTTTCGGATTGACGGTTGATGGAGGCGGTTCTTATTGATTTTAAATGGACATTTGTCTCATGTATCTTACTGATGTAATAGTTCTTTGGTGCTCATTTGATAACATGGTTATAAACATTTGAAAAGTTTTTGATCGACTTTACGCTGCTAGTTGAAATAAAGTAAAATAACAAATATACCAAACTACAAGGAAAATTCAAAACGGAAAGTCCCTCATCAAAAGGCAAAATCAAAAGCTCAAATACATCAAACGAATGGAAAACAACTGTTATATTCCTTACTTGGTAGATGTATTTCCTTATGTAGAAAATGATGGATTAAACCTTGTTTTATAGCTAGCTAACCCTCTCACTTGTACGACAGTTGCATAGAATTCCATTATATTGTCAACAGTGTGTGCGCAAAACAGACATAATAGGTAAAAATGTCATAAATTGGGGTACAGCAGTCAACATTGTGTTATAATCCTGATCACTATAAAAAACAAACAACTATGTCTACAAAGAAAAACAAAATTACATATAGACACTCTATAGACAAAGCACATAAGCAAAATTAAAGAGTAGAATACAAAAAATGACCGTAGCACAATAACACAAAAATACCGAGCCACGCCAAAAGGATATTACCAAAAACGGAACTTTTTTATAAAAAGACGAGACGTTCTTTGACATAACCCTGGTTCGTCAACTTTCTGCTCAGACACTGGTGACGTTTTAAAGTCTGAGTAGCAGCTGCAAGCTCTTGAATGCCGAATGGGTTGGGGAAATGTATATCCCATATGCAGGTGAAGTTGGTATATTGCTGCTCATGTGGGGGAAATTACAATTTCAAAATTAAAATCGTCTCGTTTGTCTTAAATTCTGGTTCTGAGATGACCGCTTATGTCAAATTCGCGGTAAATGTCTAAAAATGAGGCAAAAAGAAACAAAAAATTGGTGCTAATTTAAAAACACTTTTGGTTCAATTTGAATCTTCGTTCATACAAAATGATATACTTTACCGTCAAAAGAAAGCACCGAAAACGGTATGATAAACCTGTGTACCAAAAAGCGAGAGAAGAACAGTTAGTTTTGAACCAGTATCACAGCAATAGCATTATCACTATTGATTCTATCAAAAATGCCAGATGTTATTTAATAAGGTTATCTGACGACGACAAAATCGTCCACAAGGTACACATGTTGGTCGTATGCATAAGCTGTTTCCACAAGTTATAACGGGTGAAACTCATGAGAATATTACAGGTTATAGAAACGAAGAGGTATAAGTAGAAAACTTAAGCAAGAGAAACATATGAGAAAAAAATTATAGCAAAAATACCGAACTCCACGATAAATTAAAATGGCACCTCTGGACCCAACTTCACCAGGAACGCCCAACGCCAAAAACCCAATAGCTGCATATATAAATACCGAGTCACGATCAAAAGGAACAGCACAAAGACAAATAAAGGTAAAATTGTAAAGTAAATAAAAACTTTTTAAAGATACACAACTTCAGCACCTAGATTCTATAACTCGAAACCGTCTTGTATTATTAGTTAAGTAGATACTGAATATTATGAGAATATTATATTAGAATAGGAATGCCAAAGGTGACGGTATTGATGCAAGAGAAGATCTATCAAACAAGGAGACAAAGCTAGATTTGAAAACAAAACTTAATCGGTTTTTAGTAAAATCATTATCAAAGGGCAATAACTTCAATAAGGGGTCGTCAGACGATTTCAAGACTGTAACTTTTTTTGTAGATCTTGACTTGCTGATATCTTCTGCTTATTTAAGTTTCTATCCATCTATAATATTTTTTTCAGATATTAGGCAAAAATGCAAAAAATTGACAAAAATCGTCATTAAAGGGCAATAATTCTAATAAGGAGTCGTCATGTGATTTCAACCATGTGGACTTATTTGTAGATCTTGTCTTGTTGATCATTTTCGTAAATAAAGTTTCTCCCTATCTATTATAGTTTTTCAGATAGTTTTTTTCAGATATGAGGCAAACATGATTGTTTTTGCTAGTTTTTTTATGGAGTTGTTTTCTCAGCCATTAGTTTTTTTTTTTTAAATTATGTTCGGCTTTTCGTCGTTTTTCTTTGTGGTCACGGTATTATGTGTTGTTTTTTTTCGACTTATGTAAAAATAAGGAGATGGGGAAGACCTATGTGTTGACTGGGATTAACGAGATCCTGCTATTAACATGTACGCAGCTGTTCAGAAAATTGAAAGGGAGCCTTAAAACTGTTTATGTAAAATGAACAGATCAAGTAGAAGTATTTTTCGATTTGAATTTTATAGATCCCTCAAAGCAAAAATATAAATTGCCATCCAAAACTTCATAGTCATTCGTAGAAAAAAAAACCGGTTTAAAAACTACTTTAATTGAAAAAGACGTTGAACAGGTTGAAAGCACAAAGTAGCTTTGACTATTTTGATAGTCTTACAGTCAAGTTAGCTAAATGTTACAATATTGCCATAATTTTGAGTGCAACAACAATCCAAGCAGTTATCCACAATCTGCACAAGTCAATGAAAACATTTATATTACGATAGAACTTTAATTCTTCAAGCACCTAAAGGCTGTAGGAAAACTGGTGACAATTTTATTCTCTTCAAATTTGATAAAATATTCAAAGGAATGCACGTTACCAAGGGGAAGCTATAAAGTTAATTATATAAATCGTTAGTTTACAAAATTGTTCTGGTAAACAGTACTTGAAAAATTAATACAGATAAAAACATTCTAATTGATTGACACTTTAGTCTTGGAGTACATGATTTATGTATTAGAGTGTACTTATAATTGGCTTTGAACTAGATTTTTGTCTTCTTTGTTGACATGAATTATCATTGATATGGTCATATTTGTAAATCAACTGTTTACAAAACTTTGCATTGTTCGAAATACAAAGGATTTTCTACCCCAGGAATTATTATCGTCGCTTCAGTTGGCAAACCTTTCGGAATTTTTGGTCTCCTATGCACTTTAATTTCGTACTTGTTTGGCATTTTAACTTTTTTTATTCGAGTGTCACTGATGATTCTTTTATTGACGAAACGCGCGTCTGGAGTACAAATTATAAGCCTGGTATCTTTGATGAGTTTATTATTCTTTATGTTAGTTGGATTTTTTATGCTTCGTGCCAATTCTAACTGATTTTTACAGTTCATTCTTATATATATTGGTCTGTATTGTGCTGTTAAGCCACTGTCCAATGTTAGGGGATGGTCGAGCGCATATCAACATGTTTAACCATCTCCAAATTCTGTATGTGCCTGTTTCAAGTTAGGAGCCTGTTATTCAGTGGTTGTCGTTGATTGCTGTCTGTCGTATTTGTTTTTCGTTTATTGGTCTTTTATTTGCTATTTTACGTATTTCAAAACAAATTATTTCAAAGTGTTTTGAATATAGTAATTCATCTGTTCAAATGCAATTTTGTTATCGGTGTTAATCGCGGTGTGATTTAAATCGATATGTCCCTTCCATGAAATCCGGTATGATATCTTTACATGATCATTTGTACAAATCTGACTTATTTCGTTAATTGCGGACAAATCTAAAAAAAAACAACCCAAATACAGCATACCAATGGTGTTTGAGAGTGCGTACGATTTAGTTTAAATATTTTTTCCCGATTTAAAAATACCACGTGCATACTTATCAATGATTTTTGTTAGTGTACCAATTAAGAGAGTATTTGGTTATATTGGAGTTCACCAATAATAGGGTCTAGTGATTATAATGATTGATGATGATGGATGGTTGCTTAACGGCCAGCGTCAAATCAATAATAATATGCATATTCAGGACGAGAACAATTTAAGTAATATGAATATTAAAGCTGCTATGTAATAGACCGACACGCTGAGTCGGATTTTTAACGTGAGTTCACATGGTAAATGTCAGCAGGAAGGCGTGTCACCTTACCCGAACACATTATTCTGACTCCGAGTCGACCTGTCTTTGATCTTACTCCTTAATGCCGCGTGCTTAGCGGAGAAGCAGCAAATACCAATTTTAAAGTCTTTAGTTTGACCCGGCCGGGGTTCGGCAGGGGCGTTTCTATGATATTTGAAAGAATCAAATCTTTTTGGAAAATTTTTTGGACATTTTTTTTTGCTAAAAAACATAAAATAATGATAAATTACCATACGATATTAGCAGATTGCGACAGTTTTTTTTGGTTTTTTTAAAGGGGGCGTACGACCTCCAGCGCTTGAGGCGAACACGCTACCACGAGACCACCGAGGCGGTCTATTGTTTAAGAAAAGAACCGCAATCATGAAAAGACGCCACAACAATAGTTTAAGAGACGTAATGGATAAGCGTTAGTCCGGGCTCCTGGTGTCTTTTTAACGAACCAACGCTTATACATTGTATTTTTTTTTTGAGAGAGAGCTCACTTATATATCAGGTCGGTATGGAGGTTATAGACATTAGAAATACCACTATAATTCACAAATAAGAGTTTAGACTAAATCAGGTTGGTATGCAGGCATACAGACCTAAGAAATGCCACTGCATTATATAGTATGAAAATTTAGCATACACCAGGTTTTTATGGCTGCATCATGTGACAGACCTATTACAAGAAATGTCCTTAAATATATATATATATATATATACAAGTCTAAATTGAAAACAACGTTCAAACCTATGATTGCGTTGGATAAAAACCGCAATTTTTATACGTGTGCATGCAAAACAAATTTCTTGTTAGAGGGGTCTAAATACAGCACAAACAACATTTTCCAAAAGACCAAAAAAGTGAAAAAGTATATTTTAACAAAACGCATTTGACTAACAGGTCGAACAACAAATGTTCTTAAACCCTGCTGACTGCCATTGGCGATTGCCAAATAAACGGATCACCGATGTAATAAATGGATCTTAAATATAAATCTAATACTAAACAGAAAACAATAAACTTGCGGAAAAGATGTTATACCGCAAACAAAAGGTGCAAAGGTTTTTGTACACCATATCCGGATTTCGACAATTAATGTCTCTTCAGTGATGTTAGAAATCGAAACGGTATTTGGAAAGCCATACAATTTACCTCAATTTAGGATAGACTCCTGAATTTTGAGGAGTCAAAATAGGATGAACGGATCATATAAACCCGAAGGCAAATATAATACAAGCCCAAACGAAAAAATATAAACAACGTTCAAACCTATGATTGCGTTGGATAAAAACCGCAATTTTTATACGTGTGCATGCAAAACAAATTTCTTGTTAGAGGGGTCTAAATACAGCACAAACAACATTTTCCAAAAGACCAAAAAAGTGAAAAAGTATATTTTAACAAAACGCATTTGACTAACAGGTCGAACAACAAATGTTCTTAAACCCTGCTATATATATATAAATATATATATATATATTAAGAGTCTTGTAATCTAGAATAAGAGTTCATCATATATCAGATCTGTATGTAGGCATACGGAAAAGTCAAAGGTAGTCAGAGAAAAAAAGAACTTCTGATACAATATATACAAAATCTGAATATTTTGCACAACCTGTAGCTTTAAAAAAAAGGCCCGTTTCCCATACTATTTATTATATCTATTGAAAAAAAAATCATGATATGAACTACATTTGGAATAATTATTATAAAAAAATATATCGAACTTAAACTGTGACTTTCATACTAATATAATAGTTTCAGTATTACCCCCCTCCCCCCCCCCCCAAAAATTTTTTTTTTACCTTAATTTGAATTTTTTTTACAGTGAAAAGAGAGCAATTAGTTCAGAAAACACCTTTATCACAATAACAAATAGGTGTGTTTAGTCTTCCCTGACAAGAAATTGTGTTATAATAATTAATTATTGATAATTATTTTTTAGAGGAAAACCCACATTTCTAAGGGAGTTAATTTGGTATAACCGGAAGTGCATTTCAGAAAAAGATGGCGACAAGCTAGCGAACAACTATTTTCGGTTTTGAAAAGTATGAGTGCAGCAGCACAGGTTTTAAGGTACTGGATACACTGCCACGAAAACGAAAAATCTTTTAATTAACGAAGATGTACACCTAATGAGCTTGAATGTCTTGGGTTTGTTTTCAAGCCATCATTTGTTAAAACGCATGATTAACTGTTTGAAAACTGTTTTTCATGGTGCGTAGTACCAATATACGTTTAAAACAAATAGAATGTAACAATTTAACATAACCATCAATTCAATGAAGGTTCCTGTATTACTGAAAATTTCTGTCTGCCACTGAATCCAATAATTAACCTACATGCTTATAAGAACTTTTAAAATAAGTACTAGACATGCTAGAAGGAACAAAGTATATCTTAATAAACACTCTTATGATAAATACATAATACACTCCCTTTGATTGCAGAGTTTGTGAAACCCATTTTTTGTCAGACATAGGACTGGCAAAAAGAAACCTTTTGACTGTCTTTAATATTTTTGGTAAATTATGACCAATTTTGTAAGATAAGTTATTATGGTGAAAAATATATTAAACTTTTAAGTTCATGGTTTTTTTTTTGAAAAATCATCAGGTCTGTTGGTCAGATTTTTATATACATTACACTTTATGTAACAATTTGTTAAATATTGTTTTAGTATGGAAAAATTGTGGTTCATTGAGTCTGTTCCAGTATTACAAATGTATATATATGAAAAGGAAGATGTGGTATGGTTGCCAATGAGACAACTCTCCACAAGAAACCAAAATGACACAGAAATTAACAACTATAGGTCAATGTACGGCCTTCAACAATGAGCAAAGCCCATACCGCATAGTCAGCTATAAACAGTCAGGGGACTTACTTATATGAGTGATTTTCTATATTTTATAGCTTGGAAGTAAGAGTTGTCTTTCTTTAATAATCACCTATTTAAGTAGTACATATTAATCACTAGACTAAGTGATTTAATTTTATTGTAGCTTTAAATATAGAATACTAATGATCCAGGGACTAATAATGTTGCTAAAATAATCAGAACCAACATCTGTGTTGATAGGATGGCCGGGTCATGTCAGGTGATGACCTTGTACTAAACCTAGGATTTTGACATAAAAATCACTTGTTTAAGTATCATACCTCGATTTCCTTCCAAAAAATCACTTCTTTAAGTATCATTATTTTAATAACCCCTACTAATTTCAACACCCCCAAACAGTGAAATTTTGATCGCGAACAGTAGAATTTTATTACATAATCTATAAGATGAAACCTTGAACTTTACAGGAAAAATACTCCCACTGCTGGGAAAAATCTGTTAAGAAAGTATCAGTTCATCATGTAAAGCCATTTTTATAGCATTTTTTCAACTAAAATAGAATTTGCAGCTAAATGATTGCATCAAAGGCATAAACCTTGCTGCTTAAAAGAAGCAAAAAGTTCATTTTTTAAAATTTTACTAATGAAAAGATATTATCTAAACCTATGTGTTTAAAATTTTGGTAAAACTACAAAATCACAATTTGTGACAAAACTTCGAATTTTCTACTTAAATAAGTGATTTAAAAATCACTTATTTCAATAAGTCCCCTGACTGATAAAAGGCCCCGAAATGACAATGTAAAACAATTCAAACGAGAAAACTAACGACCTAATTTATGTACAATAAATGAACGAAAAACAAATATGTAACACACAAACAAACGACAACCACTGAATTACTGGCTCCTGACTTGGAACAGGCACATACATAGAGAATGTGGCGGGGTTAAACATGTTAGCAGGATCCCAACCCTCCCCCTAACCTGCGACAGTGGTGTAACAGTACAACATAAGAACAAACTATAAAAATCAGTTGAAAAAGGCTTAAGTCATTAGATGGATAAAAATACAAATACTACAAATACAAGTGGAAGTGGCCGGGTACTTGTACATCCCAACAACAAACAGACACTAAGTTCAGATCTGAGAGTTACTGACAGCTAGTTCAAAGCCACTAACAACTAAAAAAAAAAAATCATGCATCTAAGACTAAATTATCAATCAGTACACATCCAACATCCAATGGATTTAGTGTAAAGAAGTCATTAGCAGTCAGAGAAAAACATGACCTTGTGCAATGCCAAGATACAGGTATCGACAGATTGTAGATCCATGAATGTGTATATGTATATAACAATAATATTTTAATTTACTGATAACAAAATCAATATTAATACCAATAAAAACAATATTCAGTGATCTAATTACAGTGTTGAATTGGTAACCTTTTAGGATAAGTTTTCACCACTTGTGAATTGTCATTAACGAGAAAGCTTGTTAAAGAAATCCTAACAAAACACTATGACCAGAGCCATACTATGTTGGCAGTCAGGAAATATTGAACATATGATTGTTCTTGGCCTAATCAATTATTAAGTCCTTCAACGTATTGAAGCTGTTTTGATTTTCATATGTACCACAAGGTTGACCAGGGGATTAAAAATATGGTCTCTTGGTTCTTTTTCAACTGGCTGTAAAACCAATGCCAAAGTGGGGCGTCCGTTTGGTTGCGCAAAATGTATGAATTCGCAGCCACATCTGGTCAGTATGGGGATGTTAAATCTTATGCCTTGTGTAGAAAGAATGCTTCCTACTGCAAGTTAAGAACCCTGCAACAACTCTTTGAGAAGATGGCCTGTTGCAAGGCTAAATTTCGGTCACTATCCAATTTACCCTCTTTTACCAGTGACAGTCCAAATTTCCAACCCTCCATCCCAGTCAACCCCATTTACAGGACCTACCTATTGTATGTATTGTTAATTTGTTCTTGTCCTGAACATGCATGAAATATTGCCACTGGACGTTTATAAGCAACTAACAATCAATCATTTTCATGTGCCTATGGCAAACCTAACCCACCACTCCACCATTGAAATAAATGCAACTTAACCACAATTAGTAAAGGAAAATCACAGAACATTGACGGAACAAACCACAGTTGTTATATATTTATTTGAATACAAATGAAATGCTAAAGTAGAACATAAAAGAACCATTATACATTTTTTTGCCTATGCAATGACTGCTTTAGTCTTTAAGCTGTCACACAAAAATGTCTAAAGCCCTCAAAATCATAGATTAAACCCTGTTCTACATGTAGATGATGTCTGGTTTATTTAAAAAATCATGAAGTAAGATTTACTGATGCAATTTTATAGAATGGAAATAAAATTTATTTATGCTCCCTGAAAAAATGTCTGTTTGTGTGTTGGAAACAATTTGTTTCACAATGGAAACTTGGGTTTCTGTTGCCTGGTTGGGATGAAACTTACACAAAGTTTTAATATATAGGGAAGGGGAAGTAAAAAGTTCAAGGTTAATAGATAGAAAAATCAAAACTTTTGTAAAGAATTAGTTTCCAGGTGATAACTAAGTTTATCAGCTCGATGATAATCAGAATGAAACTTATACAGATGAAGATATAATGAAAAGGGATACCTTTCCATTTTGGTGTCAAAGTTCAAGGTCACTGTAACAAAAAATAGAAAATTTTGGAAAAAGTTGACTTCCATATATTGTAACTTTTTATTTTTAGCAACATTGTTAGTTATGTGCCCTACACCTGACATGTTTGCATGAGTCAGGGAAACCTTTTTGATACTTGTAGACTGCAATCTTATATTTTACTGTTGCAATTATATGAACCATTGAAACAATATTTTAAGAACACAGAATGATTTATTTTGAATTATTTCGGGAAATGCAGAAGACATAATAAATGCATAATTTCAATGTGTATGTTTATCACACTAACACAGTTTACATACTCTAAAAAAGTAATGTCAAGATGATTGCATGTATGGTTCAAAAGTGTCAAAATAAGCTAAGAACCCTGTAGCTGTTGATAGGCTACGCATGTATTTAGCTTTTAAAAGGAAAAGAATGTCAACATTGAAAGTGAAACAAGGATGAACCATTTGGTTGACTGATTAGATCCACAACAAATCATTCCTATACAGGTAAAATCGATGATAAACCAACTTTTTAACCTACAATATGAAATCAAACAGACCTAAAAAAATCCATTGGCATGTGGGTGCTAACTGTTTATATTCATATTTATGTTTATATGACTGTCGGCAGTCTTCGGAGGTCATCTCGATGGTTAATTAGATACACACGAAATGTTGACACATATTATTGAATCCATGCATTAATTGTTTATTTTAGACTCTTTATAAGGCCAAATAAAAGTATATGTGTGGTTCCAGTTACCTGACCGACCCTAGTTTAAACCCCCCGCCCTAGAACTTTTTTTCCATTTCTGAAAAATAATTTTCGAACGATTCCATTTTGTGGAAAGTAATTTCAATAATTAAATTCACAGACTTCTGTCATCTGAATTTCAATAAGAAGTATCCACTATGGCTAAAACGGAACAAATTCTTAACAGAATGCAACAAAATTAACTTAGAATGATACATATGTTTATTTTACAACCAAACATTTAGAAACATTTCCGGTAGGGATGTGTATAATACCGTAATCCGACCAGATTTTGACAATCCACAAAAAAGGGGGAAAAAAAAAATGCCGACCTACCAACCCTTTTTTTTCAGGATGTAACTGAAACCACACATATACTTTTATTTGGCCTAATTTGGATATACGTTTTAGCATGTTATATATAAATCAAATATGAAAATTTGAGTCAATTCGGTGATCATGAATTTGACAGCTAATGCCACTTTAAGCTGGTAAAGTGTACAATAAGCTTGTTGCCCGTAAAAAACAAAACATTATAAGCTTTCACAATATCTTCGATAACATTTTTATGCCCCCGCCGTAGCGGAGGGGGCATTAAGTTTTACCCTTGTCTGACGGTACGTACGTACGTCCCAAAATTGGTTTCCGTTCTCTAACTTTAGGGTGCCTCGACCAAATGTTATGAAACTTATACACAATGCTTATTACCACAAAACACAGATCAAGTTTGAATTTTGACGGAGTCACTTTTGCCGTTCTTGAGTTATGCCCCTTTACAAATTGAAAAATTGCTGAATTTTATGTTTCCGTTCTCTAATTTTAGTTTGCCTCAACCAAATGTTATGAAACTTATACACAATGCTTATTACCACAAACACGGGTCAAGTTTAAATATTGGTGGCGTCACTTTTACTGTTTTAGAGTTATGCCCTTTACAAATGGAAAAATTGCTTAATTTTTTGTTTCCGTTCTCTAACTTTAGTTTGCCTCACCCAAATGTTATGAAACAATATACACAATGCTTATTACATTAAAACACAGACCAAGTTTGAATTTTGGTGGTGTCACTTTTATCGTTCTAAAGTTATGCCCCTTTACAAATGGAAAAATTGCTGGATTTTTTGTTTCGGTTCTCTAACTTAAGTTTTCCTCAACTAAATGTTATGAAACGTAGACACAATGCTAATTACCACAAAACTCTGATCAAGTACAAATTTGGGTAGCGTCATTTTTACAGTTCTTGGGTTATGTCCCTTTATAACATTATATGCAAGCGGGGGCATCATCTGTGTCCCATGGACACATTCCCCATTTATTTGCACTCAGAAAGGCCGTGGATAAACCAATATATATATGGAGTATGCAATTTTTGATATTTTTGATTGATTCAGATACATGTATTCATACAATAAATATCTTGTTTTTTTCAGACAAGCAGAAGCACTTAAAGCCAGTATATCAGGTATATTTAAAACATTTCAGGATTGAATATCTATTGCATACAGCTTTTACATTGTTCACCCTGAGAGTCTCAAATTTACAAAACAACTTTACAAGTGTTTAAAATTTTAAAAATAATTTCCAAGGTTATATTTATCGATTACTGTAAACCAGTTTTTGATTTTTTTATGATTCCAACAGTTCTATTTTAAGTTGCCAATATTAAACAACAGCTTTAAAAAAGTAAAATGGAAATGTTAAGGAAGATCTTACAGATGAGTTTGTAAATTTACAATATTTTAATGAGAATTTAAACATACAGATTTTTATAAACATACTATGTCATTTTATCAGTCCAGTTGAAATAGTATAGGAAAATAGAATTCAAATTTCAATTGTGATTTCAAAATACAACTTTTCCTAATTTTACTAGAGTTGATTGTCAGTATGGACATTCTGATGGCATTACTAGAGTTAACTGTCCGTATGGACATTCTGTTGACTAATTCTGTAAGGCAAAATATTGTTTTAATATTTCATAAAAATGAAGTAAATTTGTGTGTGTTAGGTTTTGATAAAATAACTATTCAAACATTTGTTGGAAAAGCTATTTGAAACATTCTATTAACACATATCATGTGCAGGGAAATAGATATCATACATTTAATTTTACGTTATGAAATAGGGAAATGTTTTGTTTCATTGCCCTATTTTTGTCGAGCCTTCGACTTTAGTCGAAAAAGCGAGACATAGCGATCCTACATTCTGTCGGCGTCGTCGTCGTCGGTGGCGTCCACAAATATTCACTCTGTGGTTAAAGTTTTTGAAATTTTAATAACTTTCTTAAACTATCCTGGATTACTACCAAACTTGGACAGAAGCTTGTTTATGATCATAAGATAGTATCTAGAAGTAAATTTTGTAAAAATAAAATTCCTGTTTTTCCGTATTTTACTTGTAAATGGACTTAGTTTTTCTGCCAGGAAACATTACATTCACTCTGTGGTTAAAGTTTTTAAAATTTTAATAACTTTCTTAAACTATCCTGGATTTGTACCAAACTTGGACAGAAGCTTGTTTATGATCATAAGATAATATCCAGAAGTAAATTTGTTACAAAAAAAATTTCATTTTTTCCGTATTTTACTTGTAAATGGACTTAGTTTTTCTACCAGGAAACAATACATTCACTCTGTGGTTAAAGTTTTTAAAATTTTAATAACTTTCTTAAACTATCCTGGATTTGTACCTAACTTGGACAGAAGCTTGATTATGATCATAAGTTAGTATCCAGAAGTAAATTTGTTAAAAAAAAAATTTCTTTTTTTCTGTATTTTACTTATAAATGGACTTAGTTTTTCTGCCAGGAAACAATACATTCACTCTGTGGTTAAAGTTTTTAAAATTTTAATAACTTTCTTAAACTATCCTGGATTTGTACCAAATTTTGGACAGAAGCTTGTTTATGATCAAAAGCTAGTATCAAGAAGGAAATTTTGTTAAAATTTGTACCTGTTTATCCGTATTTTACTTATAAATGGACTTAGTTTTTCTTCCAGTTAACATTAAATACAGTCTGCAGTTAAAGTTTTTAAAACATTTATTAGATTCATAAACTATCCTGGATTTATAACAAACTTTGACAGAAGCTTCTTACAATCAAAAGATAGTATCTAAAGGAGTATTTTTATTGATTTTTTTCCTCATTTTTGTTGAGCCTGCAATTAACAGCAAAAGTAGGTGAGACACTGGGTTCCGTGGAACCCTTATGAATTTTTAACATTTGGGGATGCATAAGTATGGTGTATATAAGAGGTGAAACATTCTACACTTAAGTTATAGCATGCAGGTACATATTGTAAAATAAAGATTGAACCAATACCTGGTATATTAATACACTGTACATATGTTTCATTTTGTAGATTCTGCCAAAGGTATCTCAGAAACATGGGTCGCAAGACAAAGACTAGAAGATTTATACAAGAAGCTCCTTTTGATGGATTTAGAATATGCTTTGGATAAAAAAGTAGAACAAGAACTGTAAGAAAACATTATCACACGTAGTGACTGTTATTCTCAATATATCACAGTGTTGGATTGCAGTGTTGACCAACAAAAATGGGGCTTAGTGAGGGTTGCATATATCAGCAGAAATTTCTATTAAAAGAGAAACAATAATCCCACCTAAATATTTTGATGACCTATAGTGACATACTCCTTTGATTGTAAACATGTTGCAATCATGATTAGTTACAGTTTTGTAGATTTCCTTCTTACTTTGACAGCTGATTAGGGTAGGAGGATAAGTGTTAACTAAGGCACATAATCATATGGTAAAGGGACTGAAAATCATGTAACACCCCCAACTCAGAACATTTTATTGTCTTGTGAGTGATGCTTGATATTATTGTTTCCCATCAACAAAGGGTGTGTAGAGAATAAGGTTGAAATGTCTCAAACTTAGTTCAGCTTTACATTCAAATATTCAAGTATGTACAAAGTCCTGTCCAACTCAGAACTGTTTAATGCTTTGAAGGATATTAATGATGAGAATATGGATTGAATGTCTGTCTGTAAGGAAGGATATTAATGATGAGAATATGGATTGAATGTCTGTCTGTAAGGAAGGATATTAATGATGAGAATATGGATTGAATGTCTGTCTGTAAGAAAGGATATTAATGATGAGAATATAGATTGAATGTCTGTCTGTAAGGAAGGATATTAATGATGAGAATATGGATTGAATGTCTGCCTGTAAGAAAGGATATTAATGATGAGAATATAGATTGAATGTCGGTCTGTAAGGAAGGATATTAATGATGAGAATATAGATTGAATGTCTGTCTGTAAGGAAGGATATTAATGATGAGAATATGGATTGAATGTCTGTCTGTAAGGTCATGGACTTTTTTGTTTACTCTGGATTCATTTATTTTCGTTGGTACCAATGCAATTTTCCTGGATTGAGGAAACATTGTATTAGTCAACGTCTGCATACAAGCCTAGATAACATTTGTACTTCCTTGAACATTCAAATTTGTGGTTTACTTTTACCCATGAAATCCATGAAAAGGGGAATCCCAGGAATGATAACAAATCCACAGTATTTAGATGATAACAACTAGTTTGTGAGCTTTACTTTCTGTACCTGTTTTTACAAATGCTTGAAGTGAATATTAAAATCTGCATGATGCATTATTAATGTATATGACTTGTTGTGTATGTAATTTTCACAGGTGGAATCATGCTTTCAAGAACCACATTAATGAGTTGCAGTCACAAACTAAGGACAAACAAGTAAGTAAACTACATGTATCTAGAGTTAAAATAAAATACAGAGGTCTGATCTTGCAGCAATACAAGATCTACAAAAATGTCAATATGACCAAAACAGTTGGATGGCTCTTCATCTGAGTTATTGCCTTTAAATGAAGAATTTTAACTGTTTTTTTTCTTCAGTTTTATACGACCGCATAAAATATTTTTGGATCGTATAATGGTATGATGTCCTCTGCGTCGTCGTCCGAAGACACATTGGTTTCCGGACAATAACTTTAGTTTAAGTGAATGGATCTCTATGCAATTTTTTAAGAAGGTTAAATACCACAAAAGGAAGGTTGGGATTGATTTTGGGGATGATGGTCCCAACTGTTTAGGAATTAGGGGCCCAAAACAAGCATTTTTCTAGTTTCAGGATAATAACTTGTGTATAAGTATTTCGATTGCTCTGAAATTGTACCACAATGTTTAATACCACAAGTAGAAGGTTGGGATTCATTTTTGGGGTTAAGGGGGCCAACAGTTTAGGAATTAAGGGCCAAAAAGGGGCCAAAAACAAGCATTTTTCTAGTTTCCAGACAATAACTTGTGTGTAAGTGTATGGATCTCTCTGACATTGTACTACAAGGTTCCATATAACAAAGGGAAGGCTGTGATTGAGTTTGGGGGTAATTGCCCCAAACATGTAGGAATTAGGGGCAAAAAAAGGGCCAAAAACAAGCATTTTTCTAGTTTCCAGACAATAAATGTGTGTAAGTGTATGGATCTTTCTGAAATTGTACTACAAGGTTCCATACTACAAAGGAAAGGCTGGGATTGAGTTTTGGGGTTATTGCTTCAAGGGGGTTTTCAAAAAGTTGGGGGAGGGGGAATTTTTTTTCCCAATTTTTTTAAGAGATTCATATTTTTATTTTCAAAATTTCGAATTTTTGAAAGTTTCAGGAAGAAATCTTCAATTGCACAGTATTGCGCAATGGATTTATAAGATCTTTGACCACATTTATTTTGTGTCAGAAACCTATATTATGTCAAAATTTGATCACAGTTCAAATTCATACAGTATCAAGCTTCAATATTGTGTCCAAATTTGCCCCAACTGTTCAGAGTTTGACCTCTGCGGTCATATCAGGCTGCGCTCAGCGAAGCATTTTATTGCCTATTATCTTGAAAGTTATAATATATATGTAGTTACTATAAACAGCTAAAATGATCAGCAATACATGATCTACAAAAATGCCAATATGTGGGAAACTATTTGATAAAGTGTTTGCTTATTGTCTCAAGAACCATCATAGGTAGGTAGAAACAGCCAAAAATATTCTATAAAAATGCTTATAAAACTGAGTTGCCTATAAATGACAATTGTTAACGATTTGGGTTTTTCCCATTCTACCTCAAAAACAGGTACAAACTATAAACAGCAAAAATGATCAGCAATTCAAGATCTAAAAAAGGACTTATATTGAGATGAAGAACAGAAATAAAAGTGTTGTCCCTTTGCTTTTTTGTGTGTTTTTTGTTGTGCATGTACTGATTCTGTGTCATGGATATACCCCACATCCTTTGTTTTTTTTTAATTTGATAACTGTACACATGAACATAACAATTAAATGACTCCTTATTGCCCTTGAATTTGATTTTTTACCACTTTTTGCCAATTATCTCCAAAAATTATTATAATTAATGGGTAGTAAAATTATCAACAATACAAGATATATTTTTGACAGGTGAGCGATTTATGCTCATAGAAGCCTTGTAATATGCTATGATTCAAACAATTTCACAACATTTAAGTCACTATGCTAAGTAGTAGGGGCATAATGACCCTTATTTGCCCCCAAATATGAGGCAAAGGTGAAGGTATGAAACAGCCAACAAACAACCTCAAATTTATTGAAATTATGGATAATACATCTTCTCATAAGTATTTGCTGTTTCTCACATGTGCTTTTAAAAATATATATATAATGCACCCTTTCTCATATGTGCTGAATATGTAAAAAACATCATTACTCACATGTGCTTATTATGTATAATACATCCTCTTGCATGTGCTGAATAAGTGGTTTATATGTATAAAACATTCTTTTTTTCACAGGTGCTGAAGATATATAATATAAAAATAATTAGATGTGGTATGATTGCCAATGAGACAACTATCCACCAAAGTTTCAAATAAAGTGAATGAAAGCAATTATAGGCAAACATACGGCCTTCTACACTGAGAAAAATCAATATCCTATAGTCAGCTGTAAGGCTATAATAATACATTATTTCTCACATGTGCCTAATATGTATTGTACTCCATTTCTCACATGTGCTTATTATGTATAATGCATCATTTCTCATGTGTGCTAAATATGTAAAGTACATCATTTCTGATATGTGTTTAATATGTATAATATATCATTTCTCACATGTGCTCAATACATATAATACATAATTTTTCACATGTGCTTAATATGTATAATATATTATTTCTCACATGTGCTCAATACATATAATACATAATTTTTCACATGTGCTTAATATGTATACTACTACATTTCTCAAATGTGCTGAATATGTATAATATATCATCCTTCTTTCCATTTCTTTTTTCTTTGTAAAAATTGTTACAGAGAAAATGTGGTACCAAGCTCAGTGAAATGTTTTATGATTTTAGAATGTCAAAAGAGGAGAAGTTCAGGCTACATTAAATTTGTTTTTAGAAACAGCAAGTGGATTTTATTTACAAGTAAGACTTTTCTATTAGCATTATCATATTTCGGCTATCATAATTTAAATAAACCTGATTGTGTGTTGTTCTTGACAGTTTATTATTATCTATTCTAATCATTTTATGACATGTCATTCCCAATCTACAGTGTTTAAATTTAGTATTTAGAAACTAGTCTCTTTTAAAACTTTTGTTTACTATCTTGTAAGTTCTATGAAGACAAGCTTTCTTTTTCAAATTTTTTCTGAATTATTGGATTTTAGTCATCAAATTGTGAGCATATTTGTGGTTCAGTATAAAATTCTTAATTATTAAATCCCATGAAAGTTTATAATTATCTTTAAATTCTAAAACACTACATCTGTTTTAAAATTCTTCTCTTGAAAAACTCTATGTGTTCTGAGTTTTTACCAGCTTTGATGAAAGTCAGTTTGCATTAGTTTACGATTAAGTTGAACCATCATGTTTGAATTGTTATTGACACATTATTAATTCTCTTTATCAATGTTTGAACTTTCATTTCTTGTTAATTCCTTCACACATTTAAGAAAGTAATGTGTTAACCATGCATTGAATGTTGTTTTTCTGTACAGGAAAATCATTGCATACTATCAATTTAACAATAGTCATTATGTAGAGGATTTTAAAACTTTACTTAATTCAACTGTGAAAGTTTTAATTTTATTTTTGCATTTATATATGTTTGTCTATTGTTTCAGCTTTTACAGTTAATTTGTACAACATTTAAGTTAGATCTGCCTTTTAGAAGGAAGTCATCATGCTTTGGTGTAATGAAAGGTAATTAAGTTAGAAATTTGTTATATATAGATGATAAAGAAAAAATGTTTGTATAATTTACTTATTTACATTTGTTAATTTGTTTGTTGGACAGATGAGTGACTTGGTTAAATCAGTTTTATGTATACACAAGCCTTCCCCATTACCTCAGTGATTGAGTAGTCTTAAGTAGCCTGTCAACACTTAGGTTGTGAGATAAAATTCTGCACTTGACAGGTGCACTTGACAGGTGCACTTGACTCCAATCTTAATTGACTAGGATTGTTCGTTTTTTCTACTGAAGGTCAGTAGTTTTCTCCTGGCACACCAGCTTCCTTCACCAATAAAAACTTACTTCCATGAAACAGCACAATAGTGCTGAAAGTGGCATCAAACACCAATTAATCAATCAACAAATCCCTATTGCCTACATAGACCATGGCCAGGTTTATATTTCAGATTAACTCTTAACAGATTAGGAATAGGAAAGCTACATGGTTTGTAACTTTTTAGCTCACCAGTCGTAAACTATTTCAAAAATCTTCTCCTCTGAAACTACTGGGCCAAATACCTTCAATCTTTAACTAAATGTTCCTTAGGGTATCTAGTTTATAAATTGTATCCAAAGTTTTGATCCATCGACAAACATGGGTGCCATGGCTAAAAATAGAACATAGGGGTCAAATGCAGTTTTTGGCTTATATCTCAAAATCTAAAGCTTTTAGAGCAAATCTGACAAGGGGGTAAAAGTGTTCAATTGGTCAAGATCTATCAGCTCTGAAATTTTCAGACGCATCGAACGACCCATTGTTGGGTTGCTGCCACCGAATTGGTAGTTTTAACAAAATTTTGCAGTTTTTGTCGAGCCTGCGACTTTTGTCGCAGAAAGCTCAACATAGGGATAGCGATCCGGCGGCGGCGGCGTTAGCTAACTTCTTAAAAGCTTTATATTTTAGAAGATGGAAGACCTGGATGCTTCATACTTTGTATATGGATGCCTCATGTTACGAAGTTTCCGTCAGTCACATGTCCAATGTCCTTGACCTCATTTTCATGGTTCAGTGACTACTTGAAAAAAAAGTTCAGATTTTTTGTAATGTTAAATTCTCTCTTATTATAAGTAATAGGATAACTATATTTGGTATGTGCGTACCTTGCAAGGTCCTCATGCCCGTCAGACAGTTTTCACTTGACCTCGACCTCATTTCATGGATCAGTGAACAAGGTTAAGTTTTGGTGGTCAAGTCCATATCTCAGATACTATAAGCAATAGGTCTACTATATTTGGTGTATGGAATGATTGTAAGGTGTACATGTCTAGCTGGCAGGTGTCATCTGACCTTGACCTCATTTTCATGGTTCAGTGGTCAAAGTTAAGTTTTTGAGTTTTGGTCTTTCTTTCTAATACTGCATGCAATAGGTCAGCTATATTTGGTGTATGGAATGATTGTAAGGTGTACATGTCTAGCTGGCAGGTGTCATCTTACCTTGACCTCATTTTCATGGTTCAGTGGTCAAAGTTAAGTTTTTGAGTTTTGGTCTTTTTTTCTAATACTATATGCAATAGTTCAACTATATTTGGTGTATGGAAATATTTTATGATCTATATGTCAGTCACGCAGGTTTTATTTGACCTTGACCTCATTTTCAAGGTTCATTGCTCAGTGTTAAGTTTTTGTGTTTTCATCTGTTTTTCTTAAACTATAAGCAATAGGTCAACTATATTTGTTGTATGGAAGAATTGTTAGCTGTACATGCCTGCCTAGCATGGTTCATCTGACCTTGACCTCATTTTCATGGTTCATTGGTCAATGTTTAGTTTACTTGGTTAATGTTAAGTTTATGTGACAGTTGTAATAAAGCTTTATATTTAGGACTATCAACATAATATCAATGATTAGTAAAGAAGGCGAGACATTTCAGCGTGTGCACTCTTGTTTGTTATTATTGTCGAGCCTGCGACTTTTGTTGCAGAAAGCTTGACATAGGGATAGTGATCCGGCGGCGGCGTTAGCTAACTTCTTAAAAGCTTTATATTTTAGAAGGTGGAAGATCTGGATGCTTCATACTTTGTATATGGATGCCTCATGTTACGAAGTTTCCGTCAGTCACATGTCCAATGTCCTTGACCTCATTTTCATGGTTCAGTGACTACTTGAAAAAAAAGTTCAGATTTTTTGTAATGTTAAATTCTCTCTTATTATAAGTAATAGGATAACTATATTTGGTATATGCGTACCTTGCAAGGTCATCATGCCCGTCAGACAGTTTTCACTTGACCTCGACCTCATTTCATGGATCAGTGAACAAGGTTAAGTTTTCGTGGTCAAGTCCATATCTGAGATACTATAAGCAATAGGTCTACTATATTTGGTGTATGTAATGATAGTAAGGTGTACATGTCTAACTGGCAGGTGTCATCTGACCTTGACCTCATTTTCATGGTTCAGTGGTCATAGTTTAGTTTTTGTGTTTTGGTCTGTTTTTCTAATACTGTATGCAATAGGTCAACTGTATTTGGTGTATGGAAATATTTTACGATGTTCATGTCAGTCTGGCAAGTTTTATTTGACCTTGACCTCATTTTCACTGTTCATTGGTCAATGTTAAGTTTTTGTGTTTTGGTCTGTTTTTCTAATACTGTATGCAGTAGGTCAACTATATTTGGTGTCTGGAAATATTTTACGATGTACGTCAGTCTGGCATGTTTTAATTGACCTTGACCTCATTTTCAAGGTTCATTGCTAAATGTTGAGATTTGTGTTTTGGTCTGTTTTCCTAATACTGTATGCAGTAGGTCAACTATATTTGGTGTCTGGAAATATTTTATGATGTACATGTCAGTCTGGCATGTTTTAATTGACCTTGACCTCATTTTCAAGGTTCATTGCTAAATGTTGAGTTTTTGTGTTTTTGTCTGTTTTCCTAATACTGTATGCAGTAGGTCAACTATATTTGGTGTATGGAAATATTTAATGATGTACATGTCAGTCTGGCAGGTTTTATTTGACCTTGACCTCATTTTCATGGTTCATTGCTTATGTTAAGTTTTTGTGTTTTGGTCTGTTTTTCTAACACTTTAAGCAATAGGTCAACTATATTTGGTGTATGCAATGATTGTAAGGTGTATATGTCTGTCTGGCAGGTATCATCTGACCTTTACCTCATTTTCGTGGTTGATTGGTCAATGTTCAGTTTTCGTGGTTAACTTTTTTTCTTAGATACCTTAAGCAATAGGTCAACTATATTTGGAATGATTTTAATGTGTACATGTCTGTCTGGCAGGGTTCAAATGACCTTGACTTCAATTTCATGGTTCATTGGTCAATATAGAGTTTCCATGGTTTGGTCTGTTTCTTTTATACTATAAGCAATAGGTCATCTATATTCTGTGTATGGAGGGATTGTATTAAAGGTGTACATGTATTTCCGGCTTGGTTTATCTGACCTTGACCTCATTTTCTTGGATCATAAATGTTAATGTGATACTTGTAGTAAAACTTTATATGTAGGACTATCAACATAAAATCAATGGTCAGTATAGTAGGCGAGACATTTCAGCGTGTGCACTCTTGTTTTGAATATTATTATAGATATATATAAACTGTAAGCAGCAATAATGTTCAGCAAAGTAAGATCTACAAAAAAGTTAATATGACCATAATTGTCAATTGACCCCTTAAGGAGTTATTGCCCTTTAAAGACAATTTTACACAATTTGTTCATCAAGTTTGCTAACATTTAAAAATCTTCTCCTCTGAAATACAGGTGAGCGATTCAGGCTCATGAGAGCCTCTTGTTAGAAGATTATTAATTATGGTCAGATTAACCCTATACAGATTAGCAGTTTAGGTCAGATAGAGTATTTCAGAGTTCTCAAAAACCGTCGGTCCTGACCGCCAAAAATCTGCCATGACCGACAATTGCATGTGTAGTGGCAGTCCTGATGACCAACAAAATTTTGGTGGTTGTTCACTTTTATTTTACATCTTTTCGGTATTCAGATAGCTTTTAAACTGGTTACTAATGTAAACAAACATTAATTGCATAGCTCAAAATTATAGTAATACTTTTGAAAAAAAAACAGTCGTCGGTTTCTTTGGTATTCATATAGTTTTTGAACTGGTAACTACTGTAATTTAACTTTTGTAGCATAGCTCAAAATTACTGTAATACTTTTGAAAAATAACCAGTTGTAAAAGTCATCATGGCTGAAGCATGGCCCATCTGGTTCAAAGATGGTGCTAATCCCAGTGTTAAAATCATCATTTTAATGCACTTTTCACTGTAAATAATTGTAGTATAATGCATGAAACATAAACAAACATGTAATCAAACTGACAAAGTATAAAAATTAGTGAACAATGCAGAGTTCAAAATTTAATTGAAAACAACTAAATATATAACATAGAAACTAGAATGGAGTTAATATAGTATTGAGCAATGACTTACATGTAACTTATAGGTTTTCGATAAATTCAAGTAAAATTACAGGACCATCAGATTTTCTGAAGGACTACCAGATTTTTAGTCTTGGTGGTCCCAATGACCACCAGGAAAAAAAGATTTCAAGAACTCTGGTATTTACAGCTTGATTTATAGAGAGGATTAAAATTCTTTGATTTGTACACAAACTGTTTTAATGAATATTTGGTGTTCTTGTTGCAGAAAAGATACCTACAAAGATAAAGATCACACCTCCAAAGAAAAGTTCCTGTCTGTATTTTTGTCAACACTGCTTAGTCCATCTTGGGGACATTGGTAAATACAGATATTCACAAATTATTCTAAGAAACATTTTTAAAGTTTAAAAAAAAATTAAGCATAGTAACTCTACCTTTTCAGTATTTATTTCAAAATGCACATTGAAAGTCAGCTCACGTAAAAATAATAGAAAATGAAAATACAAGAATTTTTCACTACAAGTCACTAAATTTTTTTGGCATGTACATGTATCATGGTTCTGAAAATGACAGAGAGTTTCTTGGCTACAATCTTATAGAAAGGCGATGGCCCTGGTATGAGATAAAGCTGTTAAACTATTCAAGTTTTATAAACCTTAGAAAAACTGTTTATTAGTTTTCTTTTCTTGGGCAATTTTAATGATGTTTAGCTTATAATTTCATCCCATTCTCAGTCTACACACCTGAGAAAACACATCTCAGCCAAGTAGTTTTAGACGGAAATTTATCACACAGAAATATCTGCGGCCGTATAATTGTGAGATGTCATCTTCGTCCGAAGACATTTGGTTTTAAGACAATAACTTGAGTATAAGTGCATGGATCTGTATGAAAAATAGGATTGATTTTGGGGGTTATTGTCCTAACTTTTGAGAAATAAGGGGCCAAAAGGGGACATAGAACAAGCATTTTTCTTGTTTGAGTTCAATAATTTGTGTATGAGTGTATGGATCTCTATGAAATTGTACCACATTAAGGGGTTCTTTGATTTGCCAAATCTAACCATGTAATTAGATTTTGTATATTGGACCATAATAGGCAGATGTCCAATTTCAATTTTTTAAGTTCTTAGACCACATTCTTTCTGTGTCACAAACCTATGTGGTGTCAAATATTTAATCACAATCCAAATTCAGAGCTGTATAAAGCTTGAATGTTGTGTCCATACTTGCCCCAACTGTTCAGGGTTCGACCTCTGCGGTCCTATCAAGCTGCACTTGCGGAGCATTTTATTTTATTTTACATGATCAAATGGCAGTATCAAGAGCAAAATTTGGGGTTTTTACTTCATTTTTCCATATTTTCCATATTTTACTGATAGATTAATGTTTATTTTTGCATATAATGTTAAGATACAGTCTTGTGTTAATGGTTTTTTTTTCAAAACATTAATGACTTTGTCTTACCTTCATCAAACTTTATGAAATTGGAAGAAACTTCTTCATTTTTAAAAGACAGTATCCAAAGCAAAATTTTGATTGTTTCATTTTATGTTTTTTCGTACTGTACTAACAACTTAGATTTTTTGGCAGTTAACTTTAAGATACAGTCTGGAGTAAAACTTTTTAAAAATCAACACCTCTGTCAAACTTCCATGGAATTTTACAGAACTTGTACATAAGCTTCTTCATAATTAAGAGATAACATCTTGAGCAAAATTCTAATTTGTACTTATTCAATTTACTGATAAATGGACTTAGTTTTTTTTTTAAACCCAGGTGTGATTGTTTAGATGTTTAAAAGAACTATAGTAGCTTGAATAAATAATTGAATGGTTCAGATAGGTTTAATATTGTAATTGTCATTTTTATTACAGCAAGATATAGACAACAAATAGAGCAAGCTCAGACATACTACTGGCATGCAGCTAATCTAGTACCATTTAATGGTAAGTTCTCTTTCCTTCCAATGTAACATTTATTTTTTAATGATAAATAGGAATTCTGTGGGAAAAAACAACTTTTCAACATATATATGGTCTTCCAAGGTCATTTATTACATATTCCGGTCCATTTTCATCAGTAATATTAGAAAATAAATGTACCTTAGGAAAAATTAAAAAAAAAACAGAATAAATCTAATGTATACAAAGATAAGGTCCATATGGAACTAAAGTTTGTTGGAGATGTATGTATTCAACTTTCTTTTAAGCATATATATTTTGAAGTCCAGTCTTTTCAAATAAATTTTATGTATTAGTTATGAATGTCAAGGACTTGCAGACTCATCTAAGAAATTTTGGTTAAAATATTTAAAAAAAAATACATATTTGTAGCCATGAAAATGCAGTTATCCAACATTTTTATGAAAAATTATTGCTATTATAAATAGGACTATAAGTTGTCTTCATTAACTACATCTTGCGAGTTTTTTTTTTATCGTAAGTAAAAAGTAATTGTATATCTTTATGAGTGCTGACTAGTTTATTTGTATGTGCTTTTTTCAGGACAACCTTATAATCAGCTTGCAATAGTTGAAGCAGCCAGAGGTAACAAACTGTCTACTGTATTTTATTACATCAGAAGTTTAGCTGTAAGACATCCTTTCCCAGTAGCAGCAACTAATCTGGAAAAGTTATATACTAAAATATCAAGAGACATGTAAGTAGATTAGAAAGTGAAGGTGTTTCAGGTATACAGTCAATCAGATACAAATATTAAATACAAGAATTTGTCATGATTATTTTAGGTATCATATATTAAAAGGATAATGTTGAAATCTATTTTTCTACAGTTAAGGTGTTTGACCTACTTCAGTCAGATTTTGATAGGTTCTAATTAATGGACTTTCATGTCATTTGGTCTCTGGTGGAGAGTTGTCTCATTAGCAATCATACCACATCTTCTTATTTTTATATTTGATAAATCATGACAACACATAAACCAATAACACTTGTCATGGGAGTCTATTGAATTCATGATGATCAGGCATAGATTAAGCTTAATTAAGAGCATTCAGATAAATCTCTGTTGTAGAAATGGAGAACCCTTGGTATCTGCAATCTATAATTAGTTGCATAAGAGCTTTTTTATAAATTTGAAGTGAGCAGCACATTAAATGTTTATTTTTGGACTTTGCACTTTTCATTTGGTGTCTTTCTATTTAATATATCCAGACACAGACATTAACATCTTCCATTTAATGTTCTTTACTAGCAGCAAGGTTGCACTGAGCTTCAGTTGTTTTTTTTCTTTGGGGATGAAGAACATGTGTTTACCCATTATCTGGTGATGACAATATAGATGGTTAATTTATACCATGTTTTGCCTAGTAAGCATGCACTTGGTTTTAACTGTTTGATCATCATTTTCTTTAAAATTCCCAAGGATTTTTTTTCTTTTATAATAACCATGTGTCCATCATCTGAGGAAAACTACTGCTAATAATTTTAACAGATGTGATCACTGATGGTTAAACTATGTAGAACTTAATTAATCAGTGTCAATTGTCAGGTAAAATTTCTATTATTTTAGGCAAACATTGTTTGTGACCTTTTGAATTGAGTTGTAAAAAAGATAAAAAGCCTAGATTCATCAGACCATTTGATTTCCATAAGAAATGTATTGATAAACTTCATAAAAAATTAAATGCATGTTTTAAAAGTATACTTATCAGTCTTTTTATACGCCTGTTTACGGGACGTATTATGGTATACCGTTGACCCGTCCGTCCGTCGTCAACATGTCGGACATTAATTCAAAAATGCTTTAACCAATATGCATGAAACTTTGGTGAATTGTTTATATCTATTGACGTGAGCTCCCTTTCATTTTTTATAAATTTCGGATTTACCGTTTCCGAGTTTTGGGGTTTTATTCATTAAAAAAGGGGGAATTTTCCAGTTTTTATACAACCGCAAAAAGATTTTTGTGGTCGTATATTGGTATGACGTTGGCGTCGTCGTCGTCCGGCGTTGTTTGAAGACACATTGGTTTTCGCACTCTAACTTTAGTTTAAGTGAATGGATCTCTATGAAATTTTACCACAAGGTTCAATACCACAAAAGGAAGGTTGGGATTGATTTTGGGGGTTATGGTTCCAACAGTAAAGGAATTAGGGGCCAAAAAGGGGCCAAAAATAAGCATTTTTGTAACTTCCAGACATAACTTGTGTGTTAGTGTATGGATCTCTCTGACATTGTACCACAAGGTTCCATATCACAAAAGGAATGCTGGGATTGATTTTGGGGGTAATTGCCTCAATATTTTAGGAATTAGGGGCCAAAAAGGGCAAAAAACAAGCATTTTTCTAGTTTCAGGACAATAACTTGTGTGTAAGTGTATGGATCTTTCTGAAATTGTACTACAAGGTTCCATATCACAAAGGGAAAGCTGGGTTTGAGTTTGGGGGTAATTGCCCTAAACGTTTAGGAATTTGGGGCCAAAAAGGGGCCAAAAAACACATTTTTCTAGTTTCCAGACAATAACTTGTGTTCAAGTGTTTGGATCTCTCTGAAATTGTACTGCAAGGTACCATTCCACAAAGGGAAGGCTGGGATTGAGTTTGGGGGTGATGAATCATAAGGGGGTTCAAAAAATTTGGGGGGGGGGGATTTTTTTTTTTCCTTTTTTTTTTCTTTTAAAATTTTCCATTTTAAGTTGGTTATTTCTGATTTATATTTAAAAGCAAATAATAATGATATGGTAGGAGATACACACCAAACAGAATGTGTAACTTATTATATAATAAGTATTGTGCAATAGCAAGAAATTTTCAATTGTGCAGTATTGCACAATAGCAAGAAATCTTCAATTGCACAGTATTGCGCAATAGCAAGAAATCTTCAATTGCACAGTATTGCGCAATAGCAAGAAATATTCCAATAGCACAATATTGCGCAGTAGCAAGAAATTGTCAATTGTACAGTATTGCTCAATAGCAAGAAATATTTAATTGCACAGTATTGTGCAAAAGAAGATACTTCGTATAAATTGCTTATTTCTTGACCAATTTCAATGGGGTTTTATTCTTGAATTCTTGGGTTTCTTTAATATGCTGAATCTAACCGTGTATTTAGTTTTTTGGATTTTGGGCCCCGTTTTTAAATTTGTCCACATTGAGGTCCAAAGGGTCCAAAATTAAACTTTGTTTGACTTTAACAAAAATTGAATTCTTAGGGTTCTTTGATATGCTGAATCTAAACATGTATTTAGATTTGTGATTATGGGCCCAGTTTTCAAGTTGGTCCAAATCGGGGTCCAAAATTAAACTTTGTTTGATTTCAACAAAAATTGAATTATTGGGGTTCTTTGATATGCCGAATCTAACCATGTATTTAGATTCTTAATTTTTGGTTCCGTTTTCAAATTGGTCTATAGGGGTCCAAAATTAAACTTAGTTTGATTTTAACAAAAATTGAATTCTTAGGGTTCTTTGATATGCTGAATCTAAACATATATTTAGATTTTTGATTATGGGCCCAGTTTTCAAGTTGGTCCAAATCGGGGTCCAAAATTAAACTTTGTTTGATTTCAACAAAAATTGAATATGTGGGGTTATTTGATATGCTGAATCTAACCATGTATTTAGATTTTTGATTTTTGGGCCACGTTATCAACTTTGTCCACATTGAGGTCAAAAGGGTCCAAAATTAAACTTTGTTTGATTTCATCAAAAATTGAATTCTTGGGGTTCTTTGATATGCTGAATCTAACCATGTATTTAGATTTTGGATATTGGACCATAATAGGTGAATGTCCAATTTAAAATTTTTAAGTTCTTAGACCACATTCATTCTGTGTCAGAAACCTATGCTGTGTCAAATATTTAATCACAATCCAAATGCAAAGCTGTATCAAGCTTGAATGTTGTGTCCATACTTGCCCCAACTGTTCAGGGTTCGACCTCTGCGGTCGTATCAAGCTGCGCCCTGCAGAGCATTTTATTAGACAATAACTCAAAAACAATTTCTCCAATTTGCAAGAAACTTTTGTGAATTGTTCATATCTATTGACGTGAGCTCCTTTTCATTTTTTATAAATTTCGGATTTACCGTTTCCGAGTTTTGGGGTTTTATTCATTAAAAAAAGGGGGATTTTCCAGTTTTTGTCGAGCCTGCGACTTTTGTCGCAGAAAGCTCGACATAGGGATAGCGATCCGGCGGCGTTAGCTAACTTCTTAAAAGCTTTATATTTTAGAAGATGGAAGACCTGGATGCTTCATACTTTGTATATGGATGCCTCATGTTACGAAGTTTCCGTCAGTCACATGTCCAATGTCCTTGACCTCATTTTCATGGTTCAGTGACTACTTGAAAAAAAAGTTCAGATTTTTTGTAATGTTAAATTCTCTCTTATTATAAGTAATAGGATAACTATATTTGGTATGTGCGTACCTTGCAAGGTCCTCATGCCCGTCAGACAGTTTTCACTTGACCTCGACCTCATTTCATGGATCAGTGAACAAGGTTAAGTTTTCGTGGTCAAGTCCATATCTCAGATACTATAAGCAATAGGTCAAGTATATTCGGTGTATGGAAGGACTGTAAGATGTACATGTCCACCTGGTAGGTGTCATCTGACCTTGACCTCATTTTCATGGTTCAGTGGTTATAGTTAAGTTTTTGTGTTTTGGTCTGTTTTTCTTATACTGTATGCAATAGGTCTACTATATTTGGTGTATGGAATGATTGTAAGGTGTACATGTCTAGCTGGCAGGTGTCATGTGACCTTGACCTCATTTTCATGGTTCAGTGGTCAAAGTTAAGTTTTTGAGTTTTGGTCTTTCTTTCTAATACTGCATGCAATAGGTCAGCTATATTTGGTGTATGGAATGATTGTAAGGTGTACATGTCTAGCTGGCAGGTGTCATCTTACCTTGACCTCATTTTCATGGTTCAGTGGTCAAAGTTAAGTTTTTGAGTTTTGGTCTTTTTTTCTAATACTATATGCAATAGTTCAACTATATTTGGTGTATGGAAATATTTTATGATCTATATGTCAGTCACGCAGGTTTTATTTGACCTTGACCTCATTTTCAAGGTTCATTGCTCAGTGTTAAGTTTTTGTGTTTTCGTCTGTTTTTCTTAAACTATAAGTAATAGGTCAACTATATTTGTTGTATGGAAGAATTGTTAGCTGTACATGCCTGCCTAGCATGGTTCATCTGACCTTGACCTCATTTTCATGGTTCATTGGTCAATGTTTAGTTTACTTGGTTAATGTTAAGTTTATGTGACAGTTGTAATAAAGCTTTATATTTAGGACTATCAACATAATATCAATGATTAGTAAAGAAGGCGAGACATTTCAGCGTGTGCACTCTTGTTAGACAATAACTCAAAAACAATTTCTCCAATTTGCAAGAAACTTTGGTGAATTGTTTATTTCTATCGACATGAGCTCCCTTTTGATTTTTATAAATTTCAGACTATACGTTTCCGATTTATGGGGTTTTATTCATTACAAAAAGGGGGATTTTCCAGTTTTTGGACAATAACTCAAAAATGCTTTTAGCATTTTTTATGAAACTTTGGTCAATTGTTTTTATCTATTTTTGTAATCTCCCTTTTGATTTTTATAAATTTTAGATTTTATGTTTCCGAGTCATAAGATTTTATTTGTTTATAGCCATAAGATTTTATTTGTTTATAGTATTACACAACAGCACAGTGTATTGCACAACAGCAAGAAATCTTTCATATAACCAATTTCAAGTTCTTTGACTACATTTATTCAGAAACCTATAATATATCAAATATTTAATTCACTCCAAATTCAGACCTGTATCAAGCTTGAATATTGTGTCCATTTTTGCCCCAACTGTTCAGGGTTGGACCTCTGCGGGCGTATCCAGCTGCGCTCAGCGAAGCAGTTTATTATTATCTTAACAAAATTATGTGCATGACAGACAAATGAAGACACCACATAACCGAGGTTGTTAATTATCAGTCTAAGTCATAAGTAACTATTATGCTTATTTCATTGAAGAAAACAATAATTTTAGACAAAAATGTGTGCTGAAAATTCCCATCAATATTAACAATATAAAAACATGCAGATGTGTTAACACAAAAACAAAAGCTGAATCACCATTACATCATGGTAATGCCTGGTCTAAATCTTATTGTAGATTAAAGGATGAAGAGTGATTACATTTACACCAAATACACCAATGAAAAAGTTCAAAGTGTAAATCTGATATGAAAGAAATACTTATGTATAACACATTTTTTTATTTACTAGATAATATTTGTTTAGATTAGTTTGCTTCATTTTTAGGTGTGACTTTAAAGGAAAATTGTCTGTCAGTGAAATGATTACAGCTTTTCTACAGTTCCAAGCTTATGTACATCTCTGCAATGGTATGTAAAATATTTCCCAAAATCATCTTTAAACTTGATTTAAATGATGAATTAATGGCTTTCCATTTTAGGGAATTTATACCAGGATTACACCCTGATAATTTTCATTTATAAATAAAAATATTTGTTGATGTTCCATGGTGAAGTGAAAAATAATTTGATATCTGTGACTACAGCAAGTATTGTTCTGTACTTAGCATTTCCATCCCTTATGATTATCTTTGTCATTTCCATCCCTTATGATTATCTTTGTCATTTCCATCCCTTAAGATAATCATAAGGGATGGAAATGACAAAGATAATCATAAGGGATGGAATTGACAAAGATAATCATAAGGGATGGAATTGACAAAGATAATCATAAGGGATGAAAATGACAAAGATAATCATAAGGGATGGAAATGCTAAGTACAGAACAATACTTGCTGTAGTCACAGATATCAAATTATTTTTCACTTCACCATGGAACATCAACGAATATTTTTATTTATAAGTGAAAATTATCAGGGTGTAATCCTGGTATAAATTCCCTAAAATGGAAAGCCATTAATCTTTGTCATTTCCATCCCTTATGATTATCTTTGTCATTTCCATCCCTTATGATTATCTTTGTCATTTCCATCCCTTATGATTATCTTTGTCATTTCCATCCCTTATGATTATCTTTGTCATTTCCATCTTTTATGATTATCTTTGTCAATTCCATCCCTTATGATTATCTTGTCTCCACCTAATGTTATGTATGTCCTTAAAACCTATGAGTATATAAGTTCTAGGAAGCACTAGAGCAGCTACATACTATCAGTTTTAAGATTCAGTGAAATAAGATTTTACTCTGACCATAAAATTGTGTATCTTTAATTATTTTAATGCTTTATATGACAAATATTGTTTGATTTCAGATCTTGACAAGGCATCTTTCTTGAGTGAGAAACTTTTACAAGCTTTACCCGCTCATGTGACTTCTCAGAGTTTCCCATCACATATACTGGTGCAGATTGTTGCTATTAATATCTTTGCCATGCAGCATGCTAGACGACAGATAGATGGAGAGAATGATGATTATACTGCTGAACAATTGACATCAGATGAAGAAAGGGCCTTTGAACTCATGCTGCTATTTACTAGTAAGTTGTCAGTTAATTGATGGGTTATATTATGACAGTGTTATGTTATCCACAAGGAATCATGTTTGACCATTTGCTTTCGAGCGAACTTTCTTATCCTCAAACTTTTAAATTTTGTTTGGCTAACAGAGAAACATCAAGTACCATGTTACCTTTAGACATTATTTGGACTTAAAACTGAGATTTGCATACAACTGCAACCATTATGTGTGCTAGATAAATGAAATCTGGTGGAACATTATAGTATAATGATTTTCCTTTTCACAGATGTAGATAAATATGGTTATGGCGTTGAATTGTGTCCATATTTCTTGATAGGTTAAATCTGTTTTTAATTTCACTTTTCAGAAAATTATGATGGTATGTCAGTTAAATTTAATATTGCAACCATATTATAAAGATCAACCAAATTCATCAACATCTAAGTTTCTATATGACTTTGGTAAATTTTTAGTTAAAGTTCATTTCAGAAAAAAATATGATAATATATCAATGATGTTTTTGCTAATTCTGGCAAGTTGTTTTAACAAGTCTAGGTGTTTTAGTTTTTGTCGAGCCTGCGACTTTTGTCGCAGAAAGCTCGACATAGGGATAGCGATCCGGCGGCGGCGGCGGCGGCGGCTACGGCGGCGGCGGCGGCGGCGTTAGCTAACTTCTTAAAAGCTTTATATTTTAGAAGATGGAAGACCTGGATGCTTCATACTTTGTATATGGATGCCTCATGTTACGAAGTTTCCGTCAGTCACATGTCCAATGTCCTTGACCTCATTTTCATGGTTCAGTGACTACTTGAAAAAAAAGTTCAGATTTTTTGTAATGTTAAATTCTCTCTTATTATAAGTAATAGGATAACTATATTTGGTATGTGCGTACCTTGCAAGGTCCTCATGCCCGTCAGACAGTTTTCACTTGACCTCGACCTCATTTCATGGATCAGTGAACAAGGTTAAGTTTTCGTGGTCAAGTCCATATCTCAGATACTATAAGCAATAGGTCTAGTATATTCGGTGTATGGAAGGACTGTAAGGTGTACATGTCCAACTGGCAGGTGTCATCTGACCTTGACCTCATTTTCATGGTTCAGTGGTTATAGTTAAGTTTTTGTGTTTTGGTCTGTTTTTCTTATACTGTATGCAATAGGTCTACTATATTTGGTGTATGGAATGATTGTAAGGTGTACATGTCTAGCTGGCAGGTGTCATCTGACCTTGACCTCATTTTCATGGTTCAGTGGTCAAAGTTAAGTTTTTGAGTTTTGGTCTTTTTTTCTAATACTGCATGCAATAGGTCAGCTATATTTGGTGTATGGAATGATTGTAAGGTGTACATGTCTAGCTGGCAGGTGTCATCTTACCTTGACCTCATTTTCATGGTTCAGTGGTCAAAGTTAAGTTTTTGAGTTTTGGTCTTTTTTTCTAATACTATATGCAATAGTTCAACTATATTTGGTGTATGGAAATATTTTATGATCTATATGTCAGTCACGCAGGTTTTATTTGACCTTGACCTCATTTTCAAGGTTCATTGCTCAGTGTTAAGTTTTTGTGTTTTCGTCTGTTTTTCTTAAACTATAAGCAATAGGTCAACTATATTTGTTGTATGGAAGAATTGTTAGCTGTACATGCCTGCCTAGCATGGTTCATCTGACCTTGACCTCATTTTCATGGTTCATTGGTCAATGTTTAGTTTACTTGGTTAATGTTAAGTTTATGTGACAGTTGTAATAAAGCTTTATATTTAGGACTATCAACATAATATCAATGATTAGTAAAGAAGGCGAGACATTTCAGCATGTGCACTCTTGTCTTCAAATAGGATCTTTAATATTTTCAAAGTTGTGATCGCCGTAATGGGTGAAGGGGTAATCTTTGTCTTATAGGTACATTGTCTAGTATTTTTATTTTTCAGTTTCCATATTGGATGTCCTGTTGCAGTACACACCTAAACATGACCACAAGTTGCGAGAATTTTTCACTCTACCATCAGTCAAACTTTTGCTTGATTGGTTTCGATTGAATCCAGTACATTTATCCAATCCTATTGTCAAAATATCAGGGTAAGTGATAGACCCGTTCCTTCTTTTCTCCAATCCTATTGTCAAGATATCAGGGTAAGTGATAGACCAGTTCCTTCTTTTCTCTAATCCTATTGTCAAAATACCAAGGTACATTACAGGGATTGAAATTTGCAGGGGGAGGAGGAGACTAGCCAATGACTCTTAAAAATTTGAGCGAGGCTACTAATTTTATCCATATATTTGCTTAGTCATATAACACTGGGCCATCAAAAATTTTGGCTGGGCTACCACTTTGAAAATTTTTAGTTTCCATCCCTGAAGTACGAGACCTGTTTCACCTGCATCAAGTACATTCACTTTTAATGTGGTAAAATTTATGGTGTTATCTTTATAAAATTTGGAAAGTAAGCTAATATTTGTTTTAAGCACTGTTGTGTTTCTTGAATTAAGAAAAAGATATTGTTATTTTTTGACATTGAACTCAAAGGCAAGATTTCTGTATATCTTTTTTATTGTTTTCTTTCATATTTAACATATAAGAAAATAACTATATAGCCATGTGGCCTTTTTAAAAATATTATTTTGATTTTTGATACAGATATTACTAAATATGGTATTTTCTATTTCTTTACAGATTATGGATAAATCTTTGCAAAGTACTGAATAATATTAAACCTCCACAAACAAAGAAAGATGAGCCTATTGATCTTACTAAGTGTAGGTATTCATGCTAACTATTTGGTATGAGGGCATTTGTATTAGATTGTGAATATACAAAGTAATGGCTATCCTAATACAGGAGAACCTGGGCAATATCAAAGGCAACAGTTCACAGTTATAGTATGCTGAAGAAGAAAAAACATTTATATTGATTCAACTTTACGGAAAACAAAGTTTATGTTGTATTAATTCATGACACACAATCCCTACACACACTGGACAAATCCAAATCCAAAAGCAAAGGAACAGCACTTTTATTGCTTTTCTTAATCTCCAAGTCCCAGTTCAATAAAAGCTCACACTTCACTGCAAATACAAGACAACCCTTTACACCTGCTTAAACAGATTTCATTGCTAGATGTCCATCTATTTATGTGTGTATAAGAGCTGTAATATCAACAAATTACTAATAAGAACATTTGACAGTGATAAGTCTTTTCAACAAGTGTGAAGAAAAACCAAATTAAACACTTTTTAAATAAGACTTTCTTGTCCTGTACATCCATCCTTTCTCCTTTCTATTTCTAACTTACATCATAACTAACTTACATCATAAGTTTAACAATTATAAAACATCTGGTGTTAAATAAAAGTAACCTATTATTTACTTGCATTGGTTGGTGTAACTAGCAGAAGTGCTATCTAATCTATTCAGTTATATTTCAGAAATTTGAAAAAATAAAGAATCATACTAGATGCCACAACAATTTATTCTTGAAAAATATTTAAAAAATTGCCATGAATGCTAATACATAAACTGTTCCTATTGGACTTTAATTGGACTATAAATGTGTTGTTCAAATAATTTCAGATGAAGAATTGCCATTACCTGAAGATACTGAACTCCGATGTTTTCAGCCACTGGAAAAAGCACATAGGTATTTGTATAGCTTGTCATCTTGAATTAGTTAGTAAAATTTGCCACTGGATGTTGAATAAAACAACAGTCTGGCATTTTATTAATTGATCAGCTTTAAGATGCATTTAGCCCCTCCTCCAACATACAATCTTTTCAAGCAAGCCATATTTTAGCAATGTCTGAAGAATCAGCAATTTTTATTTAAAAAAATCAGCAAAATGCAGAAAATTTTTGTTTGTGGAACTTGTAATTTTCCCATAATAGACATCGTGATCTTGATAAATAAAATGATTTTGATTGATCGAAACACTTATAACTGGATGTGCAGTGTAATTAATTAGTATATTGAAATAAAAGGAGCGTCCCAGTATTGTTAAAAAATTAGCCTGAAAAGCTATTGATATTTTGATATTTCCTAAGAGCTTTGGATTTTTTTATTATTTACTGAACAACAGGAAGGTAATGATGAACTAATGTCTTTGTATCCACATTTTCACATTTCTTATTAGTCCCCTACCTACAAAGTAGAAGGGGACTTTAGGTTTGCACTCCATTCGTCTATCTGTCTGTCCTTCTGTCAGTCCGGCAAATCAGTTTTCCATACTTTTTTCTTCATTCTTGAAGATATTGATTGGATATTTGATATATTGTTTTATCATGACAAGTTACAGATCAAGTTCGAATTTTGTTCTGGTCTGATGATTTTGTGCAGAGTTATGGTCCTTGGACTTGGGAAATTCACTCAAATATTCAGTTTTCCGCACTTTTTTTCGTCATTCTTGAAGATATTGATTTAATAATTGGTACATTGTTTTATCATGACAAGTTACAGATCTAAATCGAATTTTGTTCAGGTCTGATGATTTTGTGCAGAGTTATGTTCCTTGGACTTAGAAAATTCACTCAAATAATCAGTTTTCCGCACTTTTTTTCGTCATGCTTGAAGATATTGATTTGATAATTGGTATATAGTTTTATCATGACAAGTTAGAGACCAAGTTTGAATTTTGTTTCGGTTTGATGATTTTTTGCTGAGTTATGGTCCTTGGACTTAGAAAATTCACTTAAATTATCAGTTTTCCGCACTTTTTTTCGTCATGCTTGAAGATATTGACTTGATATTTGTTATATAGTTTACACCATGACAAGTTATAGATTAAGTTAGCATTTTGTTCCAGTACAATTAATTTTTAACTGGTAGGGGACTATGTATTGCCATGCAATTACTCTCAGAATGCTTGTTATAATTGGACCATACAATCAGGCTTATAAAATTAGACAAATTATACAAAAAACTTATAGAATTTGGTATACTACACAAAAATTGATTTATAAGTTGTTACTTGATTTTAAGTACTGTGAGAACTACATAAGAAACTTTCATATAAAAAACTATAAATTAAGTGGTACATACCCACAATGATATTTATTTATTACAGTTGCTATAGCTACAGTAGACTACCGAGTGATGGCCTTCCCCAGGAAATTGAATGCCACTTAAGATGTCAGAGAATTCTCAGCCATGGTAGATGGGTTGCTGAAGAACATAGCAAGTAAGATTATTTGAAACTACACTGTATTTATATCTCTGATATAGCTATTTGACTTTAGTATATAGACACACATAAGACCTTTTCACAAATATTAGAACCACTAGGCTCAAATTTCATCATGGGTAATAGTTTATTGTTATGAAGGTTGTCATTATATTGTAATGATTAAGCATTTAGAATAGTTACTGACATAGGTTACATTTATATCTTTACCATAGTTATAAACTATAGCAATGATCTTTAAAGATATTCTCCGAAGTGATACACACTGCATCTTGGAATATCTCAAGGTCATCATCAAATGGTTCTCAAATCATTTTCAAACATTTCATATACGTTTGTGGCAAACATCAGTTAGACAGCAAATCAACAACACAAAACAACCAAAAGACGTTTAGAGGTCAAAATACAGTCTTCTTTGAATTTAATTGTTATAGACATTGTTGTGAAGCACATGTCAATTGGTTAATGTAAATGAAATAAATTGATTAAAATTTTAATGCCATGTTGCGGATTAAAGATTTACCTTTATAAATGGTTCTTAAAACAGATTATTTTCAATCATTTTTACTGAAGTTTCTAATCATCTTTATTACAGTTATAAACTGTAGCAATAATCTGTTCCAAAGTGATTAAGTCAATGTCTTTCTTTGTTGTTTTAGTCTGAACCTATTGGTAATACAAAATATAAAGGCTCAACATCTACAGTTTACATCACCTGTTATCCCAAACAAGTCACATATTGGTAAGTATTATCTTATAGTTTTCTCTTTTATGTGTGTCTGAATTCAGCTACAAACATTATCTTACATTAACATTTATGGAAGTCGTTCTTCATCTCAAAGTTAGAGTGAAAACTTAAAGTGACTACTACCAAGCAAAATGTCCAACCACAAGTTCAATCGGTCTGAGTGATATTCTTTGTGTGATGTGTATAATAGCTCATATGTGTATTGAAGAACTCCACTGCTGTGTAATCTCAACAATCATAAACTACATTGGGAAAGAAATCTTACAAATAAAGTCATAATTTGCCATAAGAAATCTCAGCTCATAAAATAGATACAATTCAAACATTACAATAAACGTTGGGGTCATCAAGATAATTGTTAGATTACTTAGCAGGAAATAATGAATGAATAAGACATTTAATTTTTGGTGAGGTAATCTTTCCCCTCCCTCATTCATGGTCCATTGACTTTGCATAATTTTGTGTACTGTTCAAGATACCCATCCTATCATGTTGCCAAGTGTACAGGAAGTTGTACAGAATTGCCATTTGATATCTAGCATTTACAATATGCTATCAAAGTTATACACAGGGAAGGCATATCTGTTTCAACAGTTCATTTTTAACTACCCATTTGAATAGACAGAATTATCAGAAACACATTACAAAAAAGAAAATGCCTCATTGAATTGTCAACTTCTTTTTTTTGTAGGTATAAATAAAATTATATCTGCATCCAGTCCTGAAAAGAAATCTCGCCAAAATGTTGCAATACAGGTATTAAAATAGATAACAGTCATACAGAAGGATTTCAAACTTATACAAAATACTTGCAGATATTTGGTATTCTATTTCACTTTAATGAGTCTGAACAAGTAATGATAGATAAAATATGGTTATTAATGTGAATTTTTTAAAATAGTTATTTGGAGATAAATATATTGTATTTACGATGTTGCTCACTGTTTAAATATTGGTGGGATTTAATTTGCTTTATGAAGTAATTAGGGTCTACTAAAAATTGGCAGTTCCCTGTAGTAATAAAGCTGTCTGTTCATCTGTTGTTCCATCCATACTTTAATTTCATATGGTAAGTCAAGATTGACTCAACTGATTTCAATAATTGTTCTTACCTTTAAAAGGAATGTCTTATTTGTTTTGATGAAATCCATTTTTAGTAAAAGTTGGTAAAAAAAAAACTGTTGTGAGAAATAGTTTTTGTAATGAAAAATCTTCAAAAGTGTGAGTATGACTGGGACACGAAATAACATCAAGATTTCTCAAAATGACCTTCAACTTTGAAATTGTAGTAAGTGTATGCACTGTGCCTCACATAAAGTTAATAGCATACATTTAAATATGGTGAACTACTGAAAGAAATGTTATCACATTACATGAATTGATTCAGAACAATTCACTAGACTATCTTAAATTGAAAAATGGAGAGAGTTTGTAATCACATATAACCCTTTATTTTATAACATGAGAAATGAATTTTGAAGGCTATTATACAGAAACAGACTAAAGGCAAAGATGAGACTATAAAGCCTAACAAATCTGAAGAAAAGGTAGGACAGTATTTAGTGAAATCATTTGATAGTTTATAAGCTATTTATTTATATCCATAATTTTAGTATCTGGTATTTTTTGTTTCAGTTGTAACCGTAAGTTCTATCAAAACATAGCTTACATTTTTCGTTTGGCATTTTTGTTACTTTTGGCAGACTTCTGAATGTCTTAAGTAACCAAATCAAGATACAAAAATCTAGGTTTGAGGAAATCTTGTGTCTATTGTTAGAATGTTGCACTATACAGCTTCACTAAAGGGTTTGTTACCTCTTTGCCAGAGGAAAAACTTTTCTATGTGATACATGTAAATTAACCTAAAGATAATGAAATCAGGTTGAATGGACAGAATGAAAGAATTTGAGTTATCAGTTACTTTTATAGTTGTCCTGAATATGTTAAGAAAAGGCAACCAGAGGAATACATTGGTTTATCCATAATTGAAGGAAATAGAATGTTTTTCTGTAATAATGCATCAACTCTAGAAGTTGGGACTATATTGCATTCACCTTGTTTGTCAGTTCTATTATCCCCTTTGTCCAACAAATATTTTCCTCACACTTTTCTCAAGTACTACTGTCAGAACAGAAGAACTCCATATTTGGTCAATTTGTTGAATGAACTTAAAAATTTTACATATTTTTCTCAAAGACTGTTGACCAGAATTATTTAATATTTAGTCAGCAGCACACAGTGATGAGTTGTAGCATGTGAGCCCTTTGTGGATCATTCAGACACCCATTTCCTGTTTTCTGATACTTTGAATCACTAGTGAGGTATGCTTGCAAACATTCTTAGGTCAGCCAGCTTATCGTGAGGTTAACAAGGTCAAAATATATTCAGTTGTAGTTAAGTCCCAGAACTGGAAAGTAGTGTGTAGATATCATTTGTCATATCACATTAAAAAAAATCACTTAAATTGTATTTGTCTGCACTTTTTGCTGTACATGCAAATGTAATTCCTATTTTTGGTTTGTTGTTGTAATAAGAATTTAAAGATCAGATTTGCATTTTGTTCAATTTGGTCTACTTCTGTTGGAACTCCAGTATGTGATTTATTTGCTACATTTGGGGTACATGGTCATGCATGTAGTAATTTCACCTTGACTACCCATGAGGGTCTGGCACGGTTGCTACAAGTCTAGTTGTGTACAATTACACACATGTACTGTAAACCAACATATAATTTGTGAGCTATTCGTTATTTGTGAGTAGAAAAATAATGCAAGTATAAATCATGTTGAATATGTAAAACTTGGATATACCCTTATATAAATACATCAACAACTTTAAAAAATACAAAAAGAAATTGCAACAAGTTGGCTAGAAATGGCAAAATGCGAAAAAAATCATCTGTGAAAAAGTTAGTTATCAACTGATGATTTTGTTAGAGGATAAAACCTACGAAATAAAATGAAAAAGAATAATTTGGAATTTAAATATATCATGTTATAAACAATCTACTCCATTCAGCAAAATGGTACCCTTCTACCTCTAATAAAATTCTAAATTGTTTATTTTTTAATTTGTACAAAAATTGTCAGTGTGCTTTATTTTTATATGACAGCAAAAAAATTTTTGGGATCGTATAATGGTATAATGTCGTCGTCGTCCGAAGATACATTGGTTTCCGGACAATAACTTTAGTTTAAGTGAATGGATCTCTATGAAATTTTTTAAGAAGGTTCAATACCACAAAAAGAAGGTTGGGATTGATTTTGGGGATGATGGTCCCAACCGTTTAGGAAATAGGGGTCCAAAAGGGGCCCAAAACAAGCATTTTTCTAGTTTCAGGATAATAACTTGTGTATAAGTATTTCGATTGCTCTGAAATTGTACCACAATGTTTAATACCACAAGTAGAAGGTTGGGATTCATCTTAGGGGTTATGGGGCCAACAGTTTAGGAATAAAGGGCCAAAAAGGGGCCAAAAACAAGCATTTTTCTAGTTTCCAGACCATAACTTGTGTGTAATTAAGTGTATGGATCTCTCTGACATTGTAACAAAAGGTTCCATATCACAAAGGGAAGTCTGGGATTGAGGTTGGGGTCAATTGCCCAAAACATGTAGGAATTAGGGGCCAAAAAGAAGCATTTTTCTAGTTTCCAGACAATAACTTGTGTATAAGTGTATGGATCTCTCTGAAATTGTACTACAAGGTTCCATACTACAAAGGAAAGGCTGGGATTGAGTAATGGGGTTATTGCTCCAAGGAGGGTTTCAAACAGTTGGGGGGGGGGGGGGGGGGATTTTTTTTTCAATTTTTTCAGGGGATTCATATTTTTTTTCAAAATTTTTCGTATATTGAATTTTTCAAAATTTTCAAGAAGAAATCTTCCATTGCACAGTATTGCGCAATAGATTTGAAAGATCTTTGACCACATTTATTTTGTGTCAGAAACCTATATTATGTCAAAAATTTGATCACAATCCAAATTCAGACAGTATCAAGCTTGAATATTGTGTCCAAATTTGCCCCAACTGTTAGGGTTCGACCTCTGCAGTCGTATCAGGCTGCGCTCAGCGAAGCAGTTTATTATCATTTAACCTCTTCAGTTAGGACAGGAAATCATGATCTCTGGTCAGGTCAAACTGAACGATTGAAAATCAATATTTGCTGCTTCATCCCTCAGTACAAGGCATTTATGAGTAAGGTCAAAGACTGGTTTGCTTGGAGTCAGAATTATGATTATGGGTAGGGTAAGATGTCTTCCTGCAAACTATTACCATGTGAGCTACATTGATCAGTGTTTCATCCTAGTATATATACAATATATGTACATTGTCGGAAAACATAAAATTTATTTGTATGAGCTTTAGAAACAGGACAAAAAGCGAGGCTCGCGAGCTTTTCTCCTGTTTCGCAGCGAGTACAAATAAATTTTATATTTTCCGACAATGTACATTTATTGTTTTTATCCTGAAATTTACTCCCAATACTTGAAACTTCAGTGATTAAAACCAAATCATTGTCTCTAATCTCTCAAAGAAATCGACATGGTTTAAACGCAGACCGCAAAGAGGACCCCAAAATGAACTGGTACGGAAAAAGAAATATCTATATTACAGCTTGCTCAACATGGAAGTGGGGGTAACAGGAGACTTTACTTGTACAAGTACAATTAAAGCAAAAATTTATTTGTATACCTGTTATTTGTACAATAGTTGGCTGATTGCAGGATAAAAAACAGGGTTCATATTCTGAACACATTAACATTTTGCTTACTGATTTGCATGTTATTTTTGCCTCTGGATTTTAAACACCAATTCATCGTCATCATCGGTTGTTGTCGTCGTCGTTGTCTATTTTATTTTTAATGAAAAAATAATTTTACTGAGTTGAGGTCATTTTAAAACATATACATGTTCTTTGAGCACGTAGGTTCTTTATTCAAACAAGAACATTGACTAAGTTTTTTTTTTTTCAGATAAAAATAGTCACAACTACTATAGACAAGTCAGTGGAATCACAATTAGGTCCTGCATCTCCAAAATATTTACTTGGTACACCAACCAATCAACCAGAATTTATGAAAACAACTACATCATCAAAACCAGCAAATCCAAATATTCCTCCAAGACTTCAGCAACAACCACCAAGACTACAAAAACAATTGCTAGCACAACAACAAGCTAGGCAACAGTCCCAAGAAAAACAGTTGTGGGAACCAGATAAAGATAGTCCAAAGCCTTCATCTTCCAATACATCATTTGAAGTCATACGTCAGTCATCATCAGGTTCATCCTTATGGGAACCAGAAAACACTTCACAGAAATGGGAATCTGATAATGATATGACATGGAAACCACAACATGTATGGGATCCTGACTCAGACACATCTCAAAGAAAGCCTATTTCTCAACCACCCAAATTGTGGGAACCTAAAACTGGCAAGTTCAAAATCGTTGAGACTAATGATTCCCAGTCACAGAGATCTAGTAATATACATGCCTGGGCAAGTCCACAGCAAGAAGTGAGTCAACCTTTGCCTACACCTTCCTTCCCACCACCATCTGGACAGGCAACAGCAGAAAGGCAGGCAGCACCCCAGCAACAAGGACAGACAACACAACCCTTCAATCAGTTTATGATGTTTAGACCTGATTTTAGGTAAACCTTAATGCTAAAAACTTAATTATTAACATTGAACTGACTGCAATCAGAAACTGCTTCTTACTTTTTTTTATTAGAAGAAGAAATTGAAAAAACAATTGCAGTCCCTCCCTTCAAGAATATTTTAAAGAAAAATATCTCCATTGAAAATTATTATATTTCAAGTCAACATAAAATGTAAATCAAATAAGATTAAATATTAACTCAAAAATTATCAATGAAATCTGGAATGGGTAACTAGCTTTGAACTGATAGAAAAAAACTATTTTTTTTATGCCCCACCTACGATAGTAGGAGGGGCATTTTGTTTTCTGGTCTGTGCGTCTGTTCGTTGGTCCGTCCGTCCGTCCGTCCGTCCATCTGTCCCACTTCAGGTTAAAGTTTTTGGTCAAGGTAGTTTTTGAAGCTGAAGTCCAATCAACTTGAAACTTTGTACACATGTTTTCTATGATATGATCTTTCTAATTTTAAAGCCAAATTAGAGTTTTGACCCTAATTTCAAGGTCCACTGAACAGAAAATGATAGTGTGAGTGGGGCATCCGTGTACTATGGACACATTCTTGTTTAAACTTGAATTTAAGATTGGATGATAATTAATTATTTAATTTCAGGCAACCTCCTCCAAATTTACCCCCTCCTCCACCTGGCCCTCCTGGGCAACTGCAGAGGATGATGGGTTATCCACAACCACCAACACAAGGAGAAAGGTCAAATAAAGGGGAAGATCCATTGATGAGTTTGAGAGGTCCACCAGGAAAAGCTGCGGGCAGCAATATACCACTAGGCAGACCTCCTCCAAACATGGAAAGTTTTCCTCCTCCAGGAAAGATGGGTTTACAGACAAACTTTCCCCCTCCAGGAAATATTAATCAAAATCAAGGACAAGATAATCAATTAGATGTTGGTCCTCCTTCAAAGACAGACAATAACCCTCACTCAAAATTTCTGAACTTCACAAATTTCCCTCCACCACCACCACCAATGGCAGGACAACAATATGGAGGGAAGGAAAATCCTATGATGTTTCCAACTCAACAAGGTATCAATTTTCCAAGGTTTACTGGGAATCAACCTCCAAAGGAAGTATACGGTAATGGAACAGGACCATTAGACATGCTAAATAAACACAGTGCTAGCGGTGATCAGCCAAATCAGCAATTTCCTAAAAATCTTTACAACTTCCCGCCAGCACCTGGTACTGAGAGGATGAACCATCCAAGTGGACCCAACATACATCAACCACCCCCTCATCAGCATCCTACTGGAACTCAGCCACCACCAAATCAGCATCCTCATGGGGCTCAACCTCCACCAAACTTCAACATGCTAAATCCTAATTTTCTTAGTTCTGGACGATTCCCTGTACCTAGAGCAGGATTCCCTCCACAAACTGAGACGCACAAAATGATGAATGGAGATATTCAAGGCAATGTGTCAACTCTGTCTCATCTCACTATACAGGTAAAATAGCCTTTTTTTAAATTTTATCTTTTCAACAGGGAAAATGTTACAGAGATTGGGTTACTGCTGTTTAATTATTGCTCTATCACATTAAAAAGCTTTGATTAGTAAAAGAAAGTCATAGCAAAGTGGAAGGGAGACAGAGGTATATTAAAAAGTAACCATTTTTTGCACTGGCAAAACCAGCTAAGAAACGTTTCTGCATCAGGAGGAAAAAGAACTTATTTTTCATATTTTTGTAATTTAGAATTTACATTAGCAAGTACAATATTAAAGTCAAAGTATACTTTATTGGGTGATATTTCTGATTTTCAGGAAATCTTGTATGCATTTAGAACTCGTTCAACTGATTCTAAGTATTGAAAAAAAATATATATGTAGCATTTATAATTTCAGAGGTAAAATCAATTAAAAATTTGTGACCAACTTAAACCAAAAAAGGAAACCTTAAAAATAAAAAATGGTAACTTATTGTATCACTTACTAAAGAAATATGTAATTTAGCAGTAACTGTTTTTAGCAAAATATCTTGAAATTATATCATAATTGAAGTAAAGCTCACTTCAAAGCTTCCTTTTTTTCAGCCTCCGAAGAGTGGAGCAGATCTCTTCCCAGTATCTCCTAGGATGAGTGCTAGTTTTCAAGGCCATGCTGAGGTTAGAAATCTTTTATCTTCAATTTCAGACATACACAATTGTATACATTATATTAGGGTTAAGTCCACATGTATTTCTATATATTTGAAATATCGTTCATGGGACCAACATGAGAACTTATTTTGCAGTTTTTCATCCTGACTTGCTGGAAAGCATTCAGTGGTGAACTATAAAGAACTCACACCTTACATCAGCAGTACATTTTAAGATATATCAACAGTTGACATCCAAATCTTTGGGAAATATATTTTGGAGTAAACAATAAATTGCATTTATTAGGTAAAGTCTATCATTCATTGCCAAACAAAGGACTTTATACTCCGAACAACTACAAACTATTAGAAGGCATTATCAATTTTGCAGTTCAAAATTTGACAAAGAAAAATACTTTTGTAACAGGTACACTGTATGATAAACGTCAACTATGCTTACAATGAAATTAGGTAAAATTACCCGAATCAAGCTTATATATCTGTATAATATATATATTTTAAAGCTCTTGATAAGAATTTAGATTAAAATGACCAAGTATATTGGTTAACCTGTGAATGAATTCTGCTGTAAAATACTTTAACAATGTTCTCCCACATATATTCCAAAAAGCTCCATGGGATTTAAAAAATCACTCTTTACCAAAAGTAGTAACACAGCATTTACAATACTATAGGGTTATTGCATAAATATTGGTGAATATTGTCTTATGTATAGATTATTATATAGCACTATGGTACCATGGTTCTGTAAGGCCCTGGGGATAACACTGCTTAAAATTGTGAACCTTAGTTTAATTTCAGTTTACAAAATCTATAAAGCAACAATTTCCAACACTGGGAGAAGTTTCATCCAGTGCTATATTTTATGATAAATCAATATTATTGGCAATTATTATTTGGACAAAAAATTTGTTTAATGGGCTCAATGCCACTCTCTGTACTTTTGTGCTATTTCATAGTAGCTTAAGTACTAGTATATTATAATATTTCCAATTGAATTTTCAGGGAACTCCCAAGCCAGACAGTGGGAATTCTCCATCAAGAAGGTAATGAAGAAAGAATCTAAAAGGAGAATAGCTTCTTATATGATTTTTTTTTGTTAATTGACAGGAAGATTAATTGTTCATGATAAACAAGGATTTATTATTATGAAATAGTTAGCTCAATTATAATTTATTTAAGTCCTGCACTTATGTTTCATTGAGACTGACTTGATATTTTTAACCAAACCATGACGATATGAGTAATGAAGAATTTCATGTTACATATCAGTTTCCATCCAGTTGACCAACTGTAACATAATTATTTCTATTTGACTAAAATTTTGTTTGTTTTTCAACAGTGCTAAGGGTAGTCCGTTATTTATCACATTGAAGAAGCATTGTTTATGTTGGACAATTTCATTTCAGCCCTCATCAGCCAGCAGTAGATGTTGATGTCCCTGTCATACAGACCAAACCAACAGTTACAACATCTGCCCCTGTACAACAGGGAACCTACTCTCTCTTTAGTGGTACAACATGGTCTGTCCCATTGTCATCAGCTGACACAAAAAGTAAGTCCTTGTAATTTACAATTTATGCTTTTCTGTAGTGTAGAAGGTAAGAATTAGGGGTGTTTTTTTGGTAACCATCATAGTGATAGAAATTGCAAATACCTTTAAAAGTTAGCCTCATTTTAATTTGAGTGAAGCAAAATTTAGTTGATATGAAAAAGAAGATGTGGTATGATTGCCAATGAGACAACTCTCCAAAAGAGACCAATGACACAGAAATTAACAACTATAGGTCACCGTACGGCCTTCAACAATGAGCAAAGCCCATACCGCACAGTCCGCTATAAAAGGCCCGAAATGACAATGTAAAACAGTTCAAACGAGGAAACTAACGGCTAATTTTTGTACAAAAAATGAACGAATAACAAATATGTAACACATAAACAAACGACAACCACTGAATTACAGGCTCCTGACTTGGGACAGGCACATACATACAGAATGTGGCGTGGTTAAACATGTTAGCGGGATCCCAACCCTCCCCCTAACTTGGAACAATGGTGTAACAGTACAACATAAGAACGAACTCTAAAAATCAGTTGAAAGAGGCTTAACTCATCAAATGGATAAAAATACAAATACTACAAATACAATTGGCGTGGCCGGGTACTTGTACATCCAAACAACAAAAAGACACTAAGTACAGATCTGAGAGTACTCGCAGTTACTGACAGCTAGTTCAAAGCCACTAACAACTAATAAAAAAAATCATGCATCTAAGACTAAATGATGGTTGTTTGTGATGAGACTTTGGTGGCTGTAGTCACATGACCTTCACACTCCATCAGTCAATTGAAAATAATTTTTTAGATAAGATTTGTTCTTCAGTAAATATACAAGACAAGGTTGATGAATATAGAAAAAAAAGAAATAATTAGCATTTATCTTCTCAGAGATAAAATCCTCTAAAAATAGATCTAAGAATGTATAGAAAGCAAAAAAAATTGGTGAAAAATGCACTTTTCCACTTTGAAATGTCATTGTTTCAAAAACCTGTGCATAACTTTTTCTTTAAATATAGATATGTTTTTGCTATGAGTATCGCTGGTTTTTTTTTTAATCAGATGCAGTTCAAGAAGTTCAAGATGAATTCAAAATTTTTATGTTTTTAGGCATTGGCTCATCACCATTCTCTTCAGAATCCTCCAGTATAAGGAATTCTCCAGACGTATCAGAGTCATTCAGTGACAGTAAGATTGGTCATCCAATGGACCTTGGTTTGAGATTTGGTACACAGGAGGATCATTGGAGAGAGTTAGCCCAAGGGCAACAAGTATTAGAGCAAATGGCTAGCAATGGACAAGGTGGCAATTTTTTTCAAGGAAATATCCAGGTTTGTACAAAGATTTTATCAGTAAAAGAATAATCAATTTATTTAAGGTCTTTTTCATATTGTAAACTCAGTAAAAAAGCTAAATTTATACCACCGCCTTCATTTGGCAGGGTATACAGTAATGCACATGTTCCTTCATCAGTCTGTTTGTCCTTCAAAGTTGTGATTTCTGGCTGATAAAGTTTAGCATAGCCAAATCTCTTGAAATATGAACACAATGTCATTAACTATAAAATACTGGTCAAGTTCGAATTTGTTTAATGTCGTCGTTGGATTGCCATGAATTTTTTATACCAATATTTCCTTTTTTAAGTTTATCTAGCCTCATCAATTTTGTCCTTCATATGATATAAAAATATGAAGATGTGTTAGGATTGCCAATGAGGCAACTATCCACATATGTTCATATTGTCATAAACTTGATTATAAAATCTTATCCTCTGAAACCTTAGAACCAATTTGAACTAAATATGACAAAACTATCTCTAGGATGTCTATTATAGAATGATGTTCTCATGAACAATCATGACTATTGCTACTAAATAAACAGTGAATAAGTTCAGTAATTAAAACAATTTAAAAATCCTTCAAAGTTGAGTGAGAGGGGCATTATGGTTTCTGGTCTATTCATATGTCTGTTAGTCTGTCTGTCCTGTATCAAGTTAATGTTTTGGTTTAAATTATGTTAAAAAAAAATATTGGACTTGGTCTTCAAGTGAGATTAAGTGAGTTTTCTGAACAGCGGTATAAATTTATGTCACCCCTAGTTTTATGTGATATGTAAAAGGCCTCATTACTGGTCAAAAACCTTCTTATTTCCACCCACCACTCTCATTTGGCTAAGAGGTTGATAGTTTTAAATTAGATTTAATTGATAAAACAATTAATATTGTTGTACTTCACAAATAGTTTAACAAACTTCTAAATACTATATATTTTCGATTAGCCCTAGAGAAGTCATCTTTTCAAATGGTTCCGAGATAATAGCATGTTGGCATCATTTTCTTAAATTTTTCATAACTGTTTTATTTTCAGTCAATTTGGTCGTCATCATCATCTGGACCGTCACCACTTGAACGACTCCTTGAAAAACAGAAACAACGCCAAAATGATCCTCATTGAAGGAAATGTAAATTCTTATTTGGGAAAAAATTCAGTGATTGTGTAAAAATAATCACAAATGCTAGAGTTGCTTAATTACCAAGCGAATCAACTTGAGCAGATGTTATATTGGTTGCCTAGCAACTTGTAGTAATGAAGAAAACAGTCAAGCAAACATATTCTTCAATATAAAAAAGAGTTATGTCTCATAAAGATAAAGAAAAATGCAAAGAAAAAGAAGCGATCTCCCTGCATATTTGCAGGTTTTAAAAAATTGCTTAATGATACATTATGCCACAATGGTGTTATATATATATATATATGTGTGTGTGTATTATAGAATTGTGAAAATATTTGTGTGATAATTTTTAAAAGACAGATATGTTCTATAAATATGTATCTCCTAAATAATGTTCATTTCACAGACTGTATATTTCAATATTTTGTCTTTCATATTTGTAGTACACAATAGTTAAATGGTGGTCTATGCATGAAATAATTTAATATTAATAATCAGAAGAAGTTGTGAGAGAGATGAACATAGTAGATCTTGCTTTTGTGTGTTTTGTATAGACTTGACAATGATTATAGTGAATATGAAGAAGTTTGTTGAATTTCTATAGTGGTCAGTTTATTTATTTTGTGTGAAAAAATATTTATGTAAAATGCATTGCAGATCTGATAAACTTTAACAAGTGATTCATTTTAGCGGGTTTTCCACCTTTTTCTGGTTGTTTTTTTTCTAGACTGTTATATTTTTGCAGCTTTTAAATATTATTGAATGTGAAGTTTTTGTTAGATGATGGAAGTTATGAAAAAGTTACATATTTTTGTATTAGATTACCAAAATTCTATGTCCAGCTTTTCAAAGAATCTGAAATGGTTTTTATCACATTATAATGTCCAGCTTCTCAAAATACATCTAAAATATTTAATGTCACATTCTAATGTTATTCACAGAACATAATGAAAATAATATAACTAGTGAAATTGTAATTAAATATTTACAAGTTTTCTTGACCAATTTTAGTTTGAAAAACAATAACTCTGTGTAATCACTGCTGTTTCTCCTCTTTTCGTTATCCATGACAAGATGAATTTGGCAGCATATTAATGTTTGATAGATATATTCCAAATAGAGAAAACTGTAAAAAAAGTTAATTTTGTGGATACTTGTTAGATGCACAGAAAGGTACATGTTAACATTTGTTATATTAGATATGGTGTCCATCGGCAGTGTTAACTTTTTCAAAAAACCTTTTCCTCTGGAACTACTGAACCAAAAGTTACCAAACTTTACCTTAATGTATCTGTGGGTGTATTTAATTTGTAAATTGTATCTATTGATTAAATCAGGCGGCTGTTGAAATATCTTTGAAAAATATTTAGAGATTGAGAAAAATCAAAACCTCAAACGAGCAGAATGTAAGAATTTCAATTTTAAAAAATTTTTGCTACTATCTTGGTAACAATAATAGATAGAGAGAAACTTTAACAGCAGAAATGATCGTCATGACTTTTTTTTCATTTATAAAAAGAAATAAATTTCATATAACTTTGGCTTTCAAAGGAAGATTGCTGTGTGCATGTTGAAAAATGAAAATTTATTCCTAAATGGTATCAAAAAAACAAAAAAATTAAAACAACACCTTAAAATGTTCATGTGTCCAAAGTGCTTTTCTAGATATACCTGCATCAGGAACCCTCTAAGTCGAATATTTGATAGCCAAGGATGTATAAGAACCAAAACAGTTGAAGAACTATATGACCAAAAGGACCTAAAAAAATAGCCAAATCCATCTAAGGTCAAATTTGCCCGAGGGAGTATGAAACTGTTTTGAAAATATGTTATGGTTTATCTTGTCATGGTTATTACTGAAAAAGGAACTCTGTGAGCATGGTTAGGCCAACTAAAATTGATTAGTAAATTTTCATCCAGCTTTTTGAAAAAATGGGGCGGGTGAGAGGATTTTTTTTATTTTTTATTTTCTCGGAAACCCTTTCGAAATGCAAGGGTAATAATAAGCTTATATCATTTATCTTTTAAATTCTGCATACTTTTTCAAATTCTAAAATAAATATTTCTGATTTGCAACCACTTATTATTGCTTTAGAAACCCATTTTCTGTAAAAAGCAAAAATGTGGAGACATGCTCTCTTTTAGACTACCTACTTTCCAAGCTATGGTTTGTAGTGCCCATAAAATGAAACATATGCATTGGTATTAAACACAAGTATTATGATTACAGAGTAAAATGAAAACTCAAACTGTGTTGAAATTACTAGGGTTGATGCTTTTAAGATTCTTAAGTAAGGTGCAATAAATTTTATTAACTAGATGTAAACATACAATATAAAACACGAACTTAACCAAAAGAAGTTTTTGGGTAAATCTTGGTATACGCTGGCTGACTTTTTGTACTCAATACATGTATATGGTCTTAAACAGTAAGTTGTATTGCACAAGTTCCTGCTTATGTCAATTTCTTTTTTTTAACAAGAAGATAATGTAGTCAATAAGAGCAGCAGAATGTATCGACTAAATCATTTTGGTTAAGTTACTGGCAGAAATACGAAAACCGAATTTTGCAACAGGAAGTTTTGAATAAAATGAAACTATCCAGTAACGGAAATGAACAAAATCCGGAAATATTAATTTTTTTAAAATTAAAAAAATCGGGGTTGGACTATTTCAGGGGGGCGGGCAGAGGATGAAAATCTATCAGTTAATTTGAATTGGCCTTAATGGTAAAAATGACATGTGTATGGTATGTGAGCATGGCTAATGGTGAAAATGATTTGTGTTTGGTCTGTAAACAGGTTTAAATAATAAGAAGTGAGGAGCAAGGGTTTCAATTTAATGACTTTTAGATGTTGATAATTTCCTCTGTAATGGAATTTTCAGTGAATATTTATAACTTAGTCTTATATTGTCATCTATGTACAAGACTACTTTCGGAAAAGAAAATTTGATGTTTTAGGTTGGAAAATTTATTTATTACAGAACAGGTTGCTTCATTTTTTGAAAATGAAGAAAAAAAATAAAAATATTTTCCTTTAAATATGCAAAATTGAGTTTTTTAATCATAAGGGCCAAGTTAGGGCTGTTATCATAGGGTGTCTTCTTTTGTATTTTAAGATATGATAAAGGATTACTGTAAAATTTGGTTTAAGGAGGAGGTATAATGAGGCCACTTTTTTTGGTCCCTTGATTTGTAAATAATCTTATAATAAGTTGTCAGATTTTCACAATGCATTAGTTTATGAGATATCAGTAGTTAAATACTTGAATTTTGTCTTACTCTTTTACTTTAGGCCTTTAAACTTCTTTCATGTAAAGAAAATTGTTAAATCTGCCAAAAATTCATCATTTTGAGAGAAAATGTATTTCAATTAATATTAAAATGTGAGCAACTTTATGATAAAATATAATTTGCCACAAGTTGTCTTTGAGGATGATAGGATGATATGAGTATATTTTTTTATGGTAAGGCTCATATTTAATTTGACCAAATATTGATATTAAATCATCATACTTGTTAAAAATGTTTATTATTGAAGCAATTTATATTTAATTATTGATTAAAACTAACATTTTTTGAAAGGATTGAAGAATATTTTTGTTTACAATTTCATGGGCCAAATAAGAGTTGTGATCATACTTCCTACTATCAATTTTTTTATGGAGTTCATTCTCAGATTTATTATCAGCAGTTGTATTTAAAGCTGATAATTTAATAGTGCCAAATACTAAATAAAGCGTGTTAAAAGGAGGAAAACCACTAATTCATGACCCCATTGCTTTCTTTGTTAAATTCTGGAAATTTCAAGCATTCCTAATTCATTTGTCTTTAAGTTCAAATAAAGTGACTATGTCAAAACAATAAATACCTTATTATGGCTTGTTCTAAAAAACAACATTCCATTTAAGAGTGCACTGGTTCACAGAAGTTTGGAAGTACAAAAACAGGTCTTCCTTATCTGAGAAACAAAGCATGAATATGCCCTTCTTTTTTAATTTCAATTATTTTTGTGCAAAATAAACATTCAAAATGACCTCTACAATGATTCTCAGTCCAGCTTTCATTTGATACCAAAATAACCAACTATTTTACACATTTTAAAGGTTATAGCTATATGTAAGAACTTCATGTATTTGGATTTAGATATGAACTACTTTTGGGTATTGTCTTCCTTAAGGGGCTCTGAATTACTGGTTACACACCAAAAGCTTCTACTCAAGAATCCCAGGTATTCAAGATTAGTGTATATATCAAACTGATACAATAAATAAAATCCTCTGTGATAAAAAAATTTGTTGATTTTTTTAGAAATAAAAGCAAACACCAAACTAACTGAATCAAATTGCTTTCCTTTTATTATGTAAAACATATAATTATAGAAGCTTATTTGAAGTATATGTTTGTTGTTCACTCTGTTGGAATACTAACAGACAATTGATAATGCTTTATTCTTTGTAATATATGACAAATAACAAAACCACAGTAAGTAAGAATTAAATTTACAGTTATAGGAATTGTTTTATTACTCATTATACAATACATGTGAGATATCTATATTGTTCTGTGTTGGCTTTGGATTTTTCAAGCTCTAATTCCCTCTGGCCTTTATCCTACCTTTTAGAATCTACGTAATTGATGTCTGGCTTAATTTGACAATAAAATTCAAATAAATGGGGTTGACTAAATATCATGTAAAAAAATATTTGGTAAGGTTTTGTTAAAGTTGATATGAGTTATCACTAGACTTTTACCTTAATTTCTAGGATAAAAAAAAAGGTTAACTTCTAGTATTCAGATATGTTCATACTGTTAAGAAATCAACAATGTGGTAAAACTGTTGATCCAGGTGTATTTCATTCAGTCAGAATAGGGATGCTAAATCTGATGCTTAAAGTAGAGAGTGCTGCAATAAAAGAACAATTTGATGGATCTGTAGGTTGTCTGTTATAAGGCAAAGTTCTTCCCTTATATATCCTCACTATCTAAATGTCTTACCCTTCATCTGGGTTGATATCCTTGATGGATCTGTGGGTTGTCTGTTATAAGGCAAAGTTCTTCCCTTATATATCCTCACTATCCAAATGTCTAACCCTTCATCTGGGTTGATATCCTTGATGGATCTGTAGGTTGTCTGTTATAAGGCAAAGTTCTTCCCTTATATATCCTCACTATCCAAATGTCTAACCCGTCATCTGGGTTGATATCCTTGATGGTCTGTAGGTTGTCTGCTATAAGGCAAAGTTCTTCCCTTATATATCCTCACTATCTAAATGTCTTACCCTTCATCTGGGTTGATATCCTTCATGGATCTGTAGGTTGTCTGTTATAAGGCAAAGTTCTTCCCTTATATATCCTCACTATCCAAATGTCTAACTCTTCATCTGGGTTGATATCCTTGATGGATCTGTAGGTTGTCTGTTATAAGGCAAAGTTCCTCCCTTATATATCCTCACTATCCAAATGTCTAACCCTTCATCTGGGTTGATATCCTTGATGGTCTGTAGGTTGTCTGTTATAAGGCAAAGTTCTTCCCTTATATATCCTCACTATCCAAATGTCTAACCCTTCATCTGGGTTGATATCCTTGATGGATCTGTAGGTTGTCTGTTATAAGGCAAAGTTCTTCCCTTATATATCCTCACTATCCAAATGTCTAACCCTCCATATGTTGATATCCTTGATGGATCTGTAGGTTGTCTGTTATAAGGCAAAGTTCTTCCCTTATATATCCTCACTATCCAAATGTCTAACCCTTCATCTGGGTTGATATCCTTGATGGTCTGTAGGTTGTCTGTTATAAGGCAAAGTTCTTCCCTTATATATCCTCACTATCCAAATGTCTAACCCTTCATCTGGGTTGATATCCTTAATGGATCTGTAGGTTGTCTGTTATAAGGCAAAGTTCTTCCCTTATATATCCTCACTATCCAAATGTCTAACCCTTCATCTGGGTTGATATCCTTGATGGTCTGTAGGTTGTCTGTTATAAGGCAAAGTTCTTCCCTTATATATCCTCACTATCCAAATGTCTAACCCTTCATCTGGGTATGATATCCTTGATGGATCTGTAGGTTGTCTGTTATAAGGCAAAGTTCTTCCCTTATATATCCTCACTATCTAAATGTCTAACCTTTCATCTGGGTTGATATCCTTGGCAGAACCTACCTTTTGTATTATTTGTTCTTTTAGAAATACATGAAATATTTGCCACTGGAAGTTATACAAGCAACAATCAATCAATCACTTATAAGATGGTCAAAGAACTGATAATACTAGGCAACATGCCACTAGTCTTGTATAAACTGGACCAGGGTTTGCCCAATCAGGCAAAAGATCAGTTTAACAATATTTGACAGCAAGGTTAAGTATTGTTCAGCTACTTCAATGGTTTTGTCATACAGAATTGTATTCTGTTTCAAAGACATGAATGATAGTTTTGCATTCATTTAAAACATTAACCAAATCACATGAAATAACTTTAAGAATGGCTGTGAGTTGAACCACAGCAGGTAAGCTATGGTTTACAATTAAGATATACCTAGGTTTCTGACTGTAAAATACAGAAAAGGGTTAGCGGGATAATGGTAAATAAATATATATTGCTGTATATGTAGTACAGTTATGAGTTACTATATATTGATGTATATGTACAGTTATGAGTTACTCATGATCCTACATATTGTCAATACTGTTTACTTATATTTTGGCATTGCACAGGGTCATGCATTTCTCTTGATTGTTTTTTATGTCCTTACCCTAAATACGTTTAATGTGTATAGTCCGTTTGACTTCTATAAATCTTCAGAAAATAATTCTTAAAAATTCATTTTTACAAATAAACATTTGTATGCCCCCGCCGTAGCGGTGGGGGCATTAAGTTTTACCCTTGTCTGTCTGTACGTACGTACGTCCGTTCGTACGTCCCAAAATGGTTTCAGTTCTCTAACTTGAGTTTGCCTCAACCAAATGTTACGAAACTTATACACAATGCTCATTACCACAAAGCACAGATCAAATTTGAATTTTGGTGGCGTCACTTTAACCGTTCTAGAGTTATGCCCCTTTATAAATGGAAAAATTGCAAAAATTTTAGTTTCCGTTCTCTAACTTTAGTTTGCCTCAACCAAATGTTATGAAACTTATACACAATGCTTATTACTACAAAACACAGATCAAGTTTGAATTTTGGTGGCGTCACTTTAACCGTTCTAGAGTTATGCCCCTTTATAAATGGAAAAATTGCAAAAATTTTAGTTTCCGTTTTCTAACTTAAGTTTGCCTCAACCAAATGTTATGAAACTTATACACAATGCTTATTACCACAAAGCACAGATCAATTTTGAATTTTGGTGGCGTCACTTTAACAGTTCTAGAGTTATGCCCCTTTATAAATGGAAAAATTGCAAAATTTTAGCTTCCGTTCTCTCACTTAAGTTTGCCTCAACCAAATGTTATGTAACTTATACACCATGATTATTACCACAAAGCACAGATCAAGTTTGAATTTTGGTGGCGTTTCTTTAACCGTTCTAGAGTTATGCCCCTTTATAAATGGAAAAATTGCAAAATTTTTATTTTCTTCTAAATATCAAGTAATTTTTATACGACCGCAAAAAAAATCTTCGTCGTCGTCCGAAGACACTATCTTTATCTCTATGAAATTTTACCATAAGGTTCAATACCACAAAAGGAAGGTTGGGATTGATTTTGGGGGTTTTGGTACCAACAGTTAAGGAATTAGGGGCCAAAAAGGGGCCAAAAATAAGCATTTTTGTAACTTCCAGACATAACTTGTGTGTTAGTGTATGGATCTCTCTGACATTGTACCACAAGGTTCCATATCACACAGGGAATGCTGGGATTGAGTTTGGGGGTAATTGCCCAAAACGTTTAGGAATAAGGGGCCAAAAATAAGCATTTTTCTAGTTTCCAGACAATAACTTGTGTTCAAGTGTATGGATCTCTCTGAAATTGTACTGCAAGGTACCATACCACAAAGGGAAGGCTGGGATTGAGTTTGGGGGTGATGAATCATAAGGGGGTTCAAAAAATTTGGGGGGGGGGGGATTTTTTTTTTTTTTCCTTTTTTTTTTTTTTTAAATTTTCCATTTTAAGTTGGTTATTTCTGTTTTATATTTAAAAGCAAATAATAATGATATGGTAGGAGATACACACCAAACAGGATGTGTAAATTATTATATAATAAGTATTGTGCAATAGCAAGAAATTTTCAATTGCACAGTATTGCACTTGAAGTTGAATAGCAAGAAATCTTCAATTGCACCGTATTGCGCAATAGCAAGAAATCTTCAATTGCACAGTATTGTGCAATAGCAAGAAATATCCAATAGCACAATATTGCGCAATAGCAAGAAATTGTCAATTGTACAGTATTGCGCAATAGCAAGAAATATTCAACTGCACAGTATTGTGCTAAAGAAGATACTTCTTATAAATTGCTTATTTCTTGACCAATTTCAATGGGGTTTTATTCTTGAATTCTTGGGGTTCTTTAATTTGCTGATTCTAACCGTGTATTAAGTTTTTGGATTTTGGGCCCCGTTTTTAAATTGGTCCACATTGAGGTCCAAA